GTGGTCGCCTCACCTGGCCTCATGTGTGGCCGGCCCTGAATTAAGCTCTACATCAGCATCTGCTGACCCTGGGGATCCTGTTGCCTGGCCTCAGGGTGAATGGGGCTGATCCTGCCCAATCCTATTGCCCCTTTTAAGAAACCAAGGCTGAAACTGAGTGGGAAAATGCTAGGCCCACATACACACACAGAGAGAGAGAGAGAGAGAGAAATCGCACAGTTCTCAATTTTACACATATTAGTTAGATTTAGGTTGCTGAAACAAGGAGTGTGTGCCTCTGTGTGCGCGCCTTTGTGTACTGAATTCTCTCAGTGGGTCTGCTTTCTCGGTAACCCAATTCAGTGCAGTTTCTTTGCTTTCTCCTTGAAATAACTTCTGATGCTTGGAGAACATAGCTAGGGTTAATTATGAAATGTTAGTTCTGTATTCCCAACTTTAAAAATCTGTGGAGAGCTAACAAGACTGCGACAGCTTGGGCAGGAATGCCTTGAATTCATAATTGGCCTTCTTCTCCTTCCCGCTTTTCGACAAGAAAGGAAAAGCACAAGAAGAACCGAGAGCATCAATGTTTCACGTCACGTTGGCCGCCGAGTTTTAGATCCAGAATTCAGGATTCATTTCAGTGCGCTGCCAAAAATGTATTTATTTATTTCTATGGTTCCGTTTATCAATCACTTCCCCATAGAAATATATTGAAGCGATTTCACAGTAAATACAGCATTTTTTTAAATAAAAAAACACAATTACACACCAAAGTTAACAAAAAGAAAGAAAACAACAGATCTTCCAGCTTCTCGCTATGCTAGGATATGAAATTGTGAATTGATTATGCTGTTATGCTTTATACAATATTTCAGTTAAACAGAGTTTATACCAGGTTATGCCTTAGAGATGCCTTATATTTAGATTATGCCTTATATTTATTTATCAGTGTGTTGTCCACTTCCCTTTACCATCCTGGGATCTTTAACTGTAGTTCTTCATATCAATTACCATTCTCTGTATACCAGCATTTTAAAGTACCAGAATGATTTTCTTTCTATGCGAGCTTTTGTGGATGTCTTGATGATTTAGTTTTTCTGCTTTTCTGCTGTGAATTTTGGAACCTTTGTTGGAGTTTCTCCTCATTTATATCTGGGGGAGAGTGTTCTTTCCCTTCCTCACTGTTTCTTTGTTTCTTGTAATTAAAAAACAAACAAACTATTATTTTGAGAGCAAAGAACAATTACACAATTTCACATATGAAAGCAAGCATAACAATTACAAAAGAACAACTAAGAATGCTTTTATATGTAAAAACAATTTCAAATCCAATACAGATACAGACTGGGAATTTTTAAAAAAATCTGTTTGAAAAGACCTTTATCACATACTCAGCCCAACAAGACAACAACAAGAACCTGCCAACAGCATTCGAATCAATCTGGCTAACCTAATCCAAACACACACACACACCCCACTCACACACGAAAACAAAGTTCACCACAGCTTATCACAACCAACCAACCACACCCTAGGCCAACTCCAACCTCTCTCACCACCAAAAAAATACAAGCAAATAGTAAAGAAGAAGAAGAAGAAGAAGAAGAGTTTGGATTTGATATCCCGCCTTTCACTCCCCTTCAGGAGTCTCAAAGCGGCTAACATTCTCCTTTCCCTTTCTCCCCCACAACAAACACTCTGTGAGGTGAGTGGGACTGAGAGACTTCAGAGAAGTGTGACTGGCCCAAGGTCACCCAGCAGCTGCATGTGGAGGAGCGGAGACACGAACCCGGTTCCCCAGATTACGAGACTACCGCTCTTAACCACTACACCACACTGGCTCTCAAGAGAATCCACACAAGTGATGCTGACACAAAACCCCACACATACATTAAGTAAAATAGAAGCATTGCCACCCGACCCCACTCACCATGCCCCCCTCCACCTCTTCCCCCCTTTTCTTCCTAATGTAACACTAATGTCTCAGCAAATGAAACTGATCTGTAGAAAATGTAACTTTGAAAAAAGAGACATTACACATACTTTTGTAAACCAAGAAATCTTTAATTAAAATATATTTAGTAGTAGTAGTAGTAATAATAATAATAATAATAATAATAATAATAATAATAATAGAAAAGGCTTGTTAGAAAAGGATGGTCTTAAATGGGTCCTGTCTGATAAGAGCTGCCACTATGTTGAACATCTACTTCTTTTGTGTGTCGAGGACCCGCCACCCCGCATGGATATAAGAAAGACACAAGGACACAAGTATTTTGAGTTAATGGGCTAAATAAGGCCACAACTTTATTGGTTACAGCATGTGAGAGGTATTGGCTTAGGCACTGGGTCAAACAAACTATACTTGACTCCACCCTACTCAGCGGAGGGGTCAATCGAGGGTTAACAGCCAATGAGAGGAGCTTGTTGATGCAAATACAACTGAAAGCTTCCCCAGACGTCACCAGGGGTCGTGCCATGGCCCTAGCCACCAGCAGGGCATCGGACGGAATCCATGAGGTAGGCAAAAAACCAAGACGCTGGTGCCAATTTGCCAAATGGATAAAAATTCCTACCAGGCCCCCTGGACAACCAGGGCAACCAGCCAAGGTCCATATCAAGGTCAAAACCATAAATATGACCTAAAGGGAGGGTGGGCGGGTGATTCGGAGGAAGCAGAAAGCCGAATGGGTCCCCCACACTGCCGCAGCCACTTAAGCGCAGCTAAGCTCCACCCACCAGGCAGCCCTATTGATTGTCTGCTGGGTCTGGCGCAGCAGCTGAGGGGAGGCTGACGCAGGGGGCCGAACACACACACCCTTGCTGACGCGGGAGCCAGTTCCCGCACACAACTCCTCCCCTCTGGGAGGAGGAGAGGTCTTATCATACCCAGAGCAGTGATCAGTTCGGTATATGAGGGGTAAAACCATTGGTATCCACATTTTGTAGGATTTTTATAGAATCTCAAGCATGGAAGGATAGGAAATGGCACCAGTGATGAGGGAACAATGAACTAATGAGAGAAGCGGAGCTGAGGGTGTCAAGAACTACTAAGATCTGTGGACAGCTGCCTTGTGTGCTGATACACTGAACTGCAGGAGGGAAGTTTTGAGTAGGCCCTGGATTAACTCTACCCAACTAGGTTGACTGCTGGATCTTCTTGGATGGAAAGGAGTATAAACAGGCCAGGCTTCCTGCCCCAGTTGAACCTGGTCCGAACATAAAGGTCTTCCTGAGATCTGCCATATTCCTGTGTCCTTTGGTTGACCTCCAGTCTTCACTTCTGACATGCTCCTCAAGCCAGCTTCCTTGTTTCTCCTTCAGTCTTGACTTGTTCTTCTGTCCTAACTACTGGCTTTGCCTCTCGGCTCCTGATTTCTCACTCCCTGCAGACTGCTGCCCAGTAGCAGCCAGCAGGGCAGTATGGACAGAGCTGTGTTACTTACTTGGCTTCCAAAACCTTGGATACCAAGAGGGGTTGGGATCAAGCAGCTGGGAGCCCAGCCCTGGATTGGTGCAGTGGCAGAGCCAATTCCTTTCAGTAACTGGAAGTGATCTGCAGTGTTGGGAAGCTATATAAGCAACCCCATACTGCTCATGCCACCCCACTGGCCCTCACTGCTGCTCCTCACAGCCCAGCCCTGAAGGAAATAAATAAAAAACACTGGCTAAAAGGGGCTCAGTTTCCTGCAGAAGAAGAGAAGTGTTTGGATTTGATATCCCGCTTTATCACTACCCTAAGGAGTCTCAAAGCGGCTAACAATCTCCTTTCCTTCCTCCCCACAACAAACACTCTGTGAGGTGAGTGAGGCTGAGAGACTTCAAAGAAGTGTGACTGGCCCAAGGTCACCCAGCAGCTGCATGTGGAGGAGCGGGGAAGCGAACCGGGTTCACCAGATTATGAGTCTACCACTCTTAACCACTATACCATACTTGCTCTCTGTTTCTCTGTCCAGAGGTTGTTGCAAGACCCAGATTAATGGTTGGGGGGCATGTTAGTCCCATATTCTGAACCCCATAAGGCCGCAGGCCCAATTAGGCTCCCCAGGACTCCCCATTTGGGTTGTACTGGCCAAGCCTCATCCACCTGTGATACAACTGATGTCATATAAGATGCCAGGTGTGGAGCAGGTAAAGGCAGGGCTCAGTCAAAAATGGGGTTTGCAGACACTGGTGATCAGCTGATGGCCAGCACTTGCAAAGTGCTGTGTTTCTGCCTGCACAGTTTGATTTCTCCATGAAGTCAGGTGACTGGCAGGTGGACATCTCTGTCAAACCTGGCCCGCAGAACATAGAAAAGGTAACAATCCAGAGGGTGAGAACAGGCCTTTTCTGTGGTAGCTTCCCGATTATGGAATGCTTTCCTCAGAGACACTCACCTGGCACCATCATTACATGGCTTTAGGCACCAGGCAAAAACATTCCTCTTTACCCAGGCTTATGGCTAATAAATGAGGGACACGGGTGGTGCTGTGGGTTAAACCACAGAGCCTAGGTCTTGCCGATCAGAAGGTCGGCGGTTCGAATCCCCGCGATAGGGTGAGCTCCCGTTGTTCGGTCCCTGTTCCTGCCAACCTAGCAGTTTGAAAGCACGTCAAAGTGCAAGTAGATAAATAAGTACCACTCTGGCAGGAAGGTAAACGGCGTTTCTGTGAGCTGCTCTGCTTCTCCAGAAGCGGCTTTGTCATACTGGCCATATGACCCAGAAGCTGTATGCTGGCTTCCTCGGCCAATAAAGCAAGATGAGCGCCACAACCCCAGAGTCGGCCACTACTGGACCTAATGGTCAGGGGTCCCTTTACCTTTACCTTTTATGGCTATTAAATAATCTAGGGCCTGTGAAATGACTTTTATTATTAGGCTGTCTGCCTGTATGCTTTTATTATGTTTTTTATCATTGATGTTCTGTAATGTGTTTTTAATGTTGTACACCAACCTGGGATCTTTTGATATAGAGCGGAATATAAATTGAATAAATAATAATAATAATAATCTAGGTTGCCACCAAAATCTGTTTCCCCACTCCTTTGACAAAGTGTATTTTATTTTCCTTGTCTGTCAGTAATTACAAGAAATGCTAGCTACCAACAAATGCACCAACATCCACAGAGTCTCCTGCATTCCCTTCTTCTTCACCCTGTGTTGACCTTCTGAGATAGCGAGAGTGCTGCGCTCCTTTTCCTGGACCGGAATGTCAGAATTTGAGATGCACAGCAACAGGCCTCCCGTTTTCCTTCTGAGCCACAGAGCTGACCTACAAGAAGCAGGAGATGCAATCGGTAAGTGTGACTGACCTGGCCTCGAGGCTGGGTCAGGCGGGCTTCACCCAGAAGTGTGACTGGATCAAAGAGATATGCCGATCCCATCTTAACCTCCTCACAGCTTAATGGGAAAGTGGTAGAACTGAAAGTGTGTGCTAAAAATGTCCTACATTGGAGTGGGGGGGCAGTTTACCACCGCAGCCTTGTTGTTTGTGAGGTCAATGGCTACAATGTTATCCGAAGCAATACATAAATATATATTTAAGAAAGTCCTTGGTACAGGCAGGTCATGCAGCTTTATTTTTGCATTCATAAACTCCCAGATCATTCTGCCTTGGTCAGACCAAACCTGGAAGACTGCATCCAATTCTATGCACCAGGAAGGATGTTGACAAGCTGGAACATGTGCAGAGGAGGGCAACCAAGATGGTCAAGGGTCTAGAAGCCAAACCTTATGAGGAACAGTTGAAGGAGCTGGTTATGTTTAGCCTGGAAAAGAGAAGATTGAAATGGGAAATGATAGAAATTTTCAAATATCTCAAGGGCTATCACATGGGAAATGGAGCAAGCTTGTTTTCTCCTGCTCCAGAGGACAGGACCCAAACCAGTGGCTTCAAGTTACAAGAAAGGAGATTCCAACTAACCATCAGAAAGAACTTTCTGACAGTAAGAGCTGTTCAACAGCAGAACAGACTTCCTCAGAAGGCGGTGGACTCTCCTTCCTTGGAGGTTTTTAAGCTGAGGTTGGATGCCATCTGCCATGGATGCTTTAGTTGAGATTCCTGCATTGCAGGGGTTGGACAAGACGGACCTCGGGGTCTCTTCCAACTCTTCAATTCTATTATTCCTCCACAGATATGACTTGTCTCCTTTTAAAGCCATCCAAGCTGGTGGCCATCACTTCATTTTGTGGAAGCAAATTCCATAGTTTAGCTACGTATGTGCTGTGTGAAGGAATTGGGTACCTTCTGTAATGGATGCTTTAGTTGAGATTCCTGCATTGCAGGGGGTTGGACTAGATGGACCTCGGGGTCTCTTCCAACTCTACAATTCGATGATTCTATTATTCCAGTTTGGCTGGATCAACGCTGAAGCCAGGGACAGCTCGTGCATCAGCCTCCAACATAGCCAGGGCAGCTTCACCCCACAAGCTGCAAGGATCTGCTCTGCCTTCGATTGCACAGGGTGATGGTGGTAGTGATGCTGTTATTATTCCATTAACAACTTTCAGTTAACTACAGGAAAACACTGCACACTGGAAGATACTACAGTTTGAGCAGTGATAGGCCAGCCTTCTCCAACATGATAGCTGGACTACATCTCCCATGAGCAGTGACTACATTATTACATGAGCACTGTTCCACAGAATTTGATATTTTCATTTATATACATTCATTCGAAATAAGATGGGTTTATGAAGCAATTCTATATCCTCCCACCACGCTGACGAAGAATTCTACGAAACAGTAGTCAATATCCAGAATCACTGTTCAGTGTTGGACATCATATTTGCTGAATACACAAAGCTTCACAGCTTGTCTTTCATCGTACAAAGTCTGGTACCTCGCTTCATTTAAAGATTTTCAGAGACTTTTAGACTAAAGATTTCATTTTGTACTTATTATGGTTTGAAGGAATTCTATAAAGATTGTCTACATGGCCATCATGTTGCCTAGATATTTCTGACGTTCTCCAACATGATAGCTGGACTACATCTCCCATCAGACCCAGCCAGGATGCGCCAACATGGTAGCCTCCAGATGTTTTGGACCACAACTCCCATCAACCCCAGTCAGCCTTAGCTAAGTTTCCAGATTTTTTTTTGGACTAGAGCTCCCATCAGCCCCAGCCAGCACAGGACAGAGGGCACCAGGCTGCCAAAGGCTGTCTCAGGCAAGTGAGTTACTCATTCCTGTGGACGTCTCTCCCTCTTTTCCTCATGAACTGTTTTGCCACATTAACTGAAGTGTTTGCCTTGGAGAACATGAGCACAGAGGAGGTTGCTAAGTGCACATAGCAAGCTGCTAATCACGAGGAAATTATAATGGCTTTTTCATGGTCCATTGTCATTTCGTTATCTTCATGGAATTACTGCCCTCCATTTGCAAAACAAAAACGTCCCCATTAGCACAGGTGCATAAAAGGCCTGTGTGGATATTTTCCAGCATGCAATCGCAGCGAAGGCTTACCCACTGCACGCTAATGCGGTTCATCGTGTTCCTCCAGTGCTGTTTTGTAAACATCAAAGCATCTTCAAGAGCAGGTTATTTAGAACTGAGATGCAGCGTGGGCGTTTAACACGTTCCTGACCATTTCACACCTGCTCCAAATCATTCCGCTAGCAGCTTTTCTCTCTGCAGGGCTCAAAATGTGTTTCCCTTTACAAACCAGAATTTTGAACCCAGTGGGGTAAGTGGCTTGGGGGAGGAGAGGTTTGGAGTGATAAGGCAATGAGTGGAGATCTGAACACCTCCAGATGCTGCTTTTTTGCTCTAAATTCCTCCTCTGCTTTGAAAAAGAACAGAGCACTATAGTAAACCATAAGCAGTTACACAATCATTTTGGTTTCTTACCTGCGTTTCACCATAAGGTCCCAGGGAGCATTGCATCCATTAAAAAGCACAATGTTAAAAACAAACTACAGTCACAAGAAGAGGGTGGGTCCTAATATCTGTCAGTCTCCCTATCTATCTATCTTGGGTCATGACCCTCAGATTTCTGCTCCTGGGACATTTACTCCATTTACTTGGGAAGTAAGAGCAGCTTTATTAAATATGAACCCCCAAAACTGGGGTCCCCTCCAAACTGATGCCAGCATTTTGTACTTCTTTGTAGGAGGTGGTGGTAAAAAATGTGGTACAAAGTGGCAGAAAACAATTACAAATCGTTGGCTTCAGTTCGGAGAGGGAATCCCAAATTTCAGGGCTCATGTTTAATAAAGCTCTTCTCCGTGCTAGTAGGTGGGCGAAGTTTCAGTTTACACTTAGCGGCGAACCTATCTGATTGACTGTTTCCAAAGCACAAATTGAAATAAGGGCCCATCTTTCGAAATTGGCACTTCTCCAATTTATGCAATACAGTTTTCCAACCAAGTGATGTGTACAAAAATGCAGAGGCTGCATACAGTAAAGTGTGCATAAAAATGCATATAACAGTGAAAATACTAAACAAAATATGTTTCATATTAGGAGAGAATTGTTTGCAAAGTGGTACATTTTAGGTAAGACTGCATACCAAGCGGTGTATAACTGGAGAAAAATACGCTGAAATGCAGGTGAGGTTTCACGAGGACTTCTTTTAAAAGGGTTTGCAAAGTACTGTGGAAATGTGGAAAGCTGAACTTCAGAGAAACAGAGAGAAACCAAAAGTGACAGACTCATCCCTCCCTGCTCTGAAAAGCATGGCATAAACAACTATGTGCAGTTCTGCTCAGCCCAATAAAATAAGGATGTTAAATTGGAAGTAACTGAAGAAAGATCAATATTTCCCCTCCCCGCTCTCCTAATACTATATCTCGGAGGTCACTCAGCGAAGTTAATTGGCAGCAGGGTCAAAAGGACAGGCAAAAGAAAGAACTTTTGCCACCTGATACGGAATAAAACTGTGGAACTCTCTATGGCATGAAGTGAGTATTGTTGCAATAATCAAAGGTGGTGGTGCATGAGAATGTCTTCTCTGTGTGCTCCATCCCCACCCCGGTTATGGAGTGACCCCACTCTGAGATGTGCATGCTTTATGATGACTGATCAAAGCATGCACCTCTTGACCCAGGCGTCAGTCTGAGTGGGTGCCTTCCCTCTGCCTGCACTGCTGTTTGTTTATTTTATGGTTTTGCTTTATGGTTTCCACGTTCATCCGCATCTCTCTTTTATTGCGATATTTTTGTAACCCATCCTAGGGCCATGCACTGAAGGGCAGGTTATAACTACAAATCATAAATCAATTGAGAGGACTTGGTGGGCTAGCCATGTGGGAAGCTACTCATCTAGCCCCAGACTGGATTATCTCGAGGAGGAGGAGGAGGAGGCAGCGAGGAGGGTTAATGTGCTTCCCACACAATGCCTGGCAGAATTTTTGAAGACTGGGGATGGAATTGCCTGTGTGTTGCTTTGGCAAATCTCAGAACCCAAGAACCATACTGGATTAGACCAACATCTGACTGGTAGGTATCAATCTGGTGGGGCGGAGCTATTCTTCAGACACTGGTGTCACTGCAGCTTTTTTGGGCAGGGGGAAGGAGATGGAACAAGTTAGGGTAGCTGCAAGGTTGGAACTTTGCAGGCACAACGGTGGGAGCAGCAGGTTTGCTCAAACCAGTGTGCTCATGCAGCCCTGACCTTACTGCTCCCTCCCCACAGTTCATCTGGGTAACTTGCAGTGATGTCAATGTCAGGAGGGTGGCTCCACCACACCATACAGGCTGCTACTTGTAATGGTCTATCTAACCCAGCATCTTCTCCCAGAAGACCAGAAGTAGGAGGTGGAGACCATAGCCCCACTACTGCAGCCCAGATGGTATTCAGTGCTCTACAGCCTCTAAACCTGAAGATGCCACAGTGATCATGATTTGTAGCCACTTGTAGACCTTGATCTTCCTTGAATTCATCGGATGCCCTTCTGGAGCCATATAAGCTTGTGGCCAGCACTGCATCTTCTGCAGCAGCAAGGTCCATCAATCCATCATGCGCTACGTGAAGCACATCAGCTGGTTTCTTATGGGCAAATTGTTGGATCAATCCATCAGTTTAGAAGGGTTGGGTCTGGCATCACTTTCACTGTTCATGTGTGCCAGTAGCCATACTCAGCAGAGTTACATCTAAGCACAGCTCCTTCCTTGGAAGCATATTTGGGGTTGAAGGTACACACAGTAGTCAATAAACACTCATGGATGCCATAAAGATTCAGTCAAGTGTAGAAGTTTTACTTGACAGGCATAAAAGCATATTGGTAGCAAATATATACAGACATTCACCACTGCAGTGATCAAGGCATGCTTAGAGTCCAACAAGAGACAAAGACTCTCTCTCTGCTTCTCTCACCACAAGGTGCAAGCAAGAGAGAGTCTCCTACTCTTGTCGCACTCTAAGCATGCCTTGATCACAGCAGTGGTGAATGTCTGTATATATTTGCTACCACAACACCAAGGAAACACCATACTAGACACTGACTCCCAGTCAGGCAAGTTGGACCAGTCACTATATACAAGCAGTGCTTGCAAGAAAGGTTGTGCGTATTCGCCTCTACATTTATCTGCATATGTAGGTAAAAAAGTAAAGGACCCCTGGACAGTTACATCCAGTCAAAGGCGACTATGGGGTTGCTCATCTCGCTTCCAGGCCAAGAGAGCCGGAGTTTGTCCAGAGACAGCTTTCCAGGTCATGTGGCCAGCATGACTAAACCGCTTCTCGTGCAATGGAACACCATCATGGAAACCAGAGCACATGGAAATGGCGTTTACCTTCCTGCCGCAGCGGTACCTATTTATCTACTTGCACTGGCCTGCTTTCCAACTGCTAGGTTGGCAGAAGCTGGGACAGAATAATGGGAGCTCACCCCATCATGGGGATTCGAACCACCAACTTTCTGATCGGCAAGTCCAAGAGGCTCAGTGGTTTAAACCACAGCGCCACCCGCATATGTAGAGGATTTTTTTCAGTATGCTGAATTCCTGCCTTTTCTCTTGGTGGCCCCCTAACATTAGCCCGGGCTGCCACAGTGGAAACTGCAAGAAGTGAGAATGCTGTTGGGCTCAAGTCCTGTTTGGGGGTTTCCCAGAGACATCTGGTTGGGCACCGTTGTAGCAAGATGTTGGACTAGATGGGCCATTGGCCTGATCCAACAGGTTCTCATGTTCTTATGCCCATTTGCTGTTAGAGCAGGGAACTAGCCATCTCCTTGGGGGCTGATGTGGTCCTCCAAGGAATTTTTTCCGGGTCCCAGTGAATTTGCTTGCGGCAGCAAAAAAAAGACAGTACCCCTTCTTAGCGGGCCTGCATGTGTTGTGGGTGGGTGCATGTGAGAGGGTGGTGTGGCAATAGCCACAACTGATATGTGGCCCCTGGATGATTGGCAAAGGCTGAATGTGGCTCCTGGGCCAAAATAGTTTAGCCAGCCCTGGCCTCAAAGGAAGGGTAGTGGTTGCCTGTTAGGGATTGCAGAGGGATTGCCAATCATCCATGTCTTAAGACCCACCAACAAACTCAGCCAGGTTGACCAGTAGAAAACAGGACACATTGCGAAAGAAACAGAGTTCAGGACAAGAAACAGAGTTAATTCAGAGCCCTTTGCACTAACAAAGCAACTGGCATTATCTTCCCTTTTGGACAACTCTTGGAGAGAGATGCCATAAAGGATGGAGATATTAGCGTCCCACTCCACTGAGTGCAATATATGAAAGGCGTAATACGAATCTATTCAAGCAAAGACCTTCATATGCTTCACAGTTCTGAAAATTTGTGATTTTAATGCTTTTTTTAAAAAAAAATGGCTATAAAACACACCCACACAAGCAATATAAGATTATCAGGGCCAAAATTCTGATTACAGCTTTGGGAGGCTGAAAAGGCAAATTACTTTCCCCTCTAAAAATAAAGTGCATTTGGCAGCTCACTCTGGCTGTTTTTCAAACTTCCTGTCCTTAAAGCTCAATAAATATTGATTTCAGAGGCTTCTCAGTAGACTGGGTTTTTAATTTGTTCCCTTAAGGTTTACTGTAGATAAATGTAGACATTTGCTTTCCAGCAGTTCTGTAGTCTTGACTCTGCTTTTCTCTTGTTATTGCTCTATTGAGGCTGGTCATTTCAACACATGCATTCCACACAAACACAAATGCAGTAATATTTATACAAGGCTTGTGGTAAATGGATCAGATACATCACACCTGTAAATGTGATGCTACGCTAATGGTAACTCACTCATGCTACCACCCAGGCGATTAATACCTTGAAAGCTAACTGAAATTTCATTTCTACCTACCTAATGCTTTTGCCATCGATTTTGTTTTATTACACAAACTATATAAAATTACTGTTTAGAAACCGAATAACAATACATATCCATCATAATGAATAGATAGGTACACCCACCCCAATTAAATTAACTTGTCTATTATTGTGTGCTGAGGAAAACCTGCCATAGCTTGGAAACTTGAAAGAATAAAAATCCCTGACCTGATACGCTGAGGTGTCAGTCATCTTGGTAAGCTAACCAATTATCTTCCAGCAAAGGCACCACACACTCCAGTAACTAACCAGTAAATATTTAAGAACTTAAGAAGAGCCCTGCTCTTTCAAGCTGACTGCTCAGTTATAGTCCAACTCCTGTTCCCACAGTAGCCAACCAAGATGCCCATGGGAAGCTAATAAGAACGACCTGGGCTCGATAGCTCTCTCACGGTTTGTGATAGCCAGCAACTGGCATTCAGAAGCAAAATGCCTCCAACACTGGAGTTCATGCAAATCATAATGAGTAGCCACTGGTAGCCTGGTCCTCTTTGAATTTGCCTGATCCTCTTTAAAGCCATCCAAGTTGGCAGCTTTCACTACATCTTCTGGGAGCTAATTCCTTAGTTTAACTCTGTTCTGGAGGTAGATCATAGCTAGTGTGGCTAGTAGCTAGCGGTGGCGTGTGGTGAGTGGACTAGCGGGACTAGGCTAGTCCTCTAAATGTTCCATTGGCTCCTCCTAGGAAGCTTCTGCCCAAGTTAGGGAAGGAGGCACAATGCGCATTTGTGAGATATCAGGATCTTGTGATCTCACATGAGCAACATCCTCCCCCCCCCGCCGCCGCCGTCCATCACCCTCGCCTTTGGCCCTATCTGTTCCCCTATGAACAATTTCATTACACAATACTGGATATCAATACCAATAATTTACAAAGCTTGTGTTGATATTTTTCAGCGGCTACATTGCAGCTCATTCTTAAGCTCTAGTTATCTCCCGCTTGGATTACTGCAATGCGCTCTACGTGGGGCTACCTTTGAAGGTGACCCGGAAACGACAACTAATCCAGAATGCGACAGCTAGACTGGTGACTAGGTGTGGCCGCCAATACCACATAACACCGGTCTTGAAAGACCTACATTGGCTTTCAGTACGTTTCTGGGCACAATTCAAAGTGTTGGTACTGACCTTTAAAGCCCTAAACGACCTCGGTCCAGTATACCTGAAGGAGTGTCTCCACCCCCATTGTTCTGCCCAGACACTGAGGTCCAGCGCCAAGGGCCTTCTGGTGGTTCCCTCACTGCAAGAAGCGAAGTTACAGGGAACCAGGCAGAGGGCCTTCTCGGTAGTGGTGCCCGCCCTGTGGAATGCCCTCCCACCAGATGTCAAAGGAAAAAACAACTACCAGTCTTTTAGAAGACATCTGAAGGCAGCTCTGTTTAGGGAAGCATTTAATATCTGAAGGATTATTGTATTTTAATATTTTGTTGGAAGCCGCCCAGAGTGGCTGGGGAAACCCAGCTAGATGGGTGGGGTATAAATTATTATTATTATTATTATTATTATTATCATCATCATCATCATCATCATCATCACTTAGGTGCGCCAATTGCTGCAAAACTCTTCTAGTCAACAACTAAGGCATGAGGTGAAGGAAGCTTGGCTAAAACTCTGAATTCCTGTTTGCAGCTGAGGACATGTGGCAATGTTCTGTTGCAGGCACTGTGTATTAAGAAGCTAACATTCATTACCATACCTCTGCCACAGCACCATTCTGAAAAGCGGTGTTGGTATTTTCCTTGAAGGGCAGAGGATTAAACACTGGAAATGAGCTCCAAATGCAATAGCAGCTAGAGGGAGACACAAAGCACTGCAAAGAATTTGCTCTTGCACAAAAGGTTTTTAAAAAAATAAATAGATAAGTGCAAATATTTGCTATCATGCAAATCCAGTCCATTACGTCACAGAAGTCATCTCATTAACTTCTGTGTGCTAGTGCAAGCCTCTACCTAGCACCTTTAAGAAGATCCCTCCTGGATCAAACCAATGGCCCATCTAGTCCAGCTTCCTGTTCTCACAGTGGCCATCAAGATGCCTGTGGGAAGCCTGCAAGCAGGACCTGGGTACAACTCTGCACTTGTGATCCCCAGCAACTGACATTCAGAAGAATACTGCCTCCAACAGAGGAGGCAGAACTTAGCCATCATGGCTAAGAGCCATTGGTAGCCATATCCTCACTGGCAATTTCATTTCCCAGAAGGTGGAAGAAGCAACAAGGGGATCATCTGCCTTGGACCTAGTCCTCACCAACAGGGAAAAGCTGGTCAATGAAGCAAAAGTACTGGGAACCTTAGGAGGAAGTGACCATGTCCTCTTGGGTTTCATGATTCAGAGGCAAGGGAAAGCTTACTGTAGTTGGACATGCACTCTGGACTTTAAGAAGGCTGGTTTCAAAAAGCTTGAGGAACTACTGGGTGAGATCCCATACTCAATGAGAAGGAAGCTCAAGATGGATGGGAGTTTCTTAATGGTGAAGTACTGAAGACACCAATTCCAACAAGAAATAAAAGAAGGAGGCATAAGGAGCTTCAAATATCTCAAGGGCTGCCACATGAGAAGATGGAGCAACCTTGTTTTCTCCTGCTCTGGAGGGTAGGGGTCAAACCAATGGCTTCAAGTTACAAGAAAGGAGATTCCAACTAACCATCAGAAAGAACTTTCTGACAGTAAGAGCTGTTCAACAGCAGAACAGACTTCCTCAGAAGGCTGTGGACTCTCCTTCATTGGAGGTTTTTAAGCTGAGGTTGGATGGCCATCTGTCATGGATGCTTTAGTTGAGATTCCTGCATTGCAGGATGTTGGACAAGACGGACCTCGGGGTCTTTTCCAACTCTTCAGTTCTATTATTCCTCCACAGATATGACTTGTCTCCTTTTAAAGCCATCCAAGCTGGCGGCCATCACTTCATTTTGTGGGAGCAAATTCCATAGTTTAGCTACGTGTGTGCTGTGTGAAGGAATCGGGTGCCTTCTGCTTTGATTATGGTTGCTTTATTAAACACGCAGCTGGGAGGAGTAGTGATGACATTAACTCAGGACATGAAAGCAGTACCAGATATATACGAAGAGCGAGGCGGGCTTGAGGGTCACTCCGAGCTTGGAGACCAATGGAACATGGCGGTATCCTAGAAACAAACCAAGAAGGAAGAAGATTTTTTCCCCAAACAATGTCCTAAATCTAAAATGCACATCCAATAATATATGATGAAGGAAGGAGCTTTTAAAAAAAAAACCATGCCAATTTTTTAAAAAGTAAATCCACACATGTGATGCATACAGACCATGCTTTTAAAGCACATTGTTTCCTTTGCCCCCAAATCCCCAGTTCTGTAGTTTGTTAAGAATGGAAGGAATCGTAATCCTGGGAGGGTTAAACTACAGTTCCCAGGATTCTTGGGGAAGGGGCAGTTATGCGCTTTCAATGTGTTTCAAATGCATGTTGTGTGTGCAGCCATGTTCATACAATCCTTGGGGAACTACCTATGTGGAAAAGCAAGAGACCAGGTTCTTCCAGAGAGCTAATGCAGCCTGGTCAAAGAAATTGGGTATGCCCAGTGGAGAATTTGCTTTTCTCTCTGCCACCCCATGGCACACCCCATTTTCTGGCCCTGTGGATCACTGCTAGATGAGAAATGTCAGTGGAGAGCTCTGAGAGGCCTCCATGTACGGGCTTCCTACTCTGCCACACTAGAGAGGCCTCCACCCATGGACTTCCTGCTCTGCCCATGGCAGGGGTGTGGACCCTCAGCATCCTACAGCCCCTTGGCCTATGCTCTATGTGGGGCTACCTTTGAAGGTGATTCGGAAACTGCAATTAATCCAGAATGCGGCAGCTAGACTGGTGGCTGGGAGTGGCCACCGAGACCATATAACACCGGTCCTGAAAGATCTTCATTGGCTCCCAGTACGTTTCCGAGCACAATTCAAAGTGTTGGCACTGACCTTTAAGGCCCTAAATGGCCTCGGTCCTGTATAGCTGAAGGAGCGTCTCCACCCCCATCATTCTGCCCGGACACTGAGATCCAGCACCAAGGGCCTTCTGGTGGTTCCCTCACTGCGAGAAGTGAGGTTACAGGGAACCAGGCAGAGGGCCTTCTTGGTAGTGGCGCCCGCCCTGTGGAACGCCCTTCCAGCAGATGTCAAGGCAATAAACTATTTTACTTTTAAAAGACACCTGTGTAGGAAAGTTTATAATGTCTGACGCCATATTGTTTTTGATATTTGGTTGGAAGCCACCCAGAGTGGCTGGGGAGACTCAGTCAGATGGGAGGGGTATAAATAATAAATTATTCTTATTCTTATTGGCCACACTCCCAGCAACTATGATTGCTTCTTAAGAGACCTATGTGTCCCCTGCAGAACACACAGAGTATTGGATAATATGGAGATCTGGCCCTCCAATTCTCCCCAGGCCACAAACGCTCTGCAGACACAGCTCCCAGTGGCCCTGTTTTGTAACCCCATTGAATGCTTGAAACGTATCTTCTGAAGGTGCCTTCTGCTTGCCTGAAGGAGAGAGAGAGAGGTGAGTGTATGGTTCTGGGGTGGGGGTCATCACAAGGGCCAAAGCTGACCCTCCAGGTCTCTCTGTCTGGTCCTTGGAACTCTCCTCAATCCACACTCCTCACTGGCCCTGTTTGCCTCCCAGGTGCTTTTGCCTGGCTGCAATGTGTTCTTAAACACTCACAATGCCTCTTGCTTGTCTGAATGGACAAGGTCCACTGTAGAAACTAGCTGACCACATAAGGTCAAATTTGCATCCATGTGGCCCCTGGAAGGTTGCCCAGGAGGGAATATGGCCCTCAAGCTGAAAAATGTTCACTGCTTCTGTCATAGAAGGAAAAGTTCTTTTGATCTTGCAAAATAAAAAAGAAAGTTGTCTAACTATTTTGCTTCTTCATTTCTTTTGGCACTCTTGACAGTAGAGATTTACTTTAGCTTTCCCAGAAAATCATCCTTGTATGCCATTTAAAGTAATAATCTCTCTTTATTTTGTACTGCTAACTTCATACTGGTAGATTTGAATGCATTTTTATTTGTGGTTTTCCTGTGCCTTGATATTGATAAATAGACATCTTCCTCTTCCATAATAGCATTGCAAGATTTAGTCTGACAGCACATAGACTTTGTTGTCTTGTTAGAGACTAAATATTTCAAGACGGTTCATGTAGCCTGAAATACAGCTTAATAATTCTATGGATATTTCATTGGGTTGTGGATATAATATTAAACTCAAAGAAATATTTTATAAACTGATTTTATGTGGGAGGGGTTTTTTAAATAAATAAATATTGTAGCTACAAAACAAGTATGAACCCGTTTGATGGATTTCTATCGCACAAACTTTTAAATTCTCCTAAAATGACTATATTGATTTAAAGGCTGCCTTTGTCTATGGCTGATTTGGCTAATTTAATTCCTCTGTACAAAACTGTAATCAAGTTATTTCACCACAATCTAGAGCTCTGCAGCCACTCCAGCAATAGGGCAGCTGTATCAGCGCAGAGGGACCACATGTGCAAAATTGTCTCAAACTCCACAATGAATGGGGAAACCTATGCATGCACAAATATTGTGTGTGTGCATGCTGACTCCTCCCATCCCTGCTTAATCTTACCTTTATTCAGGCTCATAACTGGCAAAGTAAATTGACCGAGGAAGTCATTTGCAGTTAGTGCCATCTGATCTTCTAAAACAAAGCGTATTAAGGCAAGATCGGGAACATTGATGTTAAACGTGAATGTTTCATTCCATCTAGGATTCAAAGCTGCAAGAAACAGGAGGGGAAATCTAGTTGTTGGACATGCGTTTTTGAACAGAGCTCCGCTGAACATCTTACCCAAGTTCAGGTGTATTAGACTTACCATTGTTCTTTATGACAGAAGTCTGCTGTTTATTCATATCTCCAGGAACTCCATGAATCTCTATCTTGACTACAGGATCAGCCTTATTACTCTTGGAGAGGTTGCTTGGAGGCAGCTGGCAACCACTGATAATCTACATAAAGGAAATCAACCGCCAGCATGAATGAATTGCTCAAATTACAGAGATACGTTCCCACAAGAATCCACTTTGAGACTTCTCCTTTCATTGTTGGAAGATCTGAAGTGACGCTGGTTCCTCTGGAGATGCTGAACTCAAGGTGCCTGCTTGTCTGCCCACTCCCCTTTTTCTGTCTACACATGTTCACCCCACACACTTAAAGAGAACTAGTGTGGAATGGCAGCACGCTCCGTGTCATCTGAATAAAAGACGACATGGTGTGGGCTGCTAGGGATTTGGGGGTGAGTGCCAGGGCTAGGCGCCCCCTCCAAAAAAAACCCATGGGCAAGTGAGGACTCCAAGGGTTGCTGATCAGAAGGTCGGCAGTTCGAATCCCCGCGACGGGGTGAGCTCCTGTTGCTCGGTCCCAGCTCCTGCCCACCTAGCAGTTCAAAAGCGCATCAAAGTGCAAGTAGATAAATAGCAAGTAGATAAATAGATACCTTCCGGCAGGAAGGTAAACGGCATTTCTGTGCACTGCTCTGGTTTGCCAGAAGTGGCTTAGTCATGCTGGCCACATGACCCGGAAGCTGTCTGTGAACAAACGCTGGCTCCTTCGGCCTATAGAGTGAGATGAGCACACAACCCCAGAGTCATCCGCAACTGGACCTAGCAGTCAGGGGTACCTTTACCTTTACCTTTTACTGTGCTGAAATTGATTCACTCTACCTTTTTCTGTTTTTGCTCTTGTTGCAACAACAACATGGGATTGTATCCAGGTAAGAATTACTCAGAATAACTCTAAGTAGTTCTACTCTAACTGGGACAAGCATGGGAGACAACCCATCATCATTATTTTATGACAACAATATTGCTAGTGTGGTTATATTATGAGGGTAGACAGCCCCAGCATCAAATGATGGAGGGCACTCTCTGAATTTCTGAATTTACAAATTTCACATGATACAACCCCAGCCAACATGGCCAATGGTCAGAAGTGATGGGAGTTGTAGTCCAGCAACCTCTGGACTACAAACGGTGAAATTTCACAGTCCAATTCAACCCTGGGATGAGAGCTTTGAAAATGCCACATAAATAAATACTACAGCACTCCACGGTGTCATCCTCTTTAAATCTCTTGAGATTTTCAGAATTACAACCATTAGCTCTACTAAGAAGATTGCTATAGCATGGATCCCTATATAGCGTTCAATCTTTCTCCTACTGTCAACAACAGGAGTCATCCATTAACTGCTGCGGAAGGAGGAAAAACATCCATAAGTATATATGATTTAAATGCTTTAGAAAAGATTCACTTTACCATAAACATAAAAATAAGATGTTATAAAATCAGCAGAACACAGAGTCGTCCAGGACCAATATTGTATAACACAAAATGCATAGGCATAGACCCCCATAGTGCTTGGGTGATACCTATATCTCAAACACTTTCTTGGTTCATATGATTCACTAACTTTCAAATTATACTTTGGAAAACTTCGGGAGTTTCTCAGAAGCTTGTCAGGGTTTCTTAATCAGATGAATCATAATGGCAGATAAGATTTCCTGACAGAAAGCTTTCATTACCAAAACCTCAAAGTTTTTTTTGTTTTTGTTTTTTAAAAACAAAACAAAACTACGATGCAATAATTCATTAATCCAATGAAGCTGAATGTTGGAAAATTCAGCATAGATAAAAGGAAGTGCTTTTTCACAGTGTATAGTTAAACTGTGAAACTCAATCCCACAGGAAATTGGTTGGCTTTAAAAAAGGGTTAGACAAATTCATGGAGGACAAGGCTATTGATGTCTATGTTCTACTTCTACTTGTCAGGTGTATTATACCTCTTAATGCATTAGGGTTGTCCTGCCTTTGAATATGGAGGTTCTTTTTCACCAATACTCTTTGATAGACCAATTCTCCACAAATCAGTCCAACCTCTTCTTACAAATCTCCAAGGAAGGAAAGTCCACCGCCTCTCGTGGAAGATTGTTCCATTGCTGAATCCTTCTTACTGTCAGAAAGTTCTTCCTGTTATTTAGTCAGAATCTCCTTTCTTGTAACTTGAATTCATTGGTTGGGGCCCTAGCCTCTGGAGCAGGAGAAAACAAGCTTGCTTCATCCTCCATGTGACAGCCCTTGAGATGTTTGAAGATGGCTATCACATCTTCTCTTTACCCAGGCTAAACATACCAATTCCCTCAACCATTCCTTATGAAGGAGGGAGAAAAATATCTGGCCTTGTTTAACACGCATTTTTTAAAAAAATGGTAAACAAAATCTTTGTTAAAGGTTGGCAAGATGGGAAGAGAATGCTTATTCTGTAGCCAGACCACCTCCACCCCCCAAACACACACACACTGTACACCGCTGGTATTTAATAACCTGTCAAATGTCTTTGATAACTATTTGCAGCTTGCTGGCCACAGAATTTATAGTATTTGAGGTATTTTCAACAACAAGCACAGGAGAGTACCAGGAAATATTACAGATAATAAATCAAACCTGTTTGATTTATTTTTGTTCAAACAGGCAATTTTCCAGAACCATCTCTGTACATGAATATCACAGCTTGCCCTGAAAGGTTTAATTCAATTTGCCTCTCTCTATTTTCAACATGCTACGGTAATGTTCTAAATTGCAGCTGAAGAATGACCTAGGTGTACTGAGAACGAGATCCTTGTAAATAACAGTATTTAATGAGGCTGCCTTGTAAGCAGAATGCCAGAATTTTTGGAAAGTTCAGTTTCATTCTTGGATGCTGCAAATTAGATTTAATCCCAATCCGGGGATACATTGTAGCTAGGGGGCTAGAGAGGGTAAACTGTAACTATACTCCTGCATTCCTATCCTAGCCCTATTGAATTCAGTGGGACTTACTTCAGAGTTGGGATCTAATAAGGTATCATTTTCCATGCTGCTCTGCGTTCTTTGCATGCAGAATTGTTTCTGTTCTGCTGCAGTCGGTTTTCTGCCAAAAACTACATTATTTGTCTCGCTATCCATGGTGGCAAAATTTACATAAGTTACGTAATTAATTAGATAAATCGCATCAGTTATGTTGATGTTATTCCGCCCCCTTCATTTCCGTGCAAAGGAAATACAAAACCGATGGGGGGAACATAAGCAATTGTGTATCATTTACAGACTGGCAGCAAAAACAGCAGCTAATACCAATTGTACTTGCTGAATTGATTTCTCTTCCAGACATGGGATAAGTAAGTGAACAATGGCCATTTCTGCTCCTGTTTCTGAATTCTTTGGCATCCCTAGTTTTGAGTAGGCATGATTAGGGTTGCCCACAGAAAACTCTGCCTCCAGGAAGGGTTTCCCAATTCAGAACTGCCCTACTGGATCAGACCAAAGACCCATCTAGCATTCTGCTTCCAAACACAGCCAACTGCATGTTTCTGTGAAGATCACAAGTTGGCCGTGAAGTGAGTGCTGGGTCATGGGCAAGTCTGGAGAAATTTAGGAGCTGGGAAATGAGAGGCTGGAGTAAAAATTAAGAAACAACAGGGAAGTGGGCCAAAGGCAGGAGACCAAAGAATTATCAGGATGCAAGAGAAAGAATTATGAAGGCAGGGATCCAGATGAAGAGGAAAATACAAGATATGGGAAGTGCTCAGGCAGATCTTGTTGCTCAAGCAAGGTTTAGCTTGAGAAAAGAGGCTCTCTAAACTCTCTTCTGTCCAGAAAGATCTAGCGATCAGTTTGGGTGAGCAGAGTCAATCCAGAAGGTCAATCTGAGATGGTTGCCAACTGAAGTTCAACAGTTCACCACATGAGGCAGCCACATGGATTCCAGCAGTTCCTGGTATTGTGCCGCCATCACCTTTTTTTGGTTTCAGTCTCTGGTATGAAAATGTACATACCCTGAACATAAAGTCTGTACTTCTGAATATGGAGCCCCCATTTAGCTCTCATGATTAAGGCTGCTCCTAAAATTATTGCATTCTTCTTAGTTCAAAGTATGCTGTTTAAATCCATGGGTTGTATTACTCCTATTACTATTACTCCTACTCACGAATATACCCATTGAAATTAATGGATACAACTAACTAAGGTCTATTAATTTCAGTGTGTCTGTTCTGAGCATGGATGGAAGGATCTGTCAATTCTGGTTTTCCCCATTTGTCACTGTACCAGTCTTACATTCAGTTCTCAACATTTCTACAGCAATCTGGGGAAATTCGTCTGCTTTTTTCTCCCTGTAAACACAGTTTTGTATGCAGTTTTGCAAGCAATTTCCCCTAATATGGTGCGTTTTGTATGTTATTCTCCCTAATGTGTTTATCTTCATGCACATTCTCCCCAAATATATGAATTCTGTACACATTGTCTGATTGCACAACTACACTGCAAATTGAGATAAGTGGAAATTTTGAGGAATAGGTTTGCATCTTTAGGTAGGGCTGGGAAAGTCTCCTGTCTGAAACTCTGGATGCTATCAGTGCAGATCTTGCATAGGGAACCTGTGGCCTTCCAAATGTTGCTGGCCTACAACTGCCATCAACCTTGATGAACTGGGGCCATAGGCGCCAACTTCAGGGGGCCCTGGGGGGGCAGGGCACCCATAAAAAACCCTGTGGGTTCATGGCCCCGTCCTTGCCACCACTGAACCGCTGCCTGCCTGCCACTGAACAGGACTGAGCCAATGGGGAAGTCCACTGTGAGCTGTCCAGGGTGCTGATCACTGCTTAGAAAGAGATGCATTGCACTGCCCTAGCTGGTTGGATTTGAAAGGACTTAACCATGCTTGGCTAGACTTACGCAGCTTCCCTCACCGGGGCAGGGTAGGGATTTTACCTGTGGGCACATGGGCCAAGAGTCACTAGAGATGTACAACTGAAATGTTAAACCAATAATGAATTTGGGATATTGTCTTTTTTAAAAAAAAAAAATAGAGCTTAGGAGAAGTAAGGTAAAGGTAAAGGACCCCTGTACGGTTAAGTCCAGTCAAAGGCGACTATGGGGTTGTGGCGCTCATCTCACTTTTAGGCCGAGGGAGCTTGTATTTGTCCACAGACAGCTTTCCAGGTCATGTGACCAGCATGACTAAACCGCTTCTGGCACAACAGGACACTGTGATGGAAACCAGAGCGCACGGAAACGCCATTTACCTCTCCCATTTATCTGCTTGCTCTGGTATGCTTTCTTTTATTATTATTTTTTATTAATAGCATTTTTATTAAAGTTTTATAATTACAAATATCATGTACCATAATCCAATCCTACCTTTACAATCCCCACCCTCCACCTGGTGTCCCTCATTTTCCTCCTCTGGTTTGTTACATTGTTTGTTGTATTCTACATGTATATATACTATTAAATGTTGTTACATTGTCATCCTCCATTTTGAAATTCAATAAAGTTGTGAAAGTTTATTCACATCTTGACATTGAGTACATTTCTTTTTGTTATTTCTGCAAATAGCTTGTAAAAAAAATTCCCATTCCTTTTTAAAGTCACTGTTGTCTTTTTCGCTCTGGTATGCTTTCGAACTGCCAGGTTGGCAGAAGCTGGGACAGAGCAATGGGAGCTCACCCCATCTCACAGATTCAAACTGCTAACCTTCCGATCAGCAAGCCCAAGAGGCTCAGTGGTTTATAAAACATAACATAAGTATCATATATGAATGATAAGTAAAAGGTGGAATGAAACCTTCTTACCCTTACTGTTAGTGTAAGCGCTCTGAATTTCATGTTTACGTCATGTGGGTTGTAGTCTGTGTCTCTCTTTCTCAGGAATTCTGGTTTTAAGATATAACCAGAGCCACCATTGTCCAAATACTTTCCATTCAGTAGATCCATCTGTACTCCGGGTGTCTGGAAGTTTAAGGCCACTGCAAGTGGGGGAAGAGATATTTTCAGTTGCATACAAGGTATTGTGTGAGCAGTTGTTGTTTTTAAATGCAACTGAAGTAATGACTGATTTTCAGAAATATTTCCCCCTTCACACACACACACACACACACACACACACACACACACCAGGATCTGATGAAACACACACATACAGAGACATTGAAAAAACAAATGGGAGTGATGAAACTGCAAGGGTTGGGCCTCTGAATTTCTGGTGCATGCAATGATCACATACCCCAACACTTGCACATTTTGCTCTACGCACCTATATCAGCACGTGCTTGTAGCCTCTTTGCCTGGCTCCTGTGCACATCTCATGGGGATCGTGGGATAACATACCTCCCCAGGCTTTAAAATGCAGTTCAGAAAACCTCTTGATGGTTTCATAATCTATCCTATGCAACTGCTCCATGGGACACAGAGCTAGGGAAAACTTCCTAGAGGCTAGAAGGGTGTTTCCATGTGTATCCAGAGCACTGTGGGAGTTGCTGTAAGTGCATGTTTTTGTCAATAAAGAATTAACTATCAGATGTGTACCTTCCTTGGCTGGGGGTGTCTAGGGCAGAACTGGGTGGAGCAGCAATTCTAAATTTCATCTTTGTACAGCAGCCTAGTTTCTACACATGCAGATAGCTCAGTTGGTTAGAGCATGATGATGATGATGCCAAAGTTGCAGGTTTGATCCCTGTCTGGGACAGCTGCATATCCCTGCATTGAAGGGTGTTGGACTAGATTAGCCTCAGATGAACCCTACAATTCTATGAGCCTATGATTACTCTCTAACCTCCATCCAGAGAACCAAGAGTCATTATCAGTAGTCAAGGGCCTGTTCCTGCAAGGCACTTGGAGTGTGAAGCAGGGCTGGGGTAGGGTGGGGTCTGGGGAGGGTTTTGAGGACCAGATAATGAAGGACCATATTTGGCCCCTGGGCATGAGGTTACCCATCCCTGTCCATTAGTTTGGCAGGCACTGCAGAAAGAGCATTCCTAGTAGTGCCACCTGGACTAGGTAACACCTGAAGTCGGAAGATTGACCCTTTCAAATGGGATTTAAAGACCTGTTGTGCTCAAAAGGTGCACAGAAGCAGCCTTGAATCAAGTTAAACCATTTGTCCATCTAGCCTAGTACTGTCCATTTTTTTCTCCCCACGGCAGTCCAATATCTTAAGCAGAGAAAGCTATTTCCCATTGCCTCCTATAAGAACCTTTTAGCTGGAGATGCCAAAGTTGGAACCTAAAGATTTTCTGTCTGTTTAGACAATCTTCTGATCTTTAATTTGCCTAATTGATTTCATCTAGATTTACTGACTGCTGTTTAGCTTCTCTGCTTGGCATTCTTTTTGGTAGTTTTATTGTTCTGCTTAGGTTGTGTTTTGTTTCATTGGGTGTTCTGTTGCTGGAGAACACTTCAAAGCGAGGTCATGAATTAAATAAAACTAGATAGGTAAGGTAGATATTTCCACCACAACCTCCTCATCTATCCTGTAAATCAGCCTTCACTAACCTGACGCTCTCCAGCTGTTTTGGATTGCAACTCATTTCAACCTCAGCCAGCATGACCATGCAGGCTGAAGCTGATGGGAGTTCAAGTTGAAAACATCTGGTGGGCACCAGGTGGGTAAAACTTTCATCTGTTAGGCATTTAAATGGAACAGAGATTATAATAAATATAGGTGACAGTTTGATAAGGAAGCTTGTAGACCTTAAGGCTGCAGTCTTGTTGCAGTTTTGCTTGGGAGGAAGATCACATCTATGCTATGCATTTAAAGAACACTTAACACACATGGCTTCCTCCAATAATCCCAGGAACTGTTGTTTATCCCCTCACAGAGCTACTATTGCCAAACATCTTAAAAACCTACAGTTTCCATGGGGTTGTTTTTTCAGCCATGTGCTTCAATTGTGTTTTAGACAGCAGGTGTAGATGCAGCCAAAGTCTCATTGAGCTTGATGGAACATACTTCCAACTCAACATGCATGCATAGCTTCAACATTCACAAGGGACTGACTCTCTCTCTCTCTCTCTCTCTCTCTCTCTCTCTCCCCCCCCCCAGACTGTATTGCTATTCCCATCATACAAATCTGATGATTGGCAGCATGCGGACAAGCTCAAAATAGTTATATCTCAAAGGGCAAAACTCTTTGGTTCAGAACCTTTTAATTTCATAGAAATAAAGTCACTCCTTCCGCATGTCACCCATTCAGTTCTGGGTGCTGCAGTGACATTTACAAATCATCCAATTTCCTGCAGTGCAGGCTGCCTGAGTCCTGAGTGGCACTCAATAAATGATCCTTTCATGCCAGGAAACTGTCCACTGCCAACAATGCACCCAGTCAAAGCTTTTAGAGGCAAGGAGTTAATATCACTAAACAGATCACTTTATCTTTTGTTATGCATTACACACATGCCATTAAAGAGGAGCGAAAAATGAAAGCAATGAGCAGGAAGAGATGTAATTAGTATTTTTGTTCTTCCCCCCAACTGCCGCAGGATGAAAGAAAGTACATGGCTTCATATAATGAATTTGTTGTTACATTTCCCATTGCAATGACAAACAAGTTAAGACATAAACATTAGGCAGTGTGCTACAGGAAGAGGACTTAGACATCTGTTTAGAAGGCCAGCACAGCATATTTTTGAGCAGGAGGGATTGCAATTTTGACTCAGCCATATGTCCGCTATCATCAAGGCTGCATTCAGGTCAGGGCTGGGGAACCTTCCACTCTCCATAAATTATTGGACCACAACTCCCATCAGGCCCAGCCAGCATGATGATGGCAGTTGCAGTCCACCACATCTCCGCCTCTTTCCAGCCTCCTCTTTCAAGCAGATTGGATGCTTTCATTTCTGATTTTAAAATGTGTACAGCCTTCCATGACATCCAAATGGAGGCAACTGCCCTTTGTTTAAAATATGGTTAATGAGTAATGCTCATATCATGGCTTCAGAACCTGGCTTGTGCTGGAATCATTGTTTACACAAACCATGGTTTCCTGAGTTCAAATGTCACAGGGAACTGTGGTTAGTCTGTTACAAAAAGATACTTTGCACATCCCCCGGTGCACAAAGAGAGGAGGAGGAGGACCACATGATTCACCCTGCCCCGACTCTCCACTATGGTTCTCCATTACATCTCAGACTGGCCAATGTGTTTGATGCTTCTTTGCTTTACTGTCTCCAGGTGTGTAGAATCTTCGGCTCTCCCAATGCTGCTGAAATATCACTCTCATCAACTCTGGCCATTGGCTACACTTTCTGGAGCTGATCAGAGTTCTAGTTTAGCAATATCTGAAGGGACAGAAGTTCCACACACCTACCTTAACCTTATTGCCCTCCTCAGCCCTCTGGCCTGTGACTGCAACCCAAAAGCACTCTAGATTCCAATATATGTCAGCCCCCAACCTGCTTTCATCCATGTGAGACATTATCAAATCTAAGCCATATATCTAAACCTATTTTGGTGTTTCATGCATGCAAAGACATCACATAAAATTAGATGGAAAAGCCTACCCATTTGGCACCCAACGTTCCAGAATTCTTGTGGATCATAATTTGAAGAGTCTGTCCTGGTTCCTTTGGGGTAGATTCTTGTAATGAAGTTTGTTGTGTGTGCAATGAAGTCAGGAGCTGCAAAGAGGGATGGTGCACATATTTTATTAAAAAGTACAAAATTTTAATATTTCAAAGGTAAGATAATTTGATGTGTGTTTGTGGCAAAGTCACCATGCAATATTCATGCCCACAATGCTACGCAATATTTCCTTACATCTCTTCTATGAACTCATATTCAAAAGTAACATTTTTAAAAAAAAACAAAAAAACATAAACCTAGCCAGCCACGGACCCTGGAAATCAACATAACCATGAACCAGTTGTAGATGACAGGATATCAAGGATAGAGTCCACTGGAAGAAATCTTAACTCTGATATTTTTTATATATATATAAAAAAAGGCTGTAGTCCATATGGTCACAGGGAGAACATGTAAAAATGTGCCTGTTGTTCAAAACAAACAAGGAGAAAGCATATGTTCAAGCGAAGGTTCAGTTCTATTGATTTCAAAAGGGAGGGTAAGTATCCACTAAACTCTCTCCCACTGGAAATGATGTGATTTATTATTGTTTATTTTATTCATTTATCACTGCATTTATATCTCACTTTTCCTCCAAGGAGCTCAAGGTTATCCCCCTCATCATTTTATCCTCACAGCAATACTGTGAGAGGATGGTGAGGCATTCCTGCTCCTTCCAGCTCTCATCTCCTGCAGCCCGACTTATGATGTAACTTCCTGGGACTCCAGCTGCTGCCATGATGGCAACCAAGCAACCCACCAGGGTGCTCCCTTGTGCAGAAGTGTGCACTTCTGCGTTCTAGTCACCAGCATAGCTCTATTCTGGAAGAAGTCACGAGAGCCGTAGAAATGGACTAGAATGTGAACAGAGTGTTTGTACCCCATAAATGGACATAAATCTTGTGATCAGGAATCACAAGACAGAGAAACCAGTAGGAGAACACTTCAATCTCCCAGGACATTCTATACAAGATCTCAAAGTAGCTGTCTTATTACAAAAGAATTTCAGAAATAGACTGGAAAGAGAAGTTGCTGAATTGCAACTTATTACCAAACTTAAAACCATGGAGAGACCTGGTCTGAATAGAGACATTGGATTCTTATCTCATTATACATGATATAGCTATTTTTAGCCATCTCGCCCCTTGATTTTTTCTGTAAGACCAGTTGCAGTCATTAACAGTCGTCAACAGGCTTACCACACCTATCAGCCAATCACCAATTCCCACCACCCCTCTGAGTAATACCCCTCCCCACCCTTTCACTATATATAAGGGTCTGGTGACTTCTGTTTCAGTGTATCTGAAGAAGTGTGCATGCACACGAAAGCTCATACCAATAACAAACTTAGTTGGTCTCTAAGGTGATACTGGAAGGAATTTTTTTATTTTGTTTTGACTATGGCAGACCAACACAGCTGCCTACCTGTAACTGTACCCCATAGAGAACTCTTTCACTACAGGCATAGCTATAGGAAAGTGAGGCCTACAATTGGCCAGAGATATATTCCTTACCGAATAAGGTTCTTGCCTTTCTCCTGCTGCTTTGCACTTTGCAGCACGCATGGAAGTGGATACAGTGAGTATCTCATCGGATCAATGTGTGCAAGAGCCCGGACACCCCTGTAAGTGCCCTTTCCATTTGGTCAACCTTAGCTGGAATCCAACATGGCGGCAACAGCTTGGCCGTGAACCCCCTGGGATGGCCTCGCAACCCACCTGTGGGTCCCAGCCCACTGGCTGAAGATCTATAATGTAAACCTTTCAACCACCAGACTATTAGAGAAATGAACTAAGGATAAATTCTGAATTCCATTATAGCTCCCACTCCACAAAACAAATGTTGTGATTATGCAAACTGCAGGAGGCCCAATTTGCATCATTTATTCCAGTTCGGGGGAGGGGTTGTTTAAGTGGGTGATTTGAGAAGCCCCAAGAATTGTAATTTTTGCTACAATTTCTAGGCAATCCATCTCTCTCTGCTTCTGGTGCTGTGCTATGTCTCAGCCAGGAACTCTTGATATGAAATGGGAATCCCTATGCGATGCAACAGCAACCAACATACGAGCCTGTGCTATTTTTTGTACTCATTTGAAATATTTATAACCTGCGCTTCTGATTAAAAGCCTCCAAGGTGGCTTGCAACAACCACTAAATAAATCCTGCACAATATTAAAATGAAAAGGATACAATTATTTCAAATGGCAACAGCAGAAGTTATGAGTATAAATGAAGCAGGAAACAGGGGTGGGCAGATGAGTCCGTTTCACATATATTTATTATTTACAAGTCTTTTCCATCCAGTTCCGGCCTCAATCAAAGAGTGTTTAGAAATGTGTGTTTTGTTAGGAAAGGCATTCCAGAATATATATACATTCCAGAATATACAGTGGTACCTCTGGTTGCGAATGGGATCCATTCCGGAGGCCCGTCCACAACATGAAAAGAGCGCAACCTGCAGCGGTGCGTCTGCACACGCACGTGTTGCGATTCACTGCTTTTGCGCATGCGTGTGATGTCATTTTGCACTTCTGTGCATGTGCGAGCAGCGAAACCCGGAAGTAACCCTTTCCAGTACTTCTGGGTCACCGCGGGACGAAACCTGAAAGAATGTAACATGAAGCGGACGTAACATGAGGTATGACTGTATATATAAAAAGAACATATATTGGGTTGTTTTCTTAAAAAAATGTTTAGGGGTACTCTCATTTTCCTACTCATATTGAAATACTGCCCCTCAATGAAGCCAAACTTAGATTCACAAAATGTTTAGGGTATGCGTACCCCTGCGTCCTACCAGAAAAAAGCACTGTGTGTGTGCGTGGGGGGGGGGAGAGAGACAGAGACAGAGATAGAGATATTCTTGCCCACACCCCTTACCATAAATGTCCCAGGGCAGGTTATAACAAAGTAGTATAGAATCATAACAATAGATTTTAAAACTTTACAGTTATAAAACGGGGGTGGGGATGTTCTAAATGTGAAAGAACAGTATACATTCAATAAAAAGGGATTTGACCAGAAAACAAAAATGCTTTGATTGCCAGAGGCCAAGGTAAAAGGTGCATCTTAACTCAAAAGCTGTATAATGGAGACAGAAACTCAACACACTTCGGCAGAGGGGAAGATCCACAATTTAGGTGGAAATTTAGGTGCAAATCTTCATGCAGATTTTTAAAATCCCTACTTGAACATTTGCACTTAAAGGCATATTCCCAAAAGCTTTCTCTCACAAAAATAAGCATTTCTAAACAGGTTTTTAATACTTTTTTTTGAGCTGACAAGTTCACCCCAAGCTTCAGAGAAGTGTAAAATCAAGAGGGTGAGCTGCAAGGTTCTTATCTGCATTTTAGTTCAGGAAGTGCAGAACAAGTCAGGTCATATCAGAATTCACAAAGATCAAAATCCTCAAGCGCAGTCCCTGGCGGTGAAACAGATCGTCCTCCAAGTACATGTGCAAACAACATCAACCCAGTGTCTGAAGGACAGCAAGGTTAGCAGCCTCTGAGGATGTTCCAGGATGTTAACACCATGGGGAATGAATGACCTGTCGCCTTCTGCCTAATTTCAGAAGGTGGGGACAGGCATCCTTAGAATGATCTCTGAAGCAGATCTTATAATAAGGCTGAGCTTCTGTGGGAGAAGGCAATTCCTCCAATAGCTCCTGACCCTAAGTTTCTGGAGACGGTAGTACCCAGATAATGGTTCATGTTATTTTGCTCATTATAGAGAGATCCACACAAAGAGTTAATCACTCCATTATTTCTGTCTCAGCTGGGATACCCAGCTAATTATTACAATGACTTTTCTCCTTGCAGATCAATATAAGCTGCTGGCAGCAGGAAGAAGAAAAAAACCTGCAAAATTCATAGCAACCTCCATTAAAATAAGGGCTGCCAAAGTGCCCAGAGTTTTAAATTGTATCATTTTAAAATTCTAATTGATTTTAGTAATTTTACCCACTCAGTAGGGTTTATACTTGTATATATTTCTATTATGCTTATATCGGGAAGCAAATGACTGGTGTCTCAGTTGAATTTGGTAATTTTCCCTGCTTAGTTGTTCACATATGTGTGCATTTTATGTTTTGTGCAGATTGCAAAGGCCAGTGGCTGAAACAAATAAATATCTATTTATTTAGAGTTTTATTCCATAGACAGCACTTCAACTTCTTTGCAGAAGCAAACAGTAAACCAGTAAAGACCTCTTGATTGGATTTGGCTCTCGATGCAGCAGAGTACGGCAAAGATCAGTAATACCACAAAGATGCAATCTTATGCTCACCTATCTGGAGGTAAATCCCACTGAATGACGTCTACAAGAGGGTCCTTAGGACTGATTCTCTTGCATGTTGCAAGTTTAAGCCTACTTACTTGGAAATAAGTTCCAGTAAAATCAGTATGACTTATTCCCAAGCACAGAGGCTTACAATCTGGTTGCAAAGGGCATTCTGGAAACTGCGCTGACTAAGAAACACATTGGGGTATTATCATTATTATTATTATTATTATTATTATTATTATTATTATTATTGCTTTCCCCCCACTGGGACTCAATGGGCATCCATCTAGTCCCGTTGAAGTTAATGGACATGACTAACTCAAGAGTCATTAATTTCAATAAGTCTACTCTAAGTGGGACTTAGTTAAATACCATTCTGTATTGTGCCATGCATAAAGTTTAGTTCTTCCAATAGTTTAAAGAAGCAAACAGCAGCAAGTGTCGATTTTAGAATCTTGTAAATTACCTCTCTTGCTTATAAGTTTTTGTCCTTTCACCTCCCCGATGGAATTATTTTGATAAAACTTCTGCTTCTCCTTTGAATCTTCAAAGCTGACAAAAGACCGGGAAGCTGTGTATATCACAAGTTCTGACAGCAACATGGCGACTTTAACCTTATGAGTCTGTGAATAAAAAGTTAAAAAGCATTACAGCCTTGCAAAGTGAGAAATATGAGGTGATTCTCTCCTGGGGCTTTTGTATAACTGAATAGCTAAGATGTCCTGTTCATTGAACACCAACCATCAGTTAATAGTCACTGAGACAGGCAACACGGCTTCTGCTTTTGCAGAAATCTGGTGTGCTGGAGGTTAAGGATAGAGGAATCTATCAACTTCAGTTCTCTTCCTTTCTCATTTTCCCAGTCTTAAATTTTGTTCCCCACATTTTTACAAGCAATTTGCGATAAAAAAAACCCTCTGATTAATACATTTTGTGTATATCTTTGACTAATATGCACATTTTTACAAGCAATTTGCACTAATGCAATGCATTTTAATGTTGTTTTCACTGCTGCACACATCTTTAATGCACATTTCCCTCAATATATGCATTTTAGTACACAGTGTTTGCTTAGAAAACTGCACTGCAGAAATCAGAGAAGTGTGCATTTCAAAGGATAGCTGGGTTTCTCTTCATGTTTTGGTTCAAGAAGTGTGAATTAGCGACTTTCTCACTGAAATGCAAACAAAATCTAATTCCTTCCCCACCTCTAACTGAAGGTATATTTACCTTCTTGTCCTTCTTATCCTTTTTGGGTGCTGACGCCAATCGAGCAAGCGGCTTCTTGATCAACTGTGCTTTAGGGTCTTCATCTATAAGGTCATCCTCTGACTCCATGACCTCCTCGAGCTCTGCTATTTGGCCCATGCATCTCTGGCCCCTGCGTTGCAGGGTTTCTTCCAGAGTTCCGACTTTCTTATTTTTTATCAAGATTTTGAATTTCAGTTGCTGCGGGAAGAAATTTGAGGGCACTCAGCACAGTAAACCACACAACTGTACAGGAACAAAAACCATTTTTGTTCAGATGTCCACTCTGGGGAAACATTATGCAAACCAGACCAGCAGACACCATGAAAAGGAAACCATGGCTATCCACTCCACTCCTCTTTCAAACCCCAGAAGCCATTCATTTGTTCACATCCAAGTCATCAACCAACATTATATCATGGAGATTCGACTTGCATGTAGGGATTAGCTTTTGGGCTAATGAAAAGGAAACCGTGGTTATCCATTCCACCCCTTCCTGAAAATTAAAGAAAGAAGCTGCACTATAACCACTGCTTGTGGTGAGCCCCACCCTTGAGACTTGTTGGATAAATTCTCCTTCTCCTAGAGAAGCCTGGTGGCATTTCTTCACCCACAATCTGAGTGCAATTTTATAATTTATTTATTTATTTATTTATTTATTTATTTATTTATTTATACATACCCTGCCCATCTGGCTGGGCTTCCCCAGCCACTCTGGGCGGCTTCCAAAAAAATATTAAAATACTATAATACATCAAACATTAAAAGCTTCCCTAAAGAGGGCTGCCTTCAGATGTCTTCTAAAAGTCTGGTAGTTGTTGTTCTCTTTGACATCTGGTGGGAGGGCGTTCCACAGGGAATTTTGAGAAGCATATAGCTCTAGGAAGCAAGCAAGGGAGCCATAGTTATGAGTCAGTTTACACAAGTGTGGTCCTTTCTTCAAGACTGCAGCACCGTGCATGTGTGAAGAAACTCAGGCAGCACAGTTCAAGTGTTGCACACCAACACTGCATGTAGGCTCGTGTTGTCATCTCAAGGACAATGTGTTGTTCCTGAGATATCAGCATGGCTTGTCTATAGCTTGGAATGTCTCACATCTGACTATTTGTTTTACCTGGAAAAAAATTATATTTGAATTTGTTTGAAGAAGGGGGTGGGCAATGTGTAGCCTATACAGGAAGCAGTCTATCAATCAATGCAACACAGGCTCCTCTGCCCTCTCATACTTGCAATATTTATATCCTTCCAAGAAGCTAAAGATGGCATAAGTGGTTCTTCCCCTTCCCCATTTTTATCCTCACAACTAGCCTGTGAATTAGGCTAGGCTGGGAAATTGTGACCATCACAAGGCCATCCCTCATCTTCATGGCCAGGTGAGGATCTGATCCTGGGTCTCCTCAGTCTAATCCATGGTGGCTAACCTGCGACACCCCAGATGTTCATAAACCCCAACCACTAGACATGCTGGCTGGGACTGATGGGAGCTGCAGTCTTCCAACATCTGGAGGGCCATGGCTTCCCAATCCCTTGTCTAACCACTGTACCACACTACTTCATTTCACTCACAGTTTTAAAGGCTCCGGAATGAGCTATGGTGAGAGGAGGGGTGGAAGTGGAAGAATGGGCTGGAACAAGAGTGATATTGATCACAAGCCCTATGAGCACCATCCCATTTCCCCCTGCCCAATCTCATTTTTTATGACGAAGATATTCCAAACTCTGAATAATCATTATGCTGCAAATGTGCACAACAGTTGCAGAGCTTGCACACAAACACACACAAACTGACACACAACAAAACACCCCAAAACACCATATTTTACAATAATAATAATGTTGGGTTTGGGGGGTGGGATGTTACCTCTGGAGAGGGTAGTTCAGATGGCATGCTGTCATCCAGTGTTGAAGTACAGAGGGTATCCCTGAGAATGTCTAGCAAATGGCCAGCCATCTTCTCCTGTTGTGGAGCACTGCAGTGATTCTCCAAAGATATTGTAAGGGGATAATCTGATGCCTGAAAATTTAACATAAAGACTGTTGGTATCCCTCCCCTTTTTGAAACTGAGGAAGTCCATTAACAGAAGAATCCAAACCTCAACCCACGTAAGCTCAAGGGTAGTTGAATGTGTCATGGGCATCCCACCCCCCAGAACTGCCTGGCTGTTTTGACCTCTACCAGTGGGGAGAATCCACAACTGTCATAGGAAAAGTGGGGGTGGAAGGAAGCTACTGCTGGCAATGGTCAGTGTAAACCCTAAACGCGGTTTTTCGGGGTAAGTTAGGAGCAGATCTGAGCTAGCCAAGGATCCTCTAGATCAGTCTTTCTCAACCTGTGGGTCCCCAGATGTTGTTGAACTACAACTCCCATCGCCCCTAGCTAGCAAGGCCAGAGCTCGGGGATGATGGGAGTTGTAGTCCAACAACATCTGGGGACCCACAGGTTGAGAATCGCTGCTCCAGATACTAAACCATTGGCAAATTGTTGCTACTTCAGCCTTTCTTCAACACTGCCGTTGCCACTGGTGATGCAAGCAGCAGGAATACAGCTGCACTTTCCCACTGCTGCTCACCAGGGGTAAGGATTGATCCCTGATTCACTTTTGTGAGGGAAAAATACATGCTCAGTTGCAGATAATGACCAGGAGCAAAGTTGAACTATAGAATTTGCTCCCACAGGAGACAGTGATGGCCACCAACCTAGAAGGCTTCAGAAGAAGGTTAGACCAATTCATGGAGGAGAGGTCTATCAATGGCTAGTAGTCATGATAGCAATGCTGCTGGAAACCAGTTACTGGAAACCACTGGAAGGGAGAGTGCTTATGTGCTTGAATCCTGCTCGTGGGTTTCCCACAGGCATCTGGTTGGCCACTGTGAGAACAAGATGCTGGACTTGATGGTTCAGCAGGTTCTTCTTATCTTCTTAAGTTCTTAGGAGGATTCCAAGGGCTACGTTAGGCATGACCAAGAGCTCATCCATGCCCATCTGGGATTTGTGACTCTGTTTTCTTTTTAAATGCCTGCAGCTGCCACATATTAAAGGTAAATGGCCATTAGGTCCAGTCGTGGCCGACTCTGGGGTTGCGGCGGCCATCTCGCTTTATTGGCTGAGGGAGCTGGTGTACAGCTTCCGGGTCATGTGGCCAGCATGACTAAGCCACTTCTGGTGAAGCAGAGCAGCGCACAGAGACGCCGTTTAGCTTCCCGCCGGAGTGGTACCTATTTATCTACTTGCACTTTGACGTGCTTTCGAACTGCTAGGTTGGCAGGAGCAGGGACCGAGCAACGGGAGCTCACCCCATCGCGGGGATTCGAACCGCCGACCTTCTGATCGGCAAGTCCTAGGCTCTGTGGTTTAACCCATAGCGCCACCCACGTATTAGGAAGTGGCTTTTACAAAGAATGGGGATTGCTGATAGCGGACAGAACATAACAGTGGAATGCTGGGCTGCTTTGCCCCTGAATTTCAAGGATGGTTTCTTGGAGAGACGCTCCCCAGTTTTGGAATGTGAATTTGATCTCTGGTGGCTTTGACACTATGAAATTGGGAATTGGCTGTGTTTGAACTGGGGGCTCAGTGTAATATTGCTTTAATATTGGTGAACAACTTAGTTCTCTTTCACGATTGAGAAATCTTCAGATAAGCAAATAAATAAACAGCAGTCACACAAATGCGGCCAAAATTGTTACGACAAGCAGCCGTTCTCGAAACATATCAAGGTTTTCCTCACTGCACAGTGCTGTTCTGTCCACAGTAATTTTCACAAAGGAATTACAATGGTACCTTGGTTTAAGAACAGCTTAGTTTATGAACAACTTGGATTAAGAACGCTGCAAACCCAGAAGTAGGTGTTTTGGCTTGTGAAATTTGCCTTGGAAGCAGAACATGTTCCACTTCCTGTTGAGTGTATTCCATTTGTAAACTGAGTCCCCCGCTGCTATGGGAAAGCATGCCTTGGTTTAAGAACGCTTTGGTTTAAGAACGGACCTCTGGATGGATTAAGTTTGTAAACCAAGGTACCACTGTATTTTTGTATCTGTTATCCAGCCCTGCCATGTGTCCCAGGCTCACATCTAAGATCTGTTTTATGCTTTCTGTAGGTCAGCTGACAGCATCATATAAGGCTCTCATAGGTCAGCAGACTACCCACCCTCAGAGTCATCTGATACTGCTGTGGGACAAGTAGGTACCCTACGGTGCCCTGTGGACATTTTTCAGAGCTTTTGACCAACTACCTGCACCTACCTCAAAGGCATGCTTGTGGACCACATCGATGACATTCTTGAAGGTAATTTTGCTCGTCAAGGTATGTCCATGATAAACCACAGGCTCATTATTTGGACCATCCCAACAATCAATTTCTACACAGCGGCATCCCTTCTTCAGGGAACTTTAAATTGAAAAAGAAAGGAAGAAGAAGAAGAAGAAGAAGAAGAAGAAGAAGAAGAAGAAGAAGAAGAAGAAGAAGAAAATAAAAAGATCTGTGTCCCATTCATCAGCACTCATAATGCTTTCTGCTTTCCAAATAATGCTTGTTTAGCTATGGAGTTGCACTCCGCTAGAAGCTCAGATAGGGTAGCACACATTTTGATGATCCACAGTTTTTAAGAAAACAGATCTTCTCCAAACAGTTTGCACTCCCATAGAGATATGAAAATATTAGAGAGCCACAGTCTTATTTACAGTTCTAAATTGGACCCACCCTTGGCCATCACTCTGTGTATTCAGATAGAGCAGCGGTTCTCAACCTGTGGGTCCCCAGATGCTGTTGGACTACAACTCCCATCATCCCTAAGCTCTGGCCTTGCTAGCTAGGGGTGATGGGAGTTGTAGTTCAATAATATCTGGGGACCCAAAGGTTGAGAAAGGCTGAGATAGAGGTATAACTCTGTCCTTTTATCTCTGTGCTGGAAGCCCTATTTACCTGACATTGACAATTTCAACCAATTCAATTTAACACCAAAAATAACATCGAAGGTCATGTTGTGACTGTACCTACATCTGAGTTAGAGGCTAAGATGTAACTCTTTATTTAGTCGTCATATTGATCTATCCATATCCTGCCTTTCATCCAAGGAGCTCAAAGGCAGCTTAGGGGAATCCCATTCGATCTTCACAACAGTCCTGTGAGGTAGGATTGTGACTTATCCAAAGCCACACAATAAGCAAGGATTTGGATGCAAAAATTCATTGGACAGCATGATATTCCCAAGTCCCCAAAGTCTTGAGAGGACCATATTTTGTAATTGCAAGACCCAGATGATATTTTGGGACATTTAGGATCCTGGGTGGCAATTTCAGAAGAATTATTCCTGCTTATGAAATCCACAAACTTCAGATGACTCTGAATTCCAAACTCTGGCTGTGTAAAAACCTTTCTGGAGCAGGAACTGGGTGCACCATCTACCTCTTGACTGGAGGTTTCCTTGCAGCTGTGAAGGGCTAACTTAATAACTGACTTGGATTGCCATTCTTAAATCTGTGGGCCCAATTCTGAGTAACCAATCCTGCTAAAGCAATGTGAGCTAAGGGAACCTACTCCTGCAAACTGAGGTTTCCCAGCCACACTTTCTTCCAATGAAGCAGCAAGGCAACCTTGCTGCAACACAGATGGAGGGAGAGAGAGAGACAAGGACCGGGCGCAATTATTGCCTGGGACAAATCACATGGTTTTGCCAATGGTGCCACAGTGATCTGCCATGATGCCACGGGTACTCATGGTAAAAAGCCATGGGATTTGTGTTTGCCACTCACAATACAAAATGCTAGCACCAAAAGGATTGGCAAATGGAGGAACAGAAAGGCCACCAGCCACAAGATTGCACACAAGATTTCCCACGCGTTTGGCCATAGGGCACACTGTAGGCACTGGGTGGGACGCCAAAAGGGGTTCAAAAGAGTCCCAAAGTTCAGAAAGCACTAAATCAGAACAAAAGAATAATTCTGCCATTGTCCTATACAGCTGCAAATAAAACATTTTAAGGGTGTTTTAACGGCAATATACAATGTGACATTAGATGGCGATGGCCAGCCTTATGGAAAATGCAATGTATTTTTTTATTTTTAAGAAAAGCATTTTTGAAGCAGTTTTTATATGTATCTATATTCCACCCCTATTTCAGTTCTAGCTCAGCCACAGACTTGCTTCCAATGAAGTCATTATTGCACCAGCAGGATGATGTCCATACATGCAATGGAACTTTCCTCCTTTGTACCCCCTCAATCCCACCAACTCTCCAGGGCAGATTTGTTGGGGGAAGTAACAGACGTTCCATTGTCTGAGCAGAAATAATTCAAAGAGCACCATAATACAACCCATAGGTATTTTTCCAAGTTATTTTTTCTTCAACGGCTGCAAACATTTGTGTTTATTTTAAATATGGAGAAAGAACACCATTAGGAAACACAACACACTTCCGCACAGTTTTGCTACTCCACACCCTACTGGCCTCACCTCTCCCGTGCCCTACCCCACAAATAAATGTACATACTTGGCGTAGCCCCACAGGTGACTTGGCCCTACAAGCTGGTCTTGTATCAGGTAGGTATTGTGTGACGATGATATAAAGTAGTCACACAATGGGAAGTTCATATCTTGGTAAACCGTCCGGTGCTTTTGTTTAAAGATGCTGCACTCTTCCGAAAGCATGTACCGTATAAAGCCTTCGAAGGTCATCTCCCTTTGGCTTCTTGCTAAAGTGGGAACATTAAAAGGGGGGGCGGGTTAAAATTAAAATTGCTCAGATACCTCCGCCATGTTGTTGTTTTTTTAATGCTGGAATTAAACAGAGGTTGGACATACTCACACTACGAATGTGTACCCCTGAATTTCACCTGGTGCTTGGCTATGATCTGAAGCTGAACATGCATAATAATAAGCTGAATGCTTCTTTGTGCCTTTATTTAATGACACAACAATCACCAGAAGCTAGTGTAATGTGCACAAGCCAGGAACCAGACCTTAGCCATGTTAGTTCATGTGCTTAGTCATAATAAGCTCTGCTATTGTAGCGTTCATTCTGGGGGAACCCGGTGGTTCGTCCAGAAGCACATCAGAAGATGAGGAGATCAGTCATGGCAGATCAGCGGCTCTGCCCCATTTGAAAAACATTTTGGTCACCTTGACTAATCTTGCACTGCTAAGCCACAGGGAAGCACTTGGTACATTTGAGCGTAGTGGTAATCACTGGATGATTTGCAGTAGATCAGCAAAGGTTTCTGGTTCCCAGTTGCTTATCAATACCAGCAGCAAAAAGAATCCTTGATTTGACTCAGGTTTAAGATTTGTATCGGTACATGCAGGTCAACGGAGAGCCTAATTTCAACACGCTGCGTTTAGATGTGCAGCAGAGAGCTTTTCCTACATTAAAGAAAATAATACTAAGCATGAGGTGGTCTCCAATCAGGAACACAGCATGCAGGAAAGAGAAGTTTAGCCCTTCCCACCCGATGAAAATCTTTGGCCTGCCGATTAGTCCAGTTGTCCCAGTGGGAGCTTTTTCTAACCTCTGGGGCAAGATGAGGGTCCATTTCTGTGAGGATCGCAGCTGGGAAGGCAAGAGTTAAGCCTACCCTCTCTCTCTCTACTCTGCAGTCTTAATTAAAATCTCCCCCTCCCCTCCTAGCACAGTGTTAAAATAATACTAAATGCAGATGAATTTGCACCCTGTGCACTTAACATTATGGGAAGTTAAGCCCCACGCACCCACTCAGTGTAATGGCACATGGGATTCAGTAAGCAGTTAGCTCCACCCCTTGAGCTGCCATTTTGCATGTGGCTCAGGTAGGTTCAAGTCAAAACCAGAGCAGATTCCCCAACAGAAGTCTGTTCATTCCTGTTCCAGGGTGCTTCCACACAGATTGACCGTGTGCTTAGAGATAGACCCATATGTCAAGTTCAGTTTCTTTCACTTTCTCATTCTATCAGTCTTAAGCTCAAATCTCCACATTTCCACATCAGTTTGCAATTTTATCTTAGGTTTTTTTTTAAAAAAAAGGAAAATTCACCAGCCTTTTAATGCATATTTTTCCTAACATACACATTTGCAATTTTGCCTAACGTACGCCTTTTTGCAAAGCCATTTCCCCGAACGTAACACATATTTGTATGTTATATTTTGCTAATACGTGCATTTTCATGCACGTGTTATCCAAGTGTATGTATGTATTATTATTATTTTTTACACATTACATGGCTGGAGAAGTGCATTGCAAAAATCAGAAAGTGTGAATTTTGAAGGATGTTCTGGTTTGTGTGTTGTTTTGGAAAGTTTGTTATTAGGTATATTTAAATGCAAACTGAATCAAATTTATCCCACATCTCTAGATGTGACTCTACTGGTCTGACCTTAGCACCAAGAATGAACTGATAAACATGCTAGAATATGCCCCAGAATCCTCCACAAACAAGGATTAGCCAATTCTGTTTCTAATACATGAGGTGGTTCCTTGGCAAACCACTGAACATATAAAGGATTGTTGTAAAAAAGAACATATGAAAGTCACTGCTGTATTCATGCAATCCTTGAAGTCTACACCAGGTTAATACTGCTACCATGTATTTGTCATATCGCTGCTTAGAAACCGATGACACAATTTTTGTCCTATTTCCATTACAAAAATAAAAGCCTTTTCAATTGGATTTCTTATAACTAAATTGTATTAATGCTGTGTTTTCTGGTCTTTCCCCTCATCTTAAAACTTTCGCAGAAACCCAACTTCTTTGTTAATGCGCAAAAGCAATATTATTTATTCATTTGTTATGCATACACTCTTAATAAGCTATTATTATCTATCCACTCTTAATAAACTATTATTTTCTATCTATCCATTACAAATCTTCAGAATACTCACAGCTGAAACTTCTCCTCCCCATGACTCTTTCCCTAAACTCCCATTTCAGCTCAGTTTCTTTATATGTGCTACCAGTTTTCATACTTACCATTAAGTCTCTCAATACTTTTGGATATTACCTTTTCTTGGTGATTTCTTGTCGCATTCCAGTCTGGGCATTTTGTTTATCTTCCTCTCTTCTCTTTGGTATGCATAAGAACTCTTCTTTGGTCAAACATCTCCAACTCTATACTTCAGGGATGGGGAACCTGTGGCCTTCCAGATATAGCCAGACTACAACTCCCATCATCCCTGATCATTGGCCATCCTGGCAGGGGCTGATGGGAGTTGGCATCCAACAGGTTCCCCACCCCCGCTTTACTCCCCTGAGCCAATTTGGCACCTCCATCACTTTCTTTTATAAAGAAACTAGCAGTCTTGTGCCCGGCGTTGCTCGGGAATTCTAAGAAACCAGAAAAATCATTGCAGTTTTGAAATCAGTGGTTAAAATCTGTGCAGTTTTGAAAGGTTCAGGGCACAATCTTGATTCAAAATTGTGTCCAGCTATAGTCAAAACCCTGCAGCTTCATCTCAAGAACCACCATGCAAACTTTGGTTAAAATCAGTGCAGTTTTGAAAGGTTCAGTCTGCCTTCAGGATCCAAAATGGCACCCAGCTGTATCCAGGCACAGATGAAAACCTCCTCCTTGACCTCGGGAACAATAATTTGGTACTGATATCTTAAGAGGTGTACAAATGCCTAGCAAACATACAAACAACTTTTTGAAATATATCGTAGATGCTTCAACTTGTATCCTTTTGCCGCATAACTCGCATGTGAAGGTGGTTATGACAGTGTTGCATCACACTCTACTAAAAATCAGGAATACAGTGGTACCTCGGGTTACATACGCTTCAGGTTACAGACTCCGCTAACCCAGAAATAGTACCTCAGGTTAAGAACTTTGCTTCAGGATGAGAACAGAAATCATTATCCGGTGGCAAGGCGGCAGCAGGAGGCCCCATTAGCTAAAGTGGCCTTCAGGTTAGGAACAGTTTCAGGTTAAGAACAGACCTCCAGAACGAATTAAGTTCTTAACCCAAGGTACCTAAGACATCAATATTAAACATACTTGCTTGGAAAGAAACCCCATTGAAATCAGTGGGCCATTCTTCCATGTAACTATGATTAGGATCAGGCAGTTCACTGATGTGTGTGTCCTTTCCTCTTTGTTGACTCCCTATATTGCAAAGCTTAATGATAAAACTACATTTTTGTAACCCAAACTGTGCTTTTCACTGTATTAAATGTGCTATTATTTTTATGATCCCTGCTCCCTCCTTTCCACCACTGTGCCCCACACAAATTCTTTTTATGATTCATGTCTATTGAAGCTGCTTTAGGCAGGGACCTGTTTATCCGACCCTTTTGTAAAGAGCTTAGTATATTTTTGGTGCTATAAAAGTAAGCAATAATAATAGCACATGTCATATGGAGCTATGAGTGTTCAAGGCTATTATCCAGGGTTCCGCCCACTACACCAATTGCAATGATTTATTTAAACGATAAATATCACTCAAACACAGAGGAAAGGGAATTGCTTCTAACACTATTAGACAAATAGAAAGCAGTTAACTAGAGTCTGGGAGTCACAATCAGCTCAGGATCCAAACAGTATACAGGTATACTAGAATTTGGGGGGCATTCTGTGGGATTTTTTTTCTTTGAAGGACAAACCTACTTACTCTTACTATATATCAAGCAACAAAGAGACATGAGGGGGGTGTTCTATTCAAGAAGCCTGTTTTCTTTGTCCATGGATGCCGAAGAATTGATGCTTTTGAATTATGGTGCTGGAGGAGACTCTTGAGAGTCCCATGGACTGCAAGAAGATCAAACGTATCCATTCTGAAGGAAATCAGACCTGAGTGCTTACTGGAAGGACAGATCCTGAAGCTGAGGCTCCAATACTTTGGCCACCTCATGAGAAGACAAGACTCCCTGGAAAAGACCCTGATGTTGGGAGAGATGGAGGGCACAAGGAGAAGGGGACGACAGAGGGCGAGATGGTTGGACAGTGTTTTTGAAGCTACCAGCATGAGTTTGACCAAACTTTGGGAGGCAGTGGAAGACAGGAGTGCCTGGCGTGCTCTGGTCCATGGGGTCACGAAGAGTCGGACATGACTAAACAACTAAACAACAACAACATTCAAGAAACAGCCATTGTGATCATATAAAGGTGTTTCTGAGGGGGCACTGGGCTGTAGACCTCCTCAGAATCACTGTTCACCGTAAGCACAGGAGAAAACCTAATGCTCAAATAATTATATGTAACAAACACAATGTCTGTACAAATCCAATAATGGGAGAGGGGGGAGCAGACACATATCAATACTGGATACACTCTAGAAACTTAGGTGTCTGGTTATTGCATATATGTCAGTCAGCAGTGGGTAGACCTTGGTGTGGTCGAAGTGTTCCCTCAGAAACTGCCGTGGGCTGGCCAAATCAGGCCAATGGAGGACCCACAGGAGGGCTCCCATGGGATGTAGGAGTCTCTCCCAGGTGTGGGGCAGCCTGATAGTGAGGATCTGGTGTGGGGTTCCATCAACCTATGCTCTCATCTCATCCATCTCTGCAACAAGAGCTGCAAGCCCCATCTCCCTCTGTGTCCCCCACCTGCCTCTCCACAGCTGTTGGAGCCTCTGACTGACACTTTCATAGTGCTGGGCGCACCACCCACCCCAGCACCATCAAACACTGGGAGCAGCTCTGCCTTTCCAGGTGGGAATGTTTTGCCGGTCCCTGCCACCTTTCAGACAGCATAGACACCTCCCCTGTCACCCAGATCTAGGAGGTGCCAAATAAGAAGGGAACAGAGAGTTCCACCAACTAGGACTAGTGAGAGACTGCGGGAACACTTACTGAACTAAGTTGTGCCCCATTCCTACATATAGGATAACAAGGATCAGTGTCGGGTCAACATTTAAAGCTTTGGGAGTTAGAGCACTTGCCTTTTTGTAGCTCTGTTTTGGATTGACTTTGTGTATTTCCTGAGGTGCCTTAAACTAGCAATGCGCACATGTACCGCAGTAATCTAAACATCAAAGCCTTTAGAAACATAGCTGTCAACTTACAGATTTGAAAATAGGGGACTAGCAGCCTCGAAAATAAGGGATCAGCAGCCAAAATAAGGGATTTTCTGGGCACAGGTATGTTCAACTTCTGAGCCCCTCCGAGCCAAAGGCAGAAAGCCCAGCCAGCAGCCAAATGAAGCCTCATCAATAAGGGACAGCAGCGGGACATGGCGCTGGGATAAGGGACTGTCCCGCCAAATAAGGGATGCTTGACAGCTATGTTTAGAAAGAATCCTCCTTCAAATCTTTGTTCTTCAGCAACTAGGGGCCGGGACAGAAACACCTTTCAGCTGAGGACAATGGTCCTTTCTTCGACAGCACTCCAAGGTGGAGTCAGAGATTCACTGGAGTGGTGTTTTCCTTCCTTCAAGCAACAGAAGGACTACAGCCTACTTGATGTTGTCCTAGTGCCTGCTCAAGAAACTTCTCTTCTGTATCAGGAGATGGGGAATCTTTTTTCAGCCTGAATGCCATGTTACTTCATTTGCAACCTTTGGGGGGGGGCACATGACATTGTCGGGTGTGACCAGTCGGCAGAGCAAATAGATGTGACTCTTACCTTGTACAGTAGGCTATATTCCACCCATGCAAATACTAGAGGTTACTATGCATACACACACAAACATACACTTAATCCAAGCAAGCAAGAGGCATTATCACAGCTCGTAGAAACAGTCAACTAGGTAAAAATACTTGAGGAAGGTGGAGAGCAGGACCAGTCAGAGGTGTGGCCTGGGGTGGAGACAGAGTCTGAAGAGAGTCGCAAGGGCCAGAGAGCACTGTGAGGGGGCCACATGATCATTGGGCTTGAATGATCATTTCCTGGGGGATGATAATAGATTTCAATTGTATCTAGCAACTACACTGGCTCCCAGTACATTTCCGAGCACAATTCAAAGTGTTGGTGCTGACCTTTAAAACCCTAAACGGCCTCAGGCCAGTATACCTGAAGGAGCGTCTCCACCTCCATCATTCTGCCCGGACACTGAGGTCCAGCGCCGAGGGCCTTCTGGTGGTTCCCTCGCTGCAAGAAGCAAAGTTACAGGGAACCAGACAGAGGGCCTTCTCGGTAGTGGTACCCACCCTGTGGGACGCCCTCCCACCAGATGTCAAATAGAAAAATAACTACCAAACTTTTAGAAGACATCTGAAGGCAGCCCTGTTTAGGGAAGCTTTTAACGTGTAATAGGTTATGGTATTTTAGTGTTTTGTTGGAAGCCACCCAGTGTGGCTGGGGAAACCCAGCCAGATGGGTTGGGTATAAATAAATTATTATTATTATTATTATTATTATTATTATTATTATTACTACTAAGCCTATAACCAAGGCTGAGCACATGCAGTTGAAACAATTGTATATATTTTTTCCTCCTGCATCCTTGCCTCTTCCTCCCCTTCTTCCTCTTTGCTGAATTTTAGACTGGAAGCTCATCAGGATGAGGACCTGTCCTCTTAAAGCAGTGTGCCTCCCAGATGTTTTGGACTGGGATGCCTACCAGTCGCAGCCAGCATGGGGCCTGAAGCTGATGGGATCTGAAATCCAAAACACCTAGAGAGCACCAGCCAGGTTAGGTAAGGCTGCCTCATTGTCAGCACACTGATCAAACTAGATGGGGGGAAATGAATAAAAATACATTTTAGAGCACTTTGATATTTTATCACCTTTCGCACTGACAAAGCTTGAAAGCACAACTGCAGCGTACCAAAGGGTACCGAACAATAACAATTTAGATCCCTCAAGTCATCCTGTTAAAGGGTGGGGAAAAGACAGTTCAAGTTAAACTCATTAGAGTTTTTGAACATCGGAGGTCAGCAACCTATGTATTCCACAGGGCTCTTTCTCACGGTAGAGACCGTTCTAGCCTTTGGTGTGCTGCTGTTACTGCTTTTGAGACAGAAGGAAAAATATGTGTCTTCTCAGCACAAGGTGGAAAGTAGCTACTTCCTAATCCCCAAGGTAATCATGATTCTAATCTCTGAACCTGGAGCAGCATTCATGCAAAAAACAAAACAAAACAAAAACTACCCCAGAAAACCAAAAAAGATGGTTTTCAAGTTCTGCGCAGTATACTAATATCATATGAAAAGGGAATTTGGCACCTGGGATACTATGTAGTTCTGAAATGATCTTTTCTACTTAAAATGTTTCAAGCAAACATCAAAACAAGGTTTTAAGGCCTGGGACTGCAATCCCATGCAAATTAGCTGCCCTACAGTCCAATCCTAGGTATGTGTAGTCTGAATTAAGTCACAGTGTGTTCAGTGGGTCTTCCTCCTAAGTCAATGTGCATAGGAATGCTGCAAGCCAATTAGATATTATTATAGAGTAGGGGAAAGAAACCTCTGGCCCTTCAGATGTTGTTGGAATTCAGCTTCCATCAACCCTCCCAACCAGCACAGCCAAGAATGATAGGAGCTACAGACCAGCAAGATTTGGAGGGACACAAGTTCCCCACGCCTGCTACAGAGAATGAATCTCTTAGGCAGCAAACCTATGTACACTCATCCAGGAGAAAGTTCCATTAAATAAGACCAACACTAATGTGTCCAGTTCTGGGTACCACAGTTTAAGAAGGATATTGACTAGTTGGAACGTGTGCAGAGGCTTCAAATATTCCTCCATGGTCATGTTGCTAGTAGTACTGAATAGTTTCAAGTGGGGACATCCAATGGATGACTGTGGAGTTGTGCGTATGTTACACCACAAAGGATTTATAGAATGTTACTGGTGTTGATATAAAAAAGAGAAACCTAGAAAAACGCATTTCCTATCTTTAAAATGAGTTGAAGAACAGAAGAAATCTCCTCTAATATAACTGTTACCAGTTTAGCAACTCAGGTAAGCAATATTCGGTGCAATATCTGTTTGTGCTGTTTTGCAAAAACAAACTCGCCCACTATTCCTCAAAGTGCTGTAAATGCACAAATGCCATCCCAATTAATGAGGTCTTCAACAATGAAGAGGTAAGAAATTCGGAGCGTTAAAAATGTGTTTATTTGTGGGCAGTGTTGCTTTTTAAAAATCACACAATAAAGTTAGGCTGTAACTAGAACACTATAAACTAATATTTTAAAAGCTGAGAATTGTAACAGAGAAATTGTTTAATGCACTCATTATACAAGGCAAGACATCAAATGTATTTCACACAAGATTAGTAGACTATTTAGCTAAATACCATCAACCAACATTTAGCTGTTTTGTGCTTTTGTTTCCAGTGTTTTATCAAGTTGCATTTGTTACAATCTAAACAGATTCTAAAAGGTAAAATTATCAGTCAGCAGGCTAATGTAGAAAGAACAGTCCAAATAAGGTTACCTTCATCATTTATCATTAATTGAAACAACACATGCATGATATCACTTAGTATCTGAACGGAACATTTACTCACATGATGCATACAAATTAGTACTGGTTTATTCAAATTATAAACAACTTCTCCATTTTAAGAATATCCTAAGAATAATGCAAAAAGAACTACAAACAATAATAAAGCAAAAGCAATACAAACAATTATTCACATAGTCTAAGAAAATAGGAGAATGCTTAGACTGTTGTACAAGTTCATCTCATGTTATACAAACGGCAATAATCTTTTGCTTATGTTTCAATAAAGAAATATAAATGTACATTTTTTCCTTGTTTTTTAGGTTGCGCTTTTCTTTCTTCCAGAAAGCAAAAATGAAGAACGTGATAAATTGCCACCATAATCTGATGAAGTAACACAATCTGTGTTCATACAAACATGCATGAGAAAACACAGTAGGTACAGTTTTGAAGCTCTTACACTTAATTGCCACACACAGAGAAACAACACCACAGCAGAAGACTCCATGCCTGTTAGCCAGGTGGGGGGCCGGGAGCTGGATTTCCCTAAAATTCCTCGGCCCTCCTTATTTATTTATTTATTTATTTATTATACAGGGATTTTAGAAAAGCAAAAGGAACGCTTCTGCTTTTCTTCTTAAAGGTACAGGTACTATTATTTGGGGGGGGCTGCTGCAGTGAAATCCGCTTACCACAAAAAAATCATGTTACGAGATCCAGGAGGGAGACTTTTTAAAAGGAGGAAAAGAAGCTTGACAGGTCAATTTGTTCTTAGTTATCTAAATTCACCAACCGCAAACTCAGAAGGTAGGCGGAATTTTCCAATCTGACAAATGAGGTTAAAGGTGCCACCACATTGCCTCTAAATAGGAGTTGCTGTTCTCTCCCCGCTCTCTGGCTAGGATATCCAGTCAAGAGCAAAGGCTAAAGCAGGGAGGTGGGATTCAGGTGTCTCTGCTTGCTAGGCCAAAATGGAGTCAATTAATGGAAGCGGCAGGATTAAAGGGGTTGCATGCTAAGGAAATGGTCTCCTGGTTGGTTGGTTGGTTGGTTGGTTGCTTGCTTGCTTGCTTGCTTGACAGTTGGCTGGTGTATGTGCTCTGCTGAGAGGTGTGGTGAAATTAAGTTATGCTTTCCCTTGACTGAGGAAAATGCAAATCCCCTGGTCTAAACCACTGAGCCTCTTGGGCTTGCCGATTGGAACGTTGGCGGTTCAAATCCCCGTGACGGGGTGAGCTCCTGTTGCTCTGTCCAAGCTCCTGCTAACCTAGCAGTTCAAAGCACACCAGTGCAAGTAGATAAATAGGTACCGCTGCGGCAGGAAGGTAAACAGTGTTTCTGTGCACTCTGGTTTCTGTCATGGTGTTCCATTGCGCCAGAAGCATGCTGGCCACATGACCTGGAAAACTGTCTGTGGACAAATGCTGGCTCCGTCGGCCTCAAAGCGAGATGAACGCTGCAACCCCATAGTCGCCTTTGACTGGACTTAACGGGTCCAGGGATCCTTTACCTCTTACCTTCACCTATTCTCATCGTGACCTCAAAGCAAGCATTTGTAAGTTTCTTTGCTGGAAATAAATCTGATACAGCAACTCCAGTTACAGGCAGCATGGTGGCACCTTTGCCATAGCACTCATCAATTAGAAAATATATTCAAGGAGAGAGGCTAGCTAGCTATTACATTTATATCCCAGATTTTCTCCAAGGAGCTCAAGGTGGTAAGCATAGTTCTCACCTGCCTCATTTCATCGCACAACAACCCTGTGAGGTAGGTTATGCTGAGAGGCAAGAACTGGCCGAAGGCCACACACAGTGAGCTTCATAGTCACGTAAGGATTTGAAACATGGTCTCTTGGGTCCTCGCCCCACACTCTAACAGCTACAGTACACTGGTTAATTATAGCTATAGCTTACAAGAGTTTGTCCCAGCCTGGAAATGAGGACAATTTGAATCTACTATGTAAAATATTAAAACATCACTTGGACAACTGTAAAAAGCTAGAAAACTTAAAATTGGAACCTGAGTCGGCAAAATTCCTTATTAAAGAATGACCATCATTAGAACTGTTTGCAGATGGGCTCAAAATTTATGGGCCTGCATTTCCCAGAGCTGGCTTTTTGGTTGAAGCAGCACCAATAATTTCAAGCAGAACTGCAATGCATCTCATTAACATCAGTTTTAGGTCGGCAGCAATTGTTAATGTTACAGTGAACATAAAGCCGATTTTGTTATTTTGGGTTATAACATGGACATTACTAAAGCATTGGTTTTGGATGAACCTGTTCCATGTTTGCAGCTTCGAAGACAAGAAAGCTTTTGTTATAAACTATAAGAACACTCTCATTGTAGCTTATTCCTAATAGTAATGGGTTGTTGTTCTTGAATTATTATTATTTTTTACCTTTTTTTGCGAAGTGGTGGCAAGAAAAGCAACAATTGTTGTTTGCTTAGGGATTTTTTTTTAATGTAAGTAAGTTGCAATGTAAGTAATGTAAGTAAGTAATGTAAGTAAGCTGCAAAAATCAGGGTTAAATAAAAAGAGTTTTTAGTTTGATTGTGAAAAGGCCTGCAGACCAGATAAACTGCCCAACCTCTACTTTTCTGATGTCGTCACCAAAACTTTTAGGCTGGCTAAGGGCCTGGGAAACTCCGTTCTCGTGGAATCCTGAATGATGCAATAAGCATGGGTAGCACTTATGATTGGATGTGGAGGGCAAGCCTCATCCACCACTGCTCCCCCTTTCTCCACCAAAAGATAGTGGCTGCAGAAATAGATGTCAGCCCTGGTCTTCATTAGATGTGCTCATAACGGTGCATGACTCACAATCTCAGGCCAGCTATCATTGGAGCTGGCTGAATGTCCAAGGCAGACAATAAATTTAGAAAACTGACGAGCTTTCTGCATAAAAACAACATTTTCTCTTGGGAAAATAAAGGCTACATTGCGGCTGTCTACATACTCATTATTACTCATATGTTCAATATCATTATCAACACACTAAAAGCTATGATTCCAAACTAATTAAACTGTAACATTAAAACTTTAGTGTACCTTCGTCAATGGGTTCAAACTTATTAATGAGTGACACAGCTCTTGCTTCATTAACATCAAGTTCAAACTGTTCCTTTCTAAGAAAGTCACACAGATTTGATACTGTTAGAACTTTTTTGTTTGGCGAGTAGCTGCTGAAGAGTTCGTGAAGTTCCGGTCGGTGCAGAAGCGTTCGATAAATTGCCCTAAAATCTTCCATGGTAATAAGTCCAGACTTCTGTTTGTCATTTTTCTATGTTAAAAAAAAGAAGAGTTCGCAATAAATATAAATAAAGCACTATGTGGCAGTATTCACACCAAAACGATGAGCACTTTGACATAGTTCGAAGCTTTTCTAAGAAACACTCACTAATAATAATAATAATAATAATAATAATAAATTTTATTTATATCCCGCCCTCCCCAGCCGAAGCCGGGCTCAGGGCGGCTAACAACAATAAAATAGTACAACATTCTAAAATCATTTCATTATAAAATTAATTCACTAGAGTCAGTCTGTGAGCCTTCGTGATTGTGAGGGCAAGCCAGTAAGGGAGTGAAGTGAAAAGAGAACGGGCATTGTTAAGTAATAATAATAATAATGATAATAATAATTTATACCCTGCCCTCCCTGGCCAGAGCCGGGCTCAGGGCAGCTAACACCAGTAAAATTACAATAAAAACATAATGTGGGGGTGGGAGAAAAGAAAGAAAAAAACCCAATTTAAATTATGGGTTAAAATACAATTTAAAATGCAGCCTCATTTTAATAGTAGCCCATAGATCAAAACCATAAGGGGAGGGAAACATAAGGGTCAGACTGAGTCCAAACCAAAGGCCAGGTGGAACAGTTCTGTCTTGCAACTCTGTCCTGCGGAAAGATGTCAAGTCCCGCAGGGCCCTAGTCTCTTGTGACAGAGCGTTCCACCAAGTTGGGGCCAGTACTGAAAAGGCCCTGGGCCCTAGTTGAGACCAATCTAACCACCTTGCGACTTGGGACCTCTAAAGTGTTGTCATTTGTGGACCTTAAGGTCCCTTGCGAGGCATACCAGGAGAGGCAGTCCCGTAGGTACCCGTAGGTTACATGCTGCACCTTAAATTAAAATCTGGGACCTAATTTAGTTACGTTCACATAGCTGAAAAGCAGATCTAGAAGCATAAGTCTTCAGTTTGACCTCTTCATCTCCCATCCTATATGCCAATTACTGGCTTAATCAGAATAATTAAAGGGGAGAGAGAGGAGCCCAGCCAATTCATCCACTTCAAACTCATGTTATAGGGCTCATCATCCGATCAAGTCTCTCTCCTCTCAGCTCTCCACCCTCCTGTCACAGCCATTGGAATATAAGACTCCACTGGAATATAAGAACAGCCATAATCAGAAGGGAAACAGTATTGAGTGTGTTTTTTAAGCTTCCAAACATCTCTGTTTCTAAGACCATTAAGGGCACTAGAAGGCAAGTGTACAGAAGAATCAAACCTCTCATGTAACTATACAAGGTTGAACAGGTGAGACAGATGTTACCAACCCATCCCAAATGATCAATTATTGGTTTCTGAAAAGGAAACACTACCCAAGAAAGAAAGAAAAACCAAGGGCGCTTGCTCATGGGTGAAAAGATAGGTCCTTAATTACACAGTAATACCGCAACTTGCCTAGAAGCAATACATTTTCTGCTCTTAAAGAACTTTAGTCTGGAAGTCCTGTTGGCATGTAGTAAGTTTACTTAGACAGCTATGGTCCACTGACCATCGATACTACTATATATTCTTAATACAAACATGATTTTCTCACCTTAAACACCTTTTTCACATGAACGTAGTCGTAACTGACGTCAAACTTATTTAGCAGTTTCAAGGTCTTATCTAGATTGATCTTGCCATCTCTAAATTCATCAAAGATGAGGTCCATGAACCATGTAGAGAAAAGCAAATTAAGGAATTTTCCAGCTAATTTTGGCATTCTCTCTCTTTTTCCAGTTCAAAAAAAGTGACTGATGTTGGCAAGGAGCCACTATACGCTTTTTCCCCCTTCTTTTTTTTGCAAATGGCCCAGTCCATTTCCCACTTGTGAAGCAGGAGCTGGAGGCAGAATTAATTAGATCCAAGTATTTTATTTAAACATTGTTGTGGATCAGGTTCTAAAGATGTCTGTGGAATAGCAGCATTCCAGGCAAAGGATCCCTGCAAGAGGAAATTGTTCCTTTCATGGGAGAGGTGACAAATTCTCCCCTTCTATAAACATAGTGTTCCACGTGCGTTGAAACAGGGAACCATTCCGTAGACTAGAAACAACACATTTCTGTACAAGTAGATGAGACTTCAGTGTATGAAAGAAAAGAACTGTACAATAGAAAGCTGGTAATAAGGGAAAGCTGGTGAAGGAGGGGAGGTCATTTTGGAGAGTCACTTCGCTTTGCGGCTGGCATTGTCCCCCGAAAGGGAACTGGGCTCAAGTGCTTACTGTGTACTTGCATCTGGGCATCTTAGTAATGTAACTGTGGAGAAGGAACTCTCAGCTTTGGTTCTCCCTTTGTTTAAAGAAAATGTGGGAGGAGGATGTTTGTGAGTCACTTACCTGCAGGTGATTGGAAATTTATAAAGAGATTGGGTTATTTACCTGCCCTTCACCCTAAAGTCGTAGGTGGCTGCTGCTGCTGCTGCTGCTGCTTCTTACTACTCCACCTTATTCCCAGTCTAGGACTCAAGGTGGCTTAATTCAAATGCCAAGTTAAAAAATGGCATAAAACAATTTACCATATTTTACGCTCTATAAGATGCACCAGACCACAAGACGCACCTAGTTTTTGGAGGAGGAAAACAAGAAAAAAAATATTCTGAATCTCAGAAGCCAGAACAGCAAGAGGGATCACTGCGCAGTGAAAGCAGCAATCCCTCTTGCTGTTCTGGCTTCTGGGATAGCTGCCCAGCCTGCATTCGCTCCATAAGACGCACACACATTTCCCCTTACTTTTTAGGAGGGAAAAAGTGAGTCTTATAGAGCAAAAGATACGTACATTTTACAATCACAGAAAAAACGTGGATCCTAAAAATTTACCAGGTTAAAGGGAACTGCTACTAGGATTCCACTGCATGCTTGTGGAATCTCTCCCACTGGAGACGTCCTCCTTTGGGTACCCGTCATAGTCTTCAACATTAATATACTATATTATCATTCTGCTGACCAGGCAACTTATTAAATGCCATGTGTGGGAGGAGGTAGCTTGTGACAGGTTAAGTTCTGGGGAAGGGGCACATTATCTGTTTGAAGGAAGCAGGGAGTGGGCTTTACTGAGGAAGCAGGGAGCAGCATCCCTCAGGCAGGCACCCCCAAACTTGGCCCTCCTGATGTTTTGGGACTACAATTCCCATCCTCCCTGACCACTGGTCCTGTTAGCTAGGGATGATGGGAGTTGTAGTCCCAAAACATCTGGAGGGCCGAATTTGGGGGTGCTTGCCTCAAGGTCTCATGGCAGGGGTGTATGGACAGCTAATCCTACTTGTGTTCTCCCATAAATTGTTCATTTATACTTGGTTTTTTTTTAAGGAAAAAAATTGCACAGAGTGATTGACATGTTTCCCAGGTGCTCCAAGAGAGGTTAGCTGGGAAGCAGGGTGCAAAGCTCATGATGATCTACAGTAAGCCTGCAACTTACCCCCAGGGATTGCGCCAAAAGCCAAAATCGTGTCTCGTCAAAGACATGCTGGGTGCAATGGCGGGCGGCATCACCAAAGTCTTAAAAAAATTTAAAAAGTTCTACTCCGCGCCTAAAGCTGAACGCACCCAAGTTGAATGTGCATAAAGTTGCTGGCTTACTGAATTTATTCTCTGTTTATGTCTGGGGAGCAGGGTGCCAACTTGAGTAAAATATTGGGGGGCGGGGGGAGGTAAACCCTAGCCTGCATAGTTGATCACATGAAGCAGCAGATGCACACTATTTGAATAATGCTCCGTCAAAGATTTGGGGGGGGGGTGTCAAAGGAACCTCAGACCCTAGGAGTTGGTTCCTATGCTGGGGGGCGTCTGCTGAGGACCCCAAGGAGAACCTCTTCCCTCATCTCTCCATGGGGGCTTCTCGCCCCCTGATTCCACGACGGGGTGGGCGAAGTGGCTCCCTTCCCGCGCCCCTGGAGGAAGGATATTTATTCTCCATGGTGCTGCTGCTGGTGGTCCTGCCTCCTCCGCCTACTCTTCGCGCCTGTTCCTTACTGCGATGGTATCAGCAGCTCCCAGCGCGGCATAGCCCGCCTACCCGCCCGCCCGAAGGTCTTCCAGGCTTCTGCCCGGAGGCGCGACCGCCCTCGCCGGTGTCCGCGAGGCGATGGAGGCGCGGGGGCGGGCGCGGTGCCTCCCCACAGGCGCGCAGCTGGGGAGCTCCCTGACGTCACACAATGGGCCGCGTCACACTCGGCTCCCGACGTCACCGACGTCATAACAGCGCAGGCCGTTGCCAACGAAACGCCGCGGCTTGCATTTTTTTTCTCCCCCCCGATTGGCCCTTTCCGGACCCCCCCCCCTCCCCGTAGCGCACATACAAACAAAAGTGTCAGTCTCCTCCTCAGGGAGCAGCTGAAAAGCAAGCCAGAAAACAGACAAACACGTTGTATACAGTTTTCTCGTATACCATTCGCGCTTTGTCAAGCTGGAGCTTACAATACATTGCATGGAGGGGGTTGTCTGAGCACGTGCAGAGTGCGTTTCCTTCAGATGCTTTGATTTTTGCATCTTTGTTGCATCTTGATATTTTGTCTCCAATACCCGTTTCCCTTCTCTCTCCTTTCAGTAGCCCTTTATTGCCATATCTTGTGTGTTGTTGTTGTTTTGAGGGGAGAGGCAGCAAAAAAGATATTGAAATAAATATTAATAATAACCAGTTCCTGCATGCAACCTGGAGATGCCCGCAGGTTTGGGCACAGGAGACCAGCTTGCAGTCCCAAAGCAGAGGATGTGATGTGGGCTAACCTAGATATGATATACATATTTTTAGCACGTTTTGAAAAAATTCCACTTCTCTTCTTCCCTTCACCCCATTTTATCGCCACAAGAAACCTTCAATGCATGTTAGGCTGAGAAGTGGCCTCTTGTCCAGGGTCACCTAGCGAGCGTTGCAGGTGAGTGGAGGATTTGAAACCAGGTTTCCCTCCAACAAGTGCCAACATAGGCCACTTACATAAATACATACTGGCTCTCAAATACTTATGCCTACAAGTCTTCTCTCAGTCCCTTCTCCAAGTAGGGCATAATTTCATAAATCTGTACTATGTCTCATCACTAGTCTTCCCCCCCCCTCCTTCAAACTGAAAAGACCCATGTTTGTAAGATTTTCCTCCACGACAAATTCTGTGACAATATCTTTTTTTGGTACGCTGTCTGCTGATAATGTTTTTCTGGCTTTTTTTTTTTAATGCGGCTATTTATGTGCCTTGTTTAATTTGTTGTGACATTTATAAACTAGCATGATTATGATTTCCCATGGAAATACAGGGTATTCATTTTGAAAGAAAGATAGATGCCCCAATTCCTTTACGATTTTGGCCACCCTTCTAACATAGTTTGCAAAAGCAGGATTTTCATAAGCACTTCGATACCTGTGAAATAAGCAGCAAGTCACATGAATTGCTAATCCTGCCAGATGAACTGTAAGAACACTGTATTCAACAGATGCAAATTAAATGGTTTTAGCCAGGATTAAAAGCTCTTGATAATAATCATCATCATTATTATTTGAATACACCAATTGCTTTGCTACCCTTATTGCATTTGTCCTCACAACAGCCCAAGCATTTTACAGATCAGACTATAAAGAAGTGGTTTGCTCAAGACACTAAGGTGTCCATGGAGGAACAGGATTTAAACTCGGCGCTAAGAAAAATACTCCATCTACTTTGCTGTGCAAACTTTGTTGCCCTCCTGCCTCCTAGACACAGAATTCCAGGGACCCTTAACAAACTACAGTTCCCAAGGATTCTCCATGGCTGTTAAAGTCAGGCATAGGCAAACTTGGCCCTCCAGATGTTTTGGGACTACAACTCCCATCATCCCTAGCTAACAGGACCAGTGGTCAGTGATGATGGGAGTTGTAGTCCCAAAACATCTGGAGGGCCAAGTTTGCCTATGCCTGGTTAAAGTGGTATAAAACGCAGTGCTGTAGACTATGTAAACCAGCTGCTTCCCCCTGTGACCTCTATGTTGCTGACATCACAATAGAGGTGGCCAGATTTTGACTTTAGAGGCAAGATCAGGTGATAGTTGCATGGAAGACCCAGACCAGGACAAAAACGTAATACTTGTGAACTCCACCTTCTCCCAGAATTTAGTCTGTTACCTGACCACAGTTGTCAGTATGGTACTAATACTACTCCCAATCTTTGGGCTATGGGGGCAGGCAGAAAATAAGACTATGGTCCAAAAGTCAACCACTGGTCAGTTTCCAAGGCTGGTTTTTCCATTTGCTGAACTGCTTGGATTCTTTTGACAAATGTTGGGTTAAGCAGAACCAAGTGAGACATGCAATGTAAAGTTGCGAAGTGCGGTGCTCCTGTTCAGTATTCCAGCCAGCCATGACTTTTTTGGGGGTATTCCATTTCCTTCCCTCCCTGATGCAGTTTCCATTTCTCTTTTTCAACCAAGAGTCAGCCTTCTGTGGCAACTGAATATAGTCGATCCTTGTTATTTGTTTCGTTGTTGATGTTTTAGGGAGTGGCCTCCTTGGGATATTTACCCGCTAAATATATATTTTCCCTGCATCTGAAATCCCCAAAAGATGCTGATACCTCCCTGTTGTTTTTCAGTAACCTCATTTTAGTTACATACCTGTCATAAGTTAGCACCCAAGTTTGCTGTTCATTATTTATTATTATTATTTAATACATTTATATACCACCTTTTCCTCCAAGGGGCTCAAGGTGGTGTACATGGTTTAGATGTACTTCACAACAAAAGTACATACTCTGGGCATCTTAACAATTAAGGTATAATCTCTGTTAAATGATCCTCAGCATATAGGTAAATTTAAAACACATCGGGGAACGCTTGTTTAATAGTTGTTCGCTGAGCAAACTTCTTTTGAACTTGAGTGCTGCAAAGCACCATTATAGGAACAGCCTGGGGCAGATGCCTCTGAACAGTTTGTTAATCCAATTTCTATATAAGTGGGAGTACTTTTGTAAGAGGTAACAAACATTGACCAATTTCTGGCCCAATCCTATGATCCAGGGGTGTGAAATCTGTGATCCTTCAGGTGCTACTGGACTGCAACTCCCATCATCCCTGACGATTGTCTGTGCTGGCTTGGACTGATGGCGTTGGAGTCCAAAAACATCTGAAAGCCACAGGTTCCAGCTATACATGTTTACTCAGGAAAATAAGTTCCACTGAGTTCAATGTTAAGTGTACATAGCATTGTGATCTATAGTGTCCATTCTGAATTCAGATGGTCAGTAGATCTGGATAACCTACATTCAGCCATTGTAGTTACAATTTCACTGTCAAGTTGAATGATATGTCAAATTATACTTCACGGCACTGTACAACATGTTACAGTAAGGTAAAGACAGGTCCATTAGGTCCAGTCGTGACCGACTCTGGGGTTGCGGCACTCATCTCGCTTTATTGGCCGAGGGAGCCGGTGTACAGCTTCTGGGTCATGTGGCCAGCATGACTAAGCCGCTTCTGGCAAACCAGAGCAGCGCACGGAAACGCCATTTACCTTCCTGCCAGAGCGGTACCTATTTACCTACTTGCACTTTGATGTGTTTTCGAACTGCTAGGTTGGCAGGAGCAGGGACCGAGCAACAGGAGCTCACCCCGTCACGGGGATTCAAACCGCCGACCTTCTGATTGGCAAGTCCTAGGCTCTGTGGTTTAACCCACAGCGCCACCCACGTCCCTTAACATGTTACAGTAGAACAGCCTAAAATGTTTTAAGGATCTAGTGCAATAGCCCATAATATCAATGGCATAGCAGCAACACTACTGCTATCAAATAGGATGGTGTCACTACACTGTGGTTGCATGCATCTCTTTCCTGAACCCTAACACATCACAGAACTGGGGAAATCCAGGGCGTGTCCACAGGAGAGCTTTATTTAGCTGTTGATCCACTTCCCTTCCATTTGAATTAGACAGTAGTAGTCCAAAAACACATGCATTTGAATTTGCATATGAGGAGCAACCAGTGCCGGATTTACGTATAAGCTAAACAAGCTATAGCTTAGGGCCCCACTCTCTTGGGGGTCCCCGAAAAAATTAAAGGGAAAAAATGGATATACATTTCCAAAATATAAGTTAAAAACAAGTAACGCCTACATACAGCAACAGTGTTTTGTGTTGTGTAGGCTCCTATGAAGTAAGAAATGGGTCCTGCCTGATACCCGGCTCCCTAAAATATCACTGGTTTGCTCCTTTCTAACAGTGACAATTTGTTGTTGACAAAGGACAGCTGGACATATAATGGGCCCCATTACCTTCAGTAGCTTAGGGCCTCATCAAACCTAAATCCGGCCCTGGGAGCAACTTTGGTCTTTCCTGTTCATACCAGTAGGCGTTTCCTTTTGTGTTGGTCCCTGATGGGGCATGCACACAAATAACTGCACACACACCTTGGGAGAGGGAACAACCCTCTCAGGAAGTGTACAAAAGCACACAGTCATACAACTGTAAATTTTCACCACTCACTTTTGCAGTTTTCTGGTTTTGTGCAAATATGAGATAATTTTAAAAATCTATCCAAGCTTTACTAGGGAGTGCACTGAGCCCAACTGTATAAGAATTGAAAGCCATTGTCAATTCTCAGCATGCACTTTTTAGATAGCTGTGCAATATCTGGTGCAGAAATTTGTTATGTGGTTTGCTTGTGTAGTTTTCTAGTTTTGTGCAAATGTGAGGGATCAAAACAAATTTATATGTATAAAGCTGTGCTCCATTCAGGAGCACACAGGAAACAGTCATGAGCACAGGCTGAAAAGAAAAGAGAGCACTGAGGAAGTAGCAGGCATGGAAAAGGGATTAGCAGAAAGTGATCATTGATCCAGGCACCCCAAAACGCCTAAAACAAATAATCTGCAACCATGAGTGGAGCATCTTGGAACCTAATTCCCCCCAAATTATTGGATTATACCCGTATGCAGTAAACCCAATTTTACAAAGGGAAAGTATAAAATCTCTGGTGTGGGCAAGTCCCCAGAGTGTAATCGCTGATAAGCCCATATATATATGGCAGGCCAAAGATGAGATGGAGTGGAATGAAATGGCTCACTTAAGACAGAACATTAATGCCACTGAAGCACCAAAGAGACAGCAGCATTTCTGCCCAGTAACTTGTAGTTAGTAGACTGTTGGGATGTGATTGCAAGTGGCATCAGACATAGTAGACTGGAACTGCCTCACCTTACTTGAGTAAGATATCCTTAGGAACAGGGTGGCGAGTTCAAAAATCCTATTCAGTCTTGCAGCCAAATATTCTCCAATGTGAGTAGAAAGCAACGACTGTTTAATATATTTCATGGTTTGTATGTTTTGTATGAATGTGTATGAATTGTTTGTATGAATCTACTGCTAAAGTATTAAAAAGGTAATGAAATAACTAATAGATATACAGTGGTACCTCAGGTTAAGAACAGTTTCAGGTTAAGAACAGACCTCCAGAACCAATTAAGTTCTTAAACCGAGGTACCACTGTATACCTGTTAGTTATTTCATTACTTTTTAATACTTTAGCAGTAGATTCCAGTCTTCTAGATCAGGCATAGGCACACTCGGCCCTCCAGATGTTTTGGGACTACAACTCCCATCATCCCTAGCTAACAAGACCAGTGGTCAGGGGTGATGGGAATTGTAGTCCCAAAACATCTGGAGGGCTGAATTTGCCTATGCCTGTTATAGATCTTTTCATTATCATATTTGTTGTGTTCAGAACAAATTGCTCTGATTTTCACAGCGACTATTTTAGGCTGAAAATTCTGTATTAAACTAAAGCCCTCAGCTGGTTCTAGTTTGTGTTTAGATAAAGCTTTGAAGATGAAGATTAGAAAAAGCTCAAGAGCACAAATGTTTGGTACTGTTTTGCCAATGATATTAAGCCAACATTTTAGTGCTGATTTTTTTTTTTTTTTGAAGAGCAAACAATATTTTTCTTTAGACATTTAAAAGAGCTGGTGTTTATTCTCCCCTCCCTCTCCTCTCATTTCGATTGCATAGGTAGCTTTATCACTCCAAAGGCAAACCGTGATGTCTAATGAATGTGAATTATCTGAGGAGGAGAAAACAAATGTCATCTGCAGCTTGCTTCAACAGGCTCCCCCAGGCGAGTACAGGAATGTGTTTGAAGACCTCCGCATTCTGGCTCACGACGATCATCTCATGAGGTACGAGGCCGCTCAGGTGTGTGCCAATCACACCAGGAAAAACTTCACAGCTGTGCGTGTAAAAGGGGAGAATGCTCTCGTGACTCGCTACAACGATCTTGGAGGAAACCGCTTCTTTGATCCGCAGATCAAACTTTCCTTCAGGTTTGATCACCTGACCAAAAGAGTTGATAAAGTTTTGCTTTATCACAGCGTCAGGAAAGATCGTGCAGAGTTATGGAGGGAAACACTCAACATCATTTTGGAGTCCTACATGAGGAGACACTTCCTTTCAGGAGACTGCCGTGTCTACAAAAAAATGATCGGGAGCAACCCCTTCTTCGTGGTCTGCCTTGAAGGCCATCGGCACGATGATATCTGCAATGCCGTTTGGAAATCTGAGTGGACTATCGCTTTTGCACCACCAACAGCACAGGTCACAGGGAAAATTGATCTGCAGGCTCACTATTTCAAGAAAGCTAACCTCCACTGGACAGCAAGCAAAGATGTTAGAGAGTCCATATACATAACTGGCCGTGTCCAGTTTGCTATAGAGTTTGTGAAATTAGTTGAAGCCGAAGAGAGCAAATTCCAGACTGATTTGGTGGAAAGGCTCCAGAAGTTGTCGGATAAAATATGGCGAGCAATGCGCAGACCGCTCCCAGTCACTCGTACTGTCATCAACTGGGATAAACTGCTGACTAGTTAGAGAGGTGAAGGCATCCTGAAGTGATGTCCCATTATGCTTGCCGAAGTGTCTTGTGTGAATGAAATATTGGCCAAATAAAACAACAATCGCTGAGTACATTCACATTGATTCCCTTGATTTATTGCCTGATAGTTCATGGGAATGCAGAGTCCTTTGGCAGAATGAATAGTACGCAGGTCAGTAGTGTCTCACCAGGAGTTATTTCATTCCATTCCTCATGTGCTGGGCAAAGTACCAGCATCCGTTGCAAAATAAGGTTTTGTCCTTTAATATGAAAAGGAAGATGAAGAGCGGAACCACGAAACAGAGAGAAGCCCTATACTGCATATGTACGTCTCAAAATATTATTTCTCTTTAAACAACCAAAAGTTTGTGAGCCTCAGCTGGTTCTTTGGAGAAAACTAGGGAGCTAGATTCGTTTCTGGCTCCCATATTTCTGAATACACTTGGATGGTTGGTCATCCTAAGAACTTCCCTCTTTCTCCTTTTCCATATGATGCAGAGTAGCTTGCTTGAGCAGACTGGGTTTTGCATTATTTCCACTCTATACCAAATAATTTACATTTATTAAATGGATTAAGAAATAAGGACAGCTCTGGAGAGGACTTTGACCCAGTGCAGGGGTGCTAGAGATAAATCTTGGGCCCAGTATACCTGAAGGCAGGTCTCCACCCCCATTATTCAGCCTGGACACAGAGCTCCAACTCTGAGGGCCTTCTGGTGGTTCCCTCCCTGTGAGAAGCCAAGTTACAGGCAACCAGGCAGAGGGCCTTCTCTGTATTCACACCTGCCCTGTGGAATGCCCTCCCATCAGATGTCAAGAAAATAAACAACTATCTGACATTTAGAAGACATTTGAAGGCAGCCCTGTTTAGGGAAGTTTTTAATGTTTGACATTTTATCGTGTTTTTAATTTCTGATTAGGGACGCGGATGGTGCTGTGGGTTAAACCACAGAGCCTAGGACTTGCCGATCAGAAGGTTGGCGGTTCGAATCCCCATGATGGGGTGAACTTCCGTTGCTCGGTCCCTACTCCTGCCAACCTAGCAGTTCGAAAGCACGTCAAAGTGCAAGTAGATAAATAGGTACTGCTCCGGTGGGAAGGTAAACGGTGTTTCCGTGCGCTGCTCTGGTCCGCCAGAAGTGGCTTAGTCATGCTGGCCACATGACCCGGAAGCTGTACACCGGCTCCCTCAGCCAATAAAGCGAGATGAGCCCCGCAACCCCAGAGTCAGCCACGACTGGACCTAATGGTCAGGGGTCCTTTTCCTTTAATTTCTGATGAGAACAACCCAGAGTGGCTGGGGAAACCCAGTCAGATAGGCGGGGTATAAATAAATGATGATGATGATGATGATGATGATGATGATGCGATCATAAAAGCCTGCTGGATCAGGCCAATCTGCCATCTGGTCCAGGATCCTGACCACTCAGTGGCCAATCAGATGCCTGTGGGAAACCCACAAGCAGCATTTGAGAACAAGACCACTCTCCCCTCCTGTGGTTTTCAGCAGCTGGTATTCAGAATCATTACTACCTCCAAGTGTGTTCGTGGGTTCTAGTGTTGTGAGAGGAAGAAATATCTTTCTCTGTGTCATGCATAGTTTTATAAACTTCTATCATAAGAAAAAAGCTGATATCCCTGATATGCTAGCCTTCTAAGAACACAGACTGATTGATTGATTGATTGATTGATTGACTGAAATATTCACACTTCCACTTTCAGTTTTCTATGGTGTAATTCAGGCACCACAGTGAGAACTAGGCTGTTATCAAGTTGCTTTAAGGACATGCTTTGCAGCCCATCATGAAAAGCTCAGGAACATTTCTGAGAGCCATTAGCATTCAGCTGAACGCTGCCCAGTTAGACAAAGAAAAGTGATACCTGAAGGGGGAACAGTGTAATATGAACATTGTCTTAGACAATTGAATTATTTATTCATTAAGATTTCTTTCCCCACTGGCACTTCTGCTACATTTGCTGAAGTGTTTGCCTTGGAGAATATGTGCATAAGGGAAGTCACTAAGTGCACAGAGTAGGCCACTAATCACGAGGATATTATAATGAGTTTTTCATGGTCCATTGTCATTTAGTTATCTTCATGGAATTACTACCCTCTCTTTGCAAACGGTTCCCATTAGCACGAACATTTAAGAGACATACATATTTATTTCCTGGCATGCAATTTCAAAGGTGGCAATCCTTTCTGGTGCAATGGGCAATCTTCTGGACAGGATTATTATGCATCTAGGCAGATTTAGACACGGGTCAAATTCCATTCCCAGGTATTTGGCAGCGGATCAGGCTAAAGTAGAAAGCGTTGCATCCATGCTGCACCAGCAGAATTCTGCTCACACAATTCTCCTCCTTCCTTGCACATCTTCAACATTTGCTTTGAAAGGTCTCACAAGCCTCCAAACCCTATAAAGAGATACAACATACATATGAGGTCCCCAGTCCCCCCCCCCAGTATAGAACCTTTGTGTTCCATAGCCAAATCCTAGATGAATGAAAATATTTGTTTTGCAATCAGTGGCAGACACTAATTCTGAGTGGTCAAAACTGTAGACTAATCATTATGATTATTCCCCGCCTCTCACCCTGAGGTGATCCCAGGGCGGATTACAACACAAGCAATACAAATAAATAACCACACATAGGCAATAAAAGTCAAACATTAACAATTATAAGGTACAAGGTCTCAGAAATACTTTTCAGCAGTTGAAAGCTGAGTAAAGATGGATCTAGAATAGTGATGGTGGAGAAATTCTATTCCGTTTTCATTAAAGGCAGACATATCAAATTTGCACTTTCTGAAATTTGTGAACCAAAGAAAACACAGCCATCTGTTGGAATGTGCACTTCTCCAGATTTTGCAGTGCAGTTCTGCAGCCGAAGGAGGTGTAAAAAGATGCATATACTGAGGTAATATGTGCATTAAAAATGCATGTACAGGCAACTCCCCATTTGTGTGCATTTGGCACGCACACAACTGCTGATGCCAGTGTGTTTTCGGTACCAGAACGGGCCGAGGTGAGCTTATGTGCAGCCCGACGATGTGCACCGTGCCTCAGAACACAACCCCCGCATAAATGGTGTGTTGCCTGAATTTTTGAAAACGTCATGAAAAAAATAGATCAGAGGAAATTGCTTTGCGAGAATTTGTATATTAAGGAAAAAATGAACTCAAATGCTGGTGACTGTTCACGAAGTTCTTTTTTGTAATTGCAAATTGATATGGAAATGTGCAGAACTGAAGTCGAGATTGGAAAAATGAGAAACTGAGAAAAACTGAAGTTGACAGATTCTCCTTTTCCTAACTAGACACACCTCTGTAGGGAAGGATTTCCACAGCTTGAGGTCTGCCACAGAGAAAGTCTTCCTCTGGGCTGTCACCACTCCGACGTCTCAGTGTGGCCGAGTGGCCAGCAGGGCCTCCTCTTAACACCTGAAAAGTTTTGTAGGGAAGCTGGGGGAGTTTCAGATACTTCAGGTGTAAGTCATTTAAGGCTTTAATCACCAAATAAAGCACCCAGAGTCCTCCTTTAAGCACACCCAGTCTTGTACATTCCTAATGGGATTTTTATTTATTTATTCTTCCTCAGTGCCAGAAGTGATTTGCCATGGGGACACAGGAGTGGCTGTTGAGAGGTAGAACTCCAATTCCCCTCAAGCACAAGGAATAAGCCAGGTGCCTCTTTGGATTCTGGCTGTGGCACAATATTATTACAATGTATTTTGACTAGCAGATGACATTTTGGTCTGCAGATAACTGAACCTGGGTGGACACATCACACACAAACACTCCCCACCACACGCACCAAAATACAATAGTTTTAAGGCACACAAATCAGACTTAAGGAGCTTATAGCTTAGAAAGCTGTTGGAGCCGAAGGATAATTGCAATGTAGGAAAAGAAACATAATTTGGATAAAGTAGAATATACTTCGCAGTGCCAAAAATGACTGGTGGTTTCTGCCATTCTTGGAACATTGCCACCATATTGCCTGGGGAAATCAAACTCTTCCAACTCCACAATTCTATGATTCTATGATCCCCTGATGAAGAAAGAAAAGCTACACAAGCAAATACATTAAGATGCCTCCGCAGTGCTGAAAAAGCTAAGAAATGTTTTCTATACAGAATGGAAACTCGCTGCAAGCAAATGTGAAGTATAAATTGGATGCCAGAGCCACAATTTTGGTTTGGGGCTGCCAGAGCTGAAGAATAACCCTTGTCTCTCCAAATGCAGAGGGGCCTCATTGTGCCTTCATGCACTGGACCCTTCAAAAGTAACATCCAGACATCCAGATCTGAAGCTTTAAACACCCCAGATAGCTGGATTGGATCCATGTGTTTATATGCTGCTTCCTCTTCCCAGATTGCCCTCTAGCCTGCTAAGGTGGTAGTCCTAGCCCAGGCATAGGCAAAGTCAGCCCTCCAGGTGTTTTGGGACTACAACTCCCATCATCCCTAGCTAACAGGACCAGTGGTCAGGAATGATGGGAATTGTAGTCCCAAAACATCTGGAGGGCCAACTTTGCCTATGCCTGTCCTAACCCCACTTGCCTGAGAGCGCCAGTGGAGGCTGGTCCATTGGTGCAAATGGCACTTCTCCCACCAACCTTCTTCACATAATGGATAACCTGTGTAATGGCTTCAATAGATCAGGGTATGGCTGTCAATGGCAGGGCCAGCCCAAGACCTTTTGGCACCTGAAGCAAGATGTGGCACTGATGTCCCACTCCAGACCCAGGCCTGCACCCCAGTGGTGTGGGAGGAAACCAGCAGCAATGCAGCTCATTGGCTATGGCTTTCAGATGCATTTTTGGCTTACCTGAAGCTGACTTGGAAGCTGCCGCTGAGTATGGATTGGGATCTTCTGCCCCCTTTGGAACATGCCACCCCGAGGCAAGTCACCTCACATGCACAGGCCATGCTGTGACAGCAAGCTAGCTTAGCGGCTGCAGGGCGGACCACACGGCACAACTTTCTAACCACTTTCCACCTCTCAAAATTTGCCGTCTGAGGCAGCTGCCTCACTCTGCCTCATGGTAGGGCCGGCTACAAGTCATTATGTCTGTGTTCTACCTCCAGTATTGGAGGCAGTATTTGTAAGAATTCCAGTTGTTGGGGAGCACAAGATGGGGAAATGCTGTTGCACTTGTGTTCCTGAATGTTGGCCTCTCTACCAGTCCCATCGGGCACCTGCCACCTGTGGCAATACCCACTGAAATCAGTAAGATTTCATTTTAAGTAGACATGGTCAGGATCACAACATAATCCAGTGGAAGGCCTGAATAAAGTATCCTGCAATCTATGATCAAAGAATGGATCCAGATGCATATACGCAATAGGCCCCTGGCACCCATCTTTTCATTGTTAACCAATTTCCTAACCTTGAAATTCAATCAATATTTATTTCAGACAGCTGTTTATTGTCTTTGGGGGTTTCTCTGCCACAAATAAATGGAGACATTTCCCCCACCCAGGGTTGCTGTGTTTTTGTGAAAACTCCCAAGGCACCATGTCTGCAATGACTTTCAAACCACGAAGACACATGGCTTTATTCGTGAGAATGGCATTAAATAAAAAGATTAAAAAGACAACGTAGCAATTGCAAATGATAATCAATCATACTAGATGTACCATCCCATTTTTTAAAAGTGCCTAAAATGTCACTGCGATCTAATTCTTCCTCTGTTCTCATCTGTGCCTAAAGCACTTACTTGTCCCCTCATTGCTCTTTATTTTATCCAACATCTGTAAAGTTAGCAAATTAAGTAGTCACAGCTGCACAAGTGTGTTAATTCATGCACTAAAGCTTTGAAGAATGTTTGGCTTTTTAGATATAAATAATAATTATTATCTAAATTAATCATGGGGTTGTTTTTTTTACTCATCAGTGATTTTTTTTCTCTGCTGTACATTTCAAGTTACAGAATGGCATTGGCCTACAATTCAACACAGTGTTAGGTGTGCATAAGCCCACCAATTTTGCCTAACTATGGTGGATAGTAGCCCTGGTTTGTAAGATTCAGCAAGTATCATGGGCACATTGATGCGCCTGGATAGAGACATCAAAATCATAGTGGTACAGAGTTGCTGAAACTTTGAACTTGGCAAAATATACAGTTCAGCCATCCATTTCATCAAAGTGGAAAAACTTTATCCATAAGCTTTCTGAAAATTATGACTATAGACCATCCTGAAATATGAACCATGCACAAAACTCAGGAACACAACTCAGAGTTCATGGAGAGAACTTATGTTTCAAGGCAGCAGTAAAACACTTCATGAACAGCACTTCTTTCTCTAGTTGCAGATAGTTTGCAAATTTGTCAAGTCTGGTGTGAATGCCAAAATATTGACACAGAAGATAAAGCAGCAACTGAGTAGATAGATAGATAGATAGATAGATAGATAAATGAGTGAAGTTGTTATTCGTTTATCTACCTATTAATGAAATATGCAAGCTGAGCTTGTCTTTGTTAAGAATCCCAAAGGTTAAAGAAAGAAGATATTTACATATTTGTTTCTATTTTCCTGGTTCTCAAGCATGTCTGTGTGCCAAAGGACTTACATACCTACATGCATACATAACCATAAACCCAAAATGGGTTCATGGTGATTTACAATCAGAAATACAAAACATGCAAAATACAAAATAATTGCGGCTATATCACAACAAACAAAACCCACATGGCTTGCAATAAAATCCTTCCTAACCTCACAGCAACAAAATCAACACAATAATCAAGCTAACATGTTAACAGTCAATTGTCTATGAATGGTGCTGAGGAGATAATGTCTATGCTAGGCAGACCTTTCTGGGGAGAGTGTTCCATATAATGGGGGCCTCTAATGACAAGGTTCTCTCTTATAGCCACCCTCCGTACTTGTGATTAAAAGTACTGCTCATTTACTACACAGTTGCACTTGTGTATATTTCAGTGGGGAATGATTTGTGTGTGTTAACCTAGAAGCCAAGAAAACCTACAGCTGGCTAAGTTACAAGTGACAAAGGGAAAAAAGAACCACTTTGTTATTTAATATATGGTCACAATTAGAGTTCTAGACAGAATCTGGAGAAGAATCTGGATTTGCACATTTGTGTGTGTAATGTCTCTGATTCCAGTTCCAATTTTTGTTCCAGTTCTTGCATGTTGTGGTACCGCGTTGCTGCTATACTGTGCAACTTCCTGATGTGCTCTTAGACCCAACGATACTGCCACTACCATCTTCCCTGTCCAGTGCATTAAAAGAATATTGTCACATGTAGTTTACATCTGACATTCATTGCATTTGACCAAACACAGGTATGGGATCTGTAAACTAAAGCGGAAAACTGGCGGAAAGCTCGGTGGTGGATGACTGTCCTTTCCTCACCTGACATTCTTCTAAAAATCCCTCCCAAGCTGTTTTTTGCCCTGCAAGGCAAAAGGCATGGCATACGGCTTGCCCCCTGTGCTCTTTCCCCAATTTATTGTAGTCTCGGCATTTTCCTCCTAAATGGGAACAAGCTACATGTGACCGAGCAGCACATACATTTTAGTTCTCAGAGGTTTCGAAATGAAACCTTAAATCATTTCGAACCTTAGTCACTAGTGAGCTATAAACTGCAAACTGTTTTCTTAAGGAATTATTTTACTGGATTCAAAAAGCATAGCACAAGGGCTTCCTACAGACAGCTGCTCATAAAACAGGAAATCAGGCCATTGTTTTTCTTAGATGGCATTAATGATACTCAACATGCAAGATAAATAAGGAATGCAAGGAACAAAAAATATCCACGTTGCAAACTTCCCAAACTACATTCATCTCATTCCAGTGGGCAATACACCAATCGCTCTCATGTTAAACCTGTTGCATATCTCCGTGGTTGGCATGCCCTGCACCTCTAATCAGTGTGGGATATCTTAGAAAATGGGAAGGATCTGAGGTGTTTGAGAGACTGCATGCTCTAACTTGCATGCATCGTAACAGTGTGCACTTAACAAATGGAATTCACAGCCCCAGGACATAATGGCCATCACTAGCTTGAGTAGCTTGAAATGTAAATTACAGCAGGGGTTCACAAACTTTCTATCACTGGGGTCCAGCTGAGAATTATTAAGGCCCACCAGTCACAAAATGGCTGTGAGGTCAGTCACAAAATGATGGTAGGTGGATCAGAGTTGGGCATAATCAGCTGGCAATTACTAACATCATTTTCTACTGGTATCTAATCAGTCTTCAGAAATTCCTAAATTCTTTCCCGCAGCATTTATCTTGTGGGAAGGAGTTTCATAGGCCAGCATTCCTCAAGCTCAGTACACACATTTGCTCTGGAGGTATTGTGACAACCTTCCTATTTTACGCAGAATTTGTTGCTCCAAAGGCTGTAGGTGAAGATGGCATTTTCCAGGGGTGTCAGGTACTTATCCAAAGTTTATGTTTCCTTTTGAAAATAAGGCACAGCGGAGACTGTAGTGTCTTTATGATATATAATTTATAGTATATAAAGTGGTACCTCGGGTTAGGTACTTAATTTGTTCCGGAGGTTCGTTCTTAACCTGAAACTGTTCTTAACCTGAAGCACCACTTTAGCTAATGGGCCTCCTGCTGCCACTGCGCCACCAGAGCACGATTTCTGTTCTTACCCTGAAGCAAAGTTCTTAATCTGAAGCACTATTTCTGGGTTAGTGGAGTACGTAACCTGAAGCGTATGTAACCAGAGGTACCACTGTACAACCTAAGCCTATGATGGTGGGGTTCACAGCATTAACACCCCCAAAGGGTCTTGTTTCTCCCATACCCACAGCCTCGGATTCAAACAGAAATCAAACATTGCTCTCAAACTTTGCTCTGACTCTTTCCAGTTCACTGCTTTATCCTCGAGGAAAGGAGGCCCCACCCATTTGCCACCTTGAACCAAGCCCCTTAACCCAGGTTATCACTTCACCAGGAGTTATCATTTCACCAGGAGTTATCACATTCACTCAGGTTATCACTTCACCAGGAGGCTATCTTAGCTATTCCAATAATTAGAAGCCTTGATTAAATTCTAACACTTGCTGGATCCAGGAATTAGAGGGTCCTGGCACCCAGTTTAAACACTGTTTTCTCTTCTCACCCCCACATGCATCTCAAAAACATTTTAACCCACCACTTGCAATTTCTTCTCCCTTTGTGTTTTCACACTCGACTTGGACCTTGTTTGTTTCCCTGACAATTTCTTTCATCCCCCTTTCCTTGTCTGTGTATATTCATGTCTCCCTGCTATAACAGCTTTCCCCTCTTACCTTTTCTATACCCATTGTATTATTATAATCATTAATGCATATTAACCTTTTATTTCTAATTTTCTTCCAATGCCTCCTCTAGCCTTTACTGTCAGAGGGAGACCATCCTTCCCTCTTCCTCCTCTGAGATTCTCTCTCTGAGCAAACAAGGAGTTGCCAGTGCTGGCACTGGTTAGGTCAAATAGCTCTGGCATGACTAGGGTGTGCAGCAGGCAAGTGAGGAATTACTGAACAGGTCATGGCACTGAGGCCCACCTGAAAGTGGCCCAAGTCCCACTGGTGGAGAAACACTGTCCTAGTGGATCACGTTCTATTGATAGGTAGTGATCACGGGAGCTAAATGGGACCTCCATGTACAGAAGTAACATGCTGCAGAGTACCAGATTGCTGGGGATAAACAATGGAAAATATTGCCACCTGCATTCCCTGCTTGTGAGCTCTCAGAAGCATCTGACTCATAGCTGTCAACTTACAGATTTGAAAATAAAGGACCAGCAGCCTTGAAAATAAGGGATCAGCAGCCAAAATAAGGGACCTGCAGCCTCACCTGTTCCAGGCACTCCAGTCTTCCTGTCCTCCTGCAGTCTGGCCAAACTCATGCTGGTAGCTTCAAGAACACTGTCCAACCAACTTTGTAACCAGAGGTTCAACTGAATAGAATCTGAATCACATGCACCACAAGGCCTACACAGCCTCAACTTAAGATGGCTCCCCGGCCTGGCTTTGCACTGCAAAGTTTGCAGCAGCACGTGCAACGAAATGGCGTCCAGCATTCAAAAACCCCCTCAGCTTGCATTAACTAGCCACACACACACACAGCCTCCCCCCCCCTGGCCACGAGATTGCCAGTCACCCACCATTTTAGTCAACCAGCTCCTTTCTTTCCCCTCATAAGTCAATCGAAGGAGCCTCCAAAACAAATTCAAAAGCCCCCCTCCCACGAGATCTCCTTTCCTTTTTCCCCACCATGTGCCCCCGCTCCAGACAGACCTTTTCGCCGGCAAGGGTGAGTGGGCCGTCGATGACGTATCCATCTGATTCCGATCCGAGCACTCAGCACAGGTATGTTCAACTTCTGAGCCCCTCTGAGCCATAGGTAGAAAGCCCAGCCAGCAGCCAAATGAAGCCTCAAGGAAAACCACCGTCACCTCTCCGCTGGGAAGCGCTGAGCAAAGGTGAGTCCCCAGGCAACACAGCCGATTTGATCAGCACAAGGCATGCAAGCTCCACCCCCCAGTTGTTCTTAGACTTCTTATTGGGTGAGCAACACAGTCAAGCAACACAGTTGGAGCCTCCCTCCTCCCTGGCCGGCAGGGAGGGAGGGAGAGGAGCTGCTTCCTTTGAAATTTAAGGGACATCATTTAAGGGACATCCATCAATAAGGGACAGCAGCGGGACATGGCACTGGAATAAGGGACTGTCCCTTCAAATAAGGGACGCTTGACAGCTATGATCTGACTTGGCTGTTGAGAATGACACGAACAATGATTCAGCAAAGCAACTTTCATATGGCCTTTATGCATACTGAATACCATTGGCTCACACAAGTAAAAATAAGTTATGACAGTAACAAAGTAGTACTATTAAACCATGGTTTCTTTATTGAGGATTCAGGCTGCTGAGGGAGCTCTGTTAGCAAACATTATTGGTTAAAGTACCAAATATGCACAAAGAGTGAAGCAGGACGCAGGTTGACACCAAGTTTGGAAAAAAGTGGAACCTGGCGATAACCTGTAAATGCAATAGCAATGAATGAGTGGATTACAGGCAAAGTGATTCACATAGACATGTAAACCTTAGTTCTGTCCCAAGAAATGGAACCTAGGAGGGAGCCATGTTCAGTCCTCTTCACATCTTCAGGTAGGGCTGGTAAAGACTTCTGCCTGAATCCCCGGAGAGTCACTGCCAGTCAGTGTACACAGTGCAGAGCAAGAACCCAATGTTTGACTTGCTAAAAGACAAGTTCCTATGTTCCAATAAGAACCTATGAGCGCACAGAGCAGTCACTGGGCTTGCAGCCTTGAGGATGTGGCCAGTGGCATCCTGGGAATCAGGATGGCTACAGAAATACATGGAGGTACCGGTTCACACAAATAGGTTGTAAGCACCATTATGGACCTGCAAACTCCTAAAACAACTGTATGTGAACCAATGTATTACCTGGCCCCTACATTCACCTAGAAGGGACACGGGTGGCTCTGTGGGTTAAACCACAGAGCCTAGGACTTGCCGATCAGAAGGTCAGCGGTTCAAATCCCCACGACGGGGTGAGCTCCCATTGCTCAGTCCCTGCTTCTGCCAGCCTAGCAGTTCAAAAGCACATCAAAGTGCAAGTAGATAAATAGGTACCGCTCTGGCGGGAAGGTAAACGGCGTTTCCGTGCGTTGCTCTTGTTCGCCAGAAGCAGCTTAGTCATGCTGGCCACATGACCCGGAAGCTTTCTGCAGATAAACACCGGCTCCCTCAGCCAATAAAGCGAAATGAGCGCCGCAACCCCAGAGTCGGCCACGACTGGACCTAATGGACAGGGGTCCCTTTACCTTACATTCACCTAGAAGGGTCAGCTACAATTGTAAGTAACAAAGTAAACATGTGGTAGAGCACAGGACAGCTCCTGCAGCTGAAATAAATGAAGAATGCAGAAATTCCAAAAGGATGCACATTAAAAGACAACATTGTTGATCTGTATAAAAGGGAAAGCAGAGTTCACACTTTTAGGAACAGTGAAGACTCAACAAGTAATGCAATTAACGCCCCATTCAATTCTGCACAATGTCACAAATTAAAGCTAGGCAACTAACATGGTTAAAAATAGTAACACCACAGCAATTTTTTGAACAGATCTGGTTTCAGCAATGATAGTAACACAACCACTGTACCTTGGAAGCACTCAATTTAAGGCTATGTTGCATATCATAATCAAGAAGAGAAAAATTTGTTGTTAGGGATTTGTGCATGGGGGGGAGGGGGACTAATACCTTTATTCATGCTCAGAAGTGGTAAAGTATATTGCCCAAGGAAGTCATTGGAAGTGAGAGAAAGCTGATCTTCTACAACAAATCGTACTAAGGCAAGCTCTGGAACTTGGATGTTAAATGTGAATGTTTCATTCCACCTGGGACTCAAAGCTGAAATAAAGAAAGCAATATAAGACAAGCAATGATCTGTTAAAACAACTCTACATTGCTAATTGTGTTCTATTCACTGACCACTGAAAATAAAACCTCCATTTGTTTCCTATTTCTTTCTCTGCTCATTGATGATTCTCACTGATTGCAGGAGTACAAGTCTGAAATGCTCCCACAAATGCAAAACAAAGGCTGGCTAAGTAGAAACTCTTCTTATGTTTTTAGCTTTTTCTGTTTTATATCTATGCTTTTCTATTTTTTATCTGTAAACCACCTTGAGTCCCAGTCTGGGGACTCTATCATAGAATTACAAAATTGGAAGAGACACCAAAAGTCACCTAATCCAACCCCCTGGAATGCAGGAATCTCAACAAAAGCATGCATCACTGATGGCCATCCAATGTTGTCTTAAAAATAGGTTTTTGGGTGTGAGGAATTCAAATCTGCTATTATTTTTATGATTGGACAACATTTAGCTTGGTTTAAGTTTGATGAAGAAGCACATAAACTGCTTTTGGAAAACTACAGAATTTTAATTTATACCTTCTGAAAATGTCAGGTAATACTAGATAATAATAAAAAATAATGGTAATATATAACTGCAAGTACTTGGCAATCATTTTTAGTGATTTCTGTACAATTTTACACATGTTTTGCTTACCAAGCAAAATTGAATTACATTAATTTAACAAAAATATCTTTTGAATTCCCAAGTCATGTTCCAACTTTTTTAGCACTCCTCATTTTTGGGAATTTGAAAGCTGAAAAATTCAACTACACCTAGTCTTGTTTGCCTGATGTTAAAACTGGCATTACACTGCAGTGGAGCTGTCCCTTGGGAATTTAAATGATCCACTGACAGGCTTCTTCTTTTTAGTTTAATCACAACTATGCACAGTTTCCAGCAGTGAACCATAATGAGGTGAACCATTTGGAGTGACACAGTGATTTGATTCCTCCCTTAATTTTGTCGTAATGCTTCTTTTCTTTCTTTTTTTCAGATAGATAGTGGAAAGGCAGCAAGGATGCATAAAAGACACAACTTTAAACATTTGCCAGGATATTTTTTTCTACTGCAAGCCTAAGAAAGCAATCAAGCCAAAGGCTTCTCTAACCCATCACCCTGTTCTCAAAGTGGCCAACCTGGTGGCTGTGGGAAGCCTGCAAGGAGTTGGATGCTGCGATGTCTCCGAAAAAATTACACATCACTTGGGAAGGCAGGAAAACTAATGCCAGTGTACTGGAAGAAGGAAAGATCACCAGTGTCGAAGCAATGATTCTTCAGTATCAACTTCGTTGGACTAGTCATGTTGTGCAGATGCCTGATTATCATCTTCCAAAGCAACTACTCTATTCCGAACTTTAAAATGTTAAACATAATGCTGGTGGTCAACAAAAGAGGTTCAAAGACTCTCTCTCAAGGCAAATCTAAAAAAATGTAGTATATACACCGACAACGGGGAAACACGGGCCTGCGAGTGCTCCAATTGGAGAACAGCCTTTACCAAAGGTGTCATGGGCTTTGAACATGCTCAAACTCATGTGCTAAGAGGAAGGCACGCTTGGTAAAACCCTCACCATGATCAACTCCTGCCTGGAAACCTAAGTCCCCATTGTGGAAGGACGTGTGGGTCCAGAATTGGCCTCCACAGTCACTTACAGACTCACTTTTAAAACCATGTTTATGGAAGACAATCTTACTCGGCTATGAGTGATCGCCAAAGAAGAAGGCAGCTCAATGGAAGAGCATCTGTTTCTCATGCAGAAGGTGCCCATCTCAACCCCCAATATCTCTACATAGAATTGGAGGAGACCCCTGCCTGAAACCCCTGAGAGAAGGCATATGCAAACTGAGAGCAGGCATATGCAAAGAGACCCCTGAGAGCAGGCATATGCAAAGAGCTTTCGCCACTTGTGATTCCCAACAACTGAAATCCAGAAGCTGACGGGATGAAACAGACATTCCTGCAGGGATGGCCTTATCACTAGGCAGATCCTATAGAGTTGCAATGAGATGCAGGAGGACACAGCTTGATGTGTTTCACACTGTCTGCCCTGCTTCCCCCAAGCTAGTCTGCTGTCCTCAGGCATTGCCTCATCTCCAGTGTTAAAGCAAGATTCACCTGCAATCAGGCCAGTTTCTATAGATGACAAGGATGGGAAACCTCTGGCTCAGGGACCATATGTGGCCTAGAGACCTCTCCATCTGCCCCAGATAGAGACATACCCTCCAGTGGCCCCACTTCATTCCCCAAGTGTTTTTGCCTGGATGGAATGTGTCCTTGAACTCTGACAATGCCGCCTGCTAGATAGAGAACAGAGAGGCACGTGTGAGGTTATGTAGAATGCAGCCTACTACATACAAGTAAAATCTTTCTCTATTGCTCCACCTACTTTGGGCTCTGGCCCAGCCCATCACCAAAAGGAAAGGGGAATTTGTGGTGTTGCAAGCACCAAGCAATCAGCGCTGCACACAGCTGGCTTGGGCTGCCAGCATACAGGAGTGGCTTTCTATGAGCTTGTTTCCGCAAACGAAAGTGTATGTACACAGTGTGGGGAACTGTATGCTTTTGCAGTGGCTCAACTGTTCAAGTAACATACATTTGTACACACCCCAAAAGAAGCACAAAAACCACAACGGACAACTAGGGACAAGCAAAAACACAGAAAGAGAGGTATACTGGTACTATAAACATACAAATTCCTGCATTTTTCTCTGTCTGTTTTCTTCCACTGCTCACTTACATCTCTGACGTAAACAATGAAGGCGGGAAACAAACCTGTCCACCTCCACAGAATGCAATTAGAACAAAGCTTGATCTTTCCTTTGTTCTACTTTCCCCCATACACATGTAAATGTATGTATTTTAGCCTGTCCTTTCTAATTCATTCAAATAGTGGAATTTTTAATTTTCCATATAAGAACTCTGTGTGTGTATGTACCATTCATGCTTTCCTTACTAATTCATGCACTGCTGTTTCTGTATATAGGCCCAGTTGCCAAAGGCGAAACTTTGATAAGCTATGTAAGCCCATGAGTTAAATCCCTAAATTACTGAAGCATTACGCAACCAATAGACTTTTGCACTTACCATTGCCCTTAACTACACAGCTCTGTTGCTTTGCATGGTCTTCCGGAACACCATAAATTTCTACTAGAACTAGGGGGTCAGCTTTATTACTCCTGGAGAGACTGCTAGGTGGTAATTGATGACCACTGATAAGCTGCACAGAAAAACAACAACAGTGCATAAGCTTCAACTGGGATATACAGTGGTACCTTGGGTTACATACGCTTCAGGTTACAGACTCCGCTAACCCAGAAATAGTACCTCGGGTTAAGAACTTTGCTTCAGGATGAGAACACAAATCATGCTCCGGGGGCGCGGTGGCAGTGGGAGGCCCCATTAGCTAAAGTGGTGCTTCAGGTTAAGAACAGTTTCAGGTTAAGAACAGACCTCTGGAACGAATTAAGTACTTAACCCGAGGTACCACTGTAAAATGCAATTGATTATTATTCTGGCATCAATGGTTTTACTGAAAAACAGACAGGGAAGCCTACCACACAGGACAAAGCTAACTGAGCATTATTGACCCTTAACTATGAAACAGCTGTAAAAACAAGTGTTTGGGCTGCTATAATTGGGGCAAGAGGAATGGTGGGAGGGAGGGGCTGCTTAATCATGTCCTCTCAGTTTTCTGTGTAATACTGGGGAATCCAAGCTTCTTTTCCTCCCATATACATATTATCGAATCACCACAGATGGAAAAGCAGCAAGAGGAAGGGCAATTTTGAATGGGGGAAAAATGACTACATGGGAAAGGATCAAGAAACTCCTCACCTGCTATTCCTCCACTTGGGATTACAATTCCCATGGCCACTTTTCATTTTAAAAAGATTTTTTTAAAAAAACACACACACCTGACATATAATGCCTAGTATGAGCTTCTGTTTTCCTTCATTTATGTGCAATCTTTAGCATTTTCTGCACCCAAGACCCCCAAGTGAATCTGTAGCTAGGTAAGAGGAGGTCTTCGTTCCCTCTTGAAAGTAAAAATAAGTACAGTGAACTTGAGCATGTTCTTCTTCCGCACTTCCCCTCCTCTCCATCTTCTGTGCCTCTTTTTGTCTCTGTTCTGTCAGAATGCTGCTTGCAACAAGCTTCTTGGGACAAATACTTCTCCTTTTTGCTCATGCTACTTTGCAAATCACAGTGTGTATCAACGGTTCTACATTTTATACCGAGTAATGATGACTTATGATTTCAACACCACTTTTGAAAATCCCAATGGATAACAGCAGCAGTTTGTCACTGGCAAAATATACTCAGTCCTTGGTACTAGATGTGCTTCTTGCTTTGCTTGTTATTTGCATAAATCTCTTTCGTATAGTTAGACCAAACCTGCAAAAGCTAATGCCCATAAGTCTTCTCTCAGAGTATATCAGGTGAAGTTTGAGTAGAATGCTATGCAACACATCTTACATCCTGCTCCAAAGGGTGCTTCCATGCCTGTATTTCTCAGACTTAGGGCACTGCCAGACAGTTGCTATGCTCAAGTGGAATTTAAACATATATTTGGCAAATTCAAATTGTGTGTTTTATAGTTGATTGGGAGGTCTTGTGCAAAAATCCAGCTTCTCCAAAAGATAGGACTTTTGCAATAAAGAAAATGATGGGAAAAGGCACTGTGACATATGAGTTAACATATGCTTTGACGCAACCTCATCTAACCTCAATGCAAACAAATAAGAATGAATTTTCAATAAACAGTCAATGTCATCTAATCATCGTGCAAACAAATCAGGGTGAATGCTCAATAGGTCAACTGGAAGTGCCCTTAGTTTCTCATAAAAAGGCCCTTGTATTAATGCAATACTCTCTATATTGCAAGGGCATTTCATTTTATAACATCTCTTAGCAACTGATCCACCACAAAACTGTCTTATTAGAGGGGTGTTTTTTAGTACATATCTACCCATTCACTAATCACTTGCTTCAATCACCGCCTACTTAATCCCTTTTCTCTCTCTCTCTCTCTTTCTGACCTTGAACAATTCTGATCTCCTCACAACCCCACAGAAATTTTATAGTCTTTCCCAACCTTTCATTAGAGAAAAAGAAACTCACTCAGTCTCAGTAGACTATTGATATCTGTCTGTGCATACACTGCGCTGTGTTCTGGCTCCTAAACATAATAAGCCCATTCCAAAGCCTAGCACCACGTTTTAAGCAGAGGCACTACACATTTACAGAAAACCCATTAAAAAAAGGGTTATGGGATGTCAGAGGGCTAAGAGGAATGGAGCAAAAGCCAGCAAAAGGGGGGGGGGACTGCAACAAAGAGAAGTCGATCAAGCAACTTCATTGAAAAGGCAGGGCTGCCTGGAGTATCATAGTCATAATACTTCAAAATTGATATAGGGCTTGGGGTATATTATCTCAGGGTGCTTACAGTAACCTTGCACAGCAGGTTAAGTATTATTATCCCCATACTGCTGGTGTGGCACTGAGGCAGAGAGAGCACTGGCTTCCTCAAGGCAATCTAGTGAGGTCATGACAGAGGTGACATTTGAACCAGGGATTTCCCACTTCACTTCCTTGCAGAGCAATCCTAAACCGTGGTTCTGTACTCCTCTGGGGGAGGGAGTGGCAGGTTCGGATGCGGCAGAGGTTTCTCCACCACCAGCAGCTCCACAGATGGCAGGGGGCTGTTTCTGCTGTGCCCACCAAAAGCACAAGCTGTTGACAACCTACCCGGGGTGTTTGCTCCCTTCAGGAGCCCCTGAAATTTGTGGGGATGGGGGGAGCGGCAGAGCTGAGCCAGCCATGGATCCTCCTGGCAGCCACAGATGGGGCTCAACTGGGCCTTTCTGCAGCAGAAACCTAGAGCTAGCAAAACGTAAAATAGGCTTCTGCGCAGGCCAGTGCGCAGGCCAGTGCCAAGAGCAGAACTTTGAATGCCTTAGTGTTGCTGTCCCTCTGCCCAGCACTACTGTTCCTTGGCTGGGACTGTGGATTGCTCCCTTAGCCTTTGAGCCCCTTAAACAAAAGGCTCAAAACCCAGTAAAATTGCAACATGTTAAGTGTTTATTGGATCAAACCAGAGAGACAGCCCTTACTTAAGTGAAGAATTTCTGTTAATTAAAAGCACACACTGGCATGAACAAAATCTTTCAGTCTTTTTTTTTTTTGCAATTAATTAAGTGGGGCAAACTTTTTGAGTGCATTTTTTAAAAATCTGAATCGGTGTTACAAAGCTGGCTCATTGTCACATGTTTGCAAACGCAGGGCAAAATGGCAACTGTGTAACAAGACAATGAACTACAGCAGTGGTATTTAATAATGTGCCAAATGCCTTTGATGACTAAATAGCATTTGCAAGAAGCTAGTCTCAGCATCTGTGGTACTCAAGGTATTTATTTCCAACAGCAAGCAGAGGAAAAGCACAAGGAAATATTGCAGATAATAAATCAAGCAGGTGTGATTTATTTTAGTTCTGACTGGCAATTTTTCAGTACCACTGCTACGTATGAGCCTCACAGCTTGAACTAAAAGGTCTGTTTCACAAAGTTTTAGCACACAAATGATATTTATAGGTTATATGTGAAAAATAAGCTAGTTAATCTCAGCATAACAAAAACAATAACTGATAAGAGGAAAGCCAACCTGCCTCCTGATAGAAGTAAGGTACAGGAATGGATTCAGACTGCATTACTAAACTGAGTGCAAGCCCCGATTTAACTGGATGGTGTCCTGCAGGTTCAAGCAACCCAAAGTTGAGGCCACTTACAGCAACGTCTGAAGAAATTTGGAACATGCTGCAAATGTGCCCTAAACCTTCCTCCAAGGAGGTCAGTGTGCCATTTAGCTTCACAACATGCCTGTGGGGCAGTTCACGAAAAGATCCCCACAACCAGTCATTAAACTTTGCAGTCCAGAGGGGATCTGAAGCAGAGTTTTATATATCCAAACCTGACCCTCTAGCCACCATGATTCTCCAGCATCCATCACTAAGATGGATGGACATCTGATCAGCAGCACCAGCTGTGGGGGCAAGGTCCCTATGAAGTCAAAGGCAAACAAAACATAACAGGCAGGAAAAGGGTAAGCTCTTGTTTTTGAGCTCTTTTAGTCACGAGGCAGAACAAACCACCAGTATGGGAGCCAGATCAAGCAGCTTCGGAGTAATCAAAGGATAAAGTCGGACAAAAATAAATAAATAGAGATAACTTCTGTGAGCAGGTAAAGGTAAAAAAGGTAAAGTACCCCTGGATGGTTACGGTGAGTCAAAGGTGACTATGGGGTTGCAGTGTTCATCTCGCTTTCAGGCCAAGGGAGCCGGCGTTTGTCCACAGACAGCTTTCTGGGTTATGCGTCCAGCATGACAAAACCGCTTCTGGCGCAAAGGAACACCTTGACGAGTGCCAGAGCACACAGAAACACCATTTACCTTCCCGCCACAGTGGTACCTATTTATCTACTTGCACTGGCATGCTTTCGAACTGCTAGGTTGGCAGGAGCTGGGACAGAGCAACGGGAGCTCACCCCGTCGCGGGGATTCTAACTGCCAACCTTCTGATCGGCAAACCCAAGAGGCTCAGTAGTTTAGACCACAGTGTCACCTGCATCCCTAGTTAATAACCAGGTAGAGACTAGCAAACATACACTGGAATAAAAACCCTGTTGTGCTCTGGGTGTGCTAAGGGCTCTAACTCTTTCCACAGACAACGCTTCCCCAAGCTAGTGCCCTCCATTTGTTTTGAACATCAATCAGTTCCCACCAGCACAGCTAGAGCTGATGGGAATTGTAGTCTAAAACATCTGGAGGGCACCAGGTTGGGGAAGGCTGCTCTGGAGCTATCTATGTTTTAAAACCTGTATCCTGTTGATGTAATGCACAAACTTTTGGAGGCTAAAGTGGTATTTGCTGCAGCCAAGGCTATTTGGTTGGATGGTTGTTCATTAGTCATTTAAAATATTTATATTCCACCTGTCTCAACAACCTGATTAAAACAATTCATTAATCAATTAAAAATAATTACACAAATTTAAAAAAGAAGCAGGTAATATACAGTAAGTATAAAACAGAGCAGGTAGTCAATCAAGTGCCACCAGACACCTGAGCAAACAGGAGTTTTTAATTAGCACCTACAATTTGACAATGTAGGCATATCCCCTTGCAATCAACTCATTTCATACTTGCATCAGCCCCAGGACTTCCCTTTGCACATTCCTAGGAGGAAAATTCAGAAACTGCTTATGCAGTGTCACTGGAATCAGTGGGACTGCAGCAATATATATGTGTGTGTGTATCATTCCTCCACATTTCATAATGGCTGATCTATAAGTGTGACTTGAATCATGTTTATAGCTGAGTAAGTGCCTTGAAGCTATTATGCATCTTCACAAATCTACCGGAAAGCAAAGAGAGAGGAACCATATGCAAATGATAGCACAGGGGTCCACATTTTTATTTTAAATTAACTATAGGCCGCCTTTCACTGCGAAAAATAACAAGGTAGTTTACAAAATAAAACCAGTACAACACAATAACAATAAAACATTACGCAGAATATTAAGGGTTTGGTAAAGTCAGTATTAAGCATCTGAGCTTGGGAGTGCCCATGTACATAGTTCAATATCTACCAAGCTGCAGGACACCTTCACCATAGGTGCCCATCATATATTTAAGTGGAGTTCATAATACAATGTGGGGGCTAACACAAAGAAGGCCCTCCTTCGACTTGCCATATGTGTCTCTACTAGATGCCTAGAAGGACTTCATCTGACAACCTAAGTGAACAAGCTGGTCTAGGTAGAAGGGTCCTCCTTCTCAGATAACCAGGTCCTAAGCTGTGCTGGACTTATATGTCAACAACAAAATCTTAAACTCAGCTCAGCAGCAATTATGCTGCCAATTGACACCAGTCAGCTATCGGGTACAGGTTACTTGAAGTGCTTATTACGAGCTGAGGTGGAAAATACAGAGATAGTATTAGTATTTATTTGCAAAAAAAAAAGCACAAGTGGTCTGGCAAATTAGATAAAAGAATGTTATCAACAAAATGAACTGACCTTTATAGTAAGAAGCACTGGTTGACAGTTTGCAGATATAGCATGTGGAGTAAATTGTGTGTCTCTGTTTCTTAGATATTCTGGTTTTAGTAAATAGCCAGAACCACCATTATCCAAAAATTTCCCAGTTTGAAGATCCATTTGCAGTCCTGCTGTTTGGAAATTTAAGGCCACTGTATGAAAAAGCAGAATGTTCAATTACAGAAAGGTAGGCAGCAGGAGGCTACAATTTAAATATATATATTTACAATATCCACCCTGCAAGCTGCTTGAATATACACACCACAGTAACTCCAGCTCTGGATTCAAAGCACTTGAGTAGATACAGCTATTATGGTGTCTTCTTAGAAGGTTTTCCATTTTTAAAATAAGAATATTATGGACAAACTAACCAATCTCAGACTGAGTAGAGCAAATCAGTAGGACATTAAGAGGATCAGGCTGGAATTAGCTGATCAGGCTGCCTTAGTTGACGGCACTTTGAAAGAGGGATCATAGCTCATGGTTATGTAAATTCATCCAATGCTTTTTGTTTTGCAAACCCAGGTATATTGCAAGGCTGTGAGTGAAATTTTACTGCGGTGCAGTAACAAGGCTACAGCTTTTATTGGCAGCAGTGCCTTAGCAGTTTGGCTTCACATATGGCAAGGATCAATTCATCACCTAGCTCATCTATGATGTGAAAGCCCCACCCTTAGTCCATGTGCTGGGTAGTTACTACACATTTTGCTGCTGCTTCTTTTTTTTCTTTTTCTTTTTTTACAAAATTGCTTTTATTTGTTAGCTTCTTTTTTAAAAATGCTTTGTAGTTTTACTGCCTCCAGAGGTCCTCCCCTCCCCCAAATGTATAAAATGGAAGGCTGCTCTGATTTGTTTGTTCAAACACTCATTTTTGCCTTCATAAACCAGTATGTGCAAACTCCATCTATAATAATTTTTCTGCTTATTGCGGGCAGCAGTGCTCCAAAAATATGACCAATCTTTCAAAATTATGGAAGAGTGGCAGCCATACCTCTCTGGAATTCCCAGTTATTAAAATTCTCTGCATGTCTCTAGTGTATGGAATTGCAACAGATGAACAAGAGCGATGTCGGCTGCAATCCTAAACACATTTACTAAGGAGTAAGCTTTGTTTGTTTGTTTTAGAGGATTTGAAATATTCAAGGCAAACCCTCCCAAGGCAGGTTACAAAGATAATTAGCTTCATATGCATAGCAGGAACATGATGCTTCCAAATAATTTATAGAACAGCCAACTTGCAATTATTCCAGCCCAGGTACTCAATGACAATCTTTTTACCCATCCACTCATAATCTCTCCTGTCCTGCCTATCCACAGAAGTTGCTTCCAGCTATCAGGCATTGCCCCACACTGGTTCCACTTCTCTAGTAAGGGTGGTCCAGTGCCTCAGTTTGTGGAAGTTTTGTTCTAACGATGAATAGATTTGGGGATTTGGGTGGGTATGGCTGGACCACCTTTCTGTTTTCCAAAACCTTTGATGTCTACGTAACAGTAGCGATGGGGAGGAAATTAGATTCAGTTCGCATGTACAGTGGTACCTCAGGTTACATACGCTTCACGTTACAGACTCCGCTAACCCAGAAATAGTGCTTCAAGTTAAGAACTTTGCTTCAGGATGAGAACAGAAATTGTGCTCCGGCGGCATGGCAGCAGCAGGAGGCCCCATTAGCTAAAGTGGTGCTTCAGGTTAAGAACAGTTTCAGGTTAAGAACGGACCTCCAGAACAAATTAAGTACTTAACCCGAGGTACCACTGTAAAGGCAAATGTACCTAATCAACACTTTCTGAAACAATATGCAAACTGAAACACAGCCGTCCATTGAAATTTCCCTGAATTTTGCAATGTATTATTATTATTTTATTATTATTTATTTGATTTCTATACCACCCTATACCCGAAGGTCTCAGGGCAGTTCACATAAAATATCAAATACATAAAATCAAAACAAAACCAACAACCCAAGCAAACCCCCCCCCCCAAAAAAGAGGCAGCATTTTTTAAAAAGGATGCAGATCAAGTCAGGCAAAGGCCTAGTTGAAAAGGAACATTTTTGCCTGGCTCCTAAAGGTGTATAGTGAAGGCAGCAGGTGAACTTCCCTGGGGAGAGCATTCCACAGATGGGGAGCCACTGCAGAGAAGGCCCGTTCTCATGCTGCCCTCCTGACCTCTCACGGAGGAGGCACACGAAGAAGGGCCTCAGAAGATGATCTCAGGGTCCAGGTAGGTTCATATGGGAAGAGACAGTCCTTGAGGTATTGTGGTCCTGAGCCATTTAAGGCTTTATAGGTCAAAACCAGCATTTTGAATTGGGCCCGTATTGAATGTAGTTTTCTAGCCAATGGTGTGTAAAAAAATGCATACTATACTAAGAGAAAGGGTCCATAAACTGCACACACACATTCACCTATACACACATGCACTAGGGGCTGTGCCCCTGCTTATCTTACTGGCAAATCCAGCCTACCCCACTCCTCTTAAACCTTGCCAATCTCTCAATCCCCTAACCTTACAACATGACAACGCCCCCTTCCTCTAACGGATCACCAACCCCACCCCTATGACACCTCTCTCCTTAAATTGTGGTAGCAGCAAGTGTTGCTCTGCCACAATCCCAACAGCACAGGTAACACTTGGCATTAGCTGTGTGGCCACAGGCTAAGGGCCCATTGGCATCACTAATACGTCGCCAGCCTCAGATGCTCTGATGTGGAAGAGGACCTTGCAAACATTGGCCTCAAACAGCTGACTGCTTTATGGCTTCGTGGAAAATGTACTGATCCAACATGCTGAGACACATTTTTTCACAGGGTGCAGTTCCTTAGTCTGGAGGTAAATTTCATTTTTTTAAAAAAAAAAACACCTCATACTTCAATTAAAACAGTAAAAAAGTAAGTTTTGAAAAATCCATTTACCTAGGTGCATGTACATAAAAATAAATATATTCCATGTGCTATATAGCAGGACTTTACGAATTTGTACTTTTCAATCAAACTGAAGGGTTAGTTTGGTACCTGCACACCAATGAATTCTGCAGCTTCCAATTTTCTGTATGGATTTTAGAGTTCCATTCAGAGTGGAGATCCCACAGAAATGGAACCACAGTCCATAGCAGAGAATGGCCATAGCTCACTGGTAGAGCATCTTGCTTGCATGCAGAAGGTCCCAAGCTCAATCAAAGAGGGCTGGGAAACAACCCAGACTGAAACCCTAGGTAAAAAGGTAAAGGGCCGACTCAATCTCGCTTTATTGGCCGAGGGAGCTGGCGTACAGCTTCCGGGTCATGTGGCCAGCATGACTAAGCCACTTCTGGCGAACCAGAGCAGCACACAGAAATGCTGTTTACCTTCCCGCCAGAGCGGTACCTATTTATCTACTTGCACTTCGTGCTTTCAAACTGCTAGGTTGGCAGGAGCAGGGACCAAGCAACGGGAGCTCACCCCGTCGCGGGGATTCGAACTGCCGACCTTCTGATCGGCAAGTCCTAGGCTCTGTGGTTTAGCCCACAGCACTACCTGCGTCCCAAAACCCTAGGTAGTCACAGCTATTAAGTGTAGACTAGAGGTGGGGAACACGTGGCCCCCCAGATTTTGCAGGACTACAATCCCATCCTCCATGGCCATTGACAATGCTAGCTGGGAAGGATGGGAGTTGACAATTCTGAGCTAGATGGAGCAATGGTCTCTGCATAGGATGTTCTGTGAGGTCTAGTCATGCCAAAACACCGGGGGAAAGCCTACCTGGAACTCTTGAGTGCCTTTCAGATGTAATTCCCTTGTGCTATGAGGTTTGAAGGAGCTGTAAGAAAACCACGAGCTGCAGAGAAAAGACTGCATTCTCTCAGATGCTTCTAGCATGTTTATTCAACCACACAGGGACAAATCTGGTAGCAGGGTTGGTGGAACCCTTACCGTGCAAGCTGAGAAAGTGCTCAGGTGCTTCTATGTCATTGTATGCACCAATGCAGAGCTTTTTTCAGCCTGAACTCACTTGAACTCAGTTCCAGCACCTCTCAGGTGGGTGCCATTGCCATTCTAAGAGAACGAGGGAGGTGTTCATAGTAAGTCCTGGCACCTCTTTTTCTAGAAAACTCGCGCTGCACCAATGCCATAATAAACATGAAAGTGCCTGTTTATAATTAATTTGGACAGCCTTGGTTTCTGAATTAACTATTCTGCAGAACCCCTAATAAATTTAAATTATGGATTAATTACAAAGCAGAGCTGACAGATCCCACTCACCCTTCAGCGGCTGTTCAGTGTCGAATGAAAGAGAGAGAGAAACAAGATCTGCTCTTCTAATTTAATGATAAGTAGTAAAACCTAATTCTAGTAAAAACAACAACACCTGTACTGAAAATATGCTTGACAATCTATGTAAGTTATGTGAAAATGCACCATTCTGTAGTCTAAACATTTTGAATTGCTACACAAGCCCTCCTTGCAGTTTAATCATAAAGCACTGGTCTTTATCTTGAACACAAAACTGTCAGAATTTCCTTTTCTCAGTAGCTCAAAACACTTTCCGTTGTTTTGCTGCTGCAGTTTTGGAAATAAAACAGCACACTGCCTGGAACAGGATATTATAATTCATAGTAAAAAGACAGCACAGTTATCACTGGCATGAAGTAAAATCTTCCCTTGTCTAGGACTGTGGTGCTCCTCATATTGAAAATTCACTAGTCAGCCTAGTAAAGCACAAACATGACACACATAAAATAGATAAATGATTTTGGGTTTTTAAAAAATCAAAGGAACTTGATTGTTTGCCAGAGAGAAATACCGACCCAAAGAGGCACAAGTCATGTTTAAGAGTAATTCAGAAGAGGCTTATTCTCTCTTCCTATGAGATAAATGTAGAACTACTGACTGCATGCTGTCAGCTTCACATTTTATATCTGAGGAAGAAATGTCTGAATTTTAGAGTCCTTGCTTTGTTATGCTGTGTGGGGGGTGTGCGTGTGCATCCTTCTTGGTGTCACTGTTTTGAGTTCTGGATTCTGAACTGGCATCCTTACAGGCTGATCTATAACTGATATTTCTGGACTCACTGGAAATTCAGAATTCCCAAAATAATATGCAAACAAAAATGCAGCTATTTTTCAAAATTTGCACTTCTACAAAATTTGCTACCCTGTGTGAAAGTGTGCATTGTAAATGCATATATTTGTGAAAACAGCATTATTTAGAACTTTAGAAAGATAGGAAACTGAGAGAAATCAAAAAGAGGTGTAGATAAGCCCCTGGTCAGTTTGTGCTGATCTACTGCATTTCCAAATATGTGTACTAACAGTGGTGCTGTCAAGGCAGGTCTTTGAGGCAGATATCCAGGGGCCCTACTCAGCAGAATAAGCAGTAGCAGCCCCAAGTGCAGCAGGGCAGGCTAACTACATACTGAAGTAAATGAAGTAATACACATCAGCATTTAACGAAGGCACTTAAAATGCCCAATTTCATCGCTGCATATTAATGATCAAATCAGGAGTGCAGGAAGAACTCAGTCCATCTAGATCAGGATTGTCCACACCAGGTGTGGGAAATCTTTGGCCCTCCAAATGTTTCTAAGCTGTGCTTCCTATCAGCACAAGCAAGTATGGCCAGCTGTGGTTCAGCAACATCTGGAGGGCCAAAGGTCTCCCCCCCCCCACAAACCTAGCCTGCCCTGAGTGGCAGAGGCTCTCCAGGGTTCAACATGGGAACATTCCCAGTACTGCATGGAGATGCTGGGGTTTGAATCAGGGGCCTTCTGGGTGCAAATCAGAGGTTTCTGCTACTGAGCTATGGCCCTTCCCTAAACACGCAAGGAATTTAGCCCCATTGAACAGAGTGGGACTCACTTTCAAGTAAACCTGCATAGGGAATGTATTGTCATCATTAACTTTCAACGTAACTGTTATGGGTAAAAATGATGGTGGGTGCGGGGAGGGAAGATCTCAGATGAGGCATATGGAAGGGCATATGCTTTGTGAGATTTGGCAGAAATTATGCAAGCAGCCGCAGTGTCAAGAAAAGTTTGGACTAATTACATTTTATAGCTATAAAGTCATTTTCATCTGCAAAGTTAAAGGTCTCGGTTACTTTAATGTTTTTAATTACATTCATTTTCCCCGTTTAACTGCAAATGTTGGTGCCTCCGCTGCAAAAGCATTTTAAAAGTTATTATAAATCATTCATTGCAATTTCCCAATTACACCTGAAAACGCATTTCCACCAGGATCCTTTGTATATGGGGGTAGGAGAGGAATATCTGTGGGGTGGGGGGGACTGCTCATTAAAAGAAATCTAAGCTGGGGTTTTACTGAAATGGGCAAATCAATCTGATATTCACACTTTGGCCTAAAAGAACTTCCTGAAAGAGACGGGGGAGATGTTTTTAATATCATCTAAAATGCATTGTGTTTTTGACAGCACACTGCCTTTAGTCAGCTTCATTATTCCCTGTTGCCAAAGTAGGCCTTTAATACATTAATTAAGGAAATATGATAGCAAAACCCTTAAGATTGTCAGGAAGACTCAAGGGGAAGTTTAATACCTGAAATCATTTTGGCTCCTTATTAATTACCTAGACTGGATTTCAAGATCACTGTGTCCTCTAAAAAGTCTGTAGCATACACACACACACAGAGAGAGAGAGAGAGAGAGAGCGCGCGCGCGAGGGGGGGAGTATTTGATCCCCTGCCAAATTTGCCTGTTTGCTCTCTGATGAAGAAATGACCAGTCCATAATTTTAATGGTAGGTTTACTATAGCTGTGAGAGACAGAATAACAGGAAAACCCCCAGAAACCCAGAAGACAAAAGTCAGAGATAGATGTGCATTATAATGAGTGAAATAAGTATTTGATCCCTTTGCAAAAGATGACTTAGTACTTGGTGGCAAAACCCTTGTTGGCAATTACAGAGGTCAGAGGTTTCTTGTAGGTGGCCACCAGGTTTGCACACATCTCAGGAGGTATTTTGTCCCAGTCCTCTTTGCAGATCCTCTCCAAGTCAGTAAGATTTTGAGGCTGCTGTGTAGCTACTCGAACCTTCAGCTCCCTCCACAGATTTTCGATGGGATTAAGGTCTGGAGACTGGCAAGGCCACTCCAGGATCTTAATGTGCTTCTTCTTGAGCCACTTGTTTGTTGCCTTGGCCGTGTGTTTTGAGTCATTGTCATGCTGGAATACCTATCCTCAACCCATTTTCAATGCCCTGGCTGAGGGAAGGAGGTGCTCACCCAAGATTTGATGATACATGGTCCCGTTCAATGTCACTTCAATGCGGTCCTGTCTCCTTAGCAGAAAAACACCTCCAAAGCATAATATGTCCCCCTCCATGTTTGATGGTGGGGATGGTGTTCTTGGGGTCGTAGGCAGCATTCCTCCTCCTCCAATCACAGCAAGCTGAGTTGATGCCAAAAGCTCAATTTTGGTCTCATCTGACCACAACACTTTCACCCACTTCTCCTCTGGGTCATTCAGATGTGCATTGGCAAACTGCAGACAGGCCTGTACATGTGCTGTCTTGTGGGCTCTGCAAAATCTCAGTCCTTCACGGCATAGTGTGTTACCAACTGTTTTCATGGTGACTATGGTCCCAGCTGCCCTGAGATCATTGACAAGTTCCTCCCGTGTACTTCTGGGCTGTTTCATCACTGTTCTCATGATCATTGCAACTCCATGAGATGAGATCTTGCATGGAGCCCCAGACCAAGGGAGGTTGACAGTTATTTTGTGTTTCTTGCATTTGCGAATTATTGCACCAACTGTTGTCACCTTCTCACCAAGCTGCTTGGCAATAGTCTTTAGCCCAGTCCAGCCTTGTGCAGGTCTACAATTTTGTCCCTGACATCCTTAGACAGCTAAGGTCTTGGTCATGGTGGCTAGTTTGGAATCTGCTAGATTGATTGCTTCTGTAGACAGGTGTCTTTTGTACAGGTACTGTAACGAGCTGAGATTAAAGGGGAACCTTCAGCCTTCCAGATATTATGGACATAGGAAGCTGTCTTATACAGAGTCGGACCACTGGTCCATCTGGTTCAGTATTGACTATGCTGACCACTATCAGCTCTCCATGGTTTCAAGCAGGGGATAATCCCAACTCTACCGGAAGATGCTGGGATTGAACGTGAGACCTTCTGCATGCAAAGCAGATGCTATACCACTGAGCCACAGCCCTTCCTGTTGCTGAACTACAAGTGCCCTCAATCCCAGGCAGAATGGAAGGAAGTTGGCCAGCAACATCTAGAGAGTCAAAGGTTCCCCACACCTGCTCTAACAGGAGACAGTGGACCAGGTTCTCTTCTGCAGTTTTACTAAGCAACTGCAAACATGATTGTGGATGCAATAAAATTCCAAGGCTGGGGACAATTTTGGCAACTAGTCCAACTCTAGCTCCAGCTCCACAGAGCTGGGGTCTTGGATTTATTTGGAAAACATTCTGAGAGCTTCTATTTCACACATTCTATCCAAGAAGACCCCAGGACTAGTCTGGGGCATCTACATTCTCATGAGCTCAGCACCTAGACTTCTAATATTTTTAATGGGTAAGTATATAGGTAGTAATGATCAAGGGCAGGTAGAGTCTCATGCTCTCATTTTGAAATGTTGCCTCCTGGCTGTGGGGTGTGAATGTTCAGACTGACTCCTTTAACAGTTAAATAAACAGAATATGTACGCCAAATGTTACACATATGCTGCAAAAGATAATATCTAAGCTCACAATGCAGGCAGCGCCCGATTTGCATGGGTCATGCCTAAAACATTCATGCCATATATCGCTCATGCTTAAAATGGTCGCTGAATGTAACTCCAATGTAACACTTTTACTCCAATGTTATTTTAAAAAACAGAAACACAACAAAGTAGACATTATATTATTTTAAGACTTCATTCGAAAAAGAACCAAACCGGAACCACAATGAAAATGGCTCTGTTTTCTCAGGCTTTGTTTTGGGGGGAAAGCAGCAGCAAAAAACATCATATACAAAATAAAGAAACACTTTAATCCATTCACATGCATAGTTTCAAGATTTAGTCTTGGAAAGAAAGGGTCGTGAACTTTTTGCTTTCCCAGACTCATATTCCTTGGGAATCTTCAGATTTAGTTATCATTCCCACCCCTGCACAGGGAGTAAACACGTGCTTATAGAAACTGTGAAGCATGAGTTGGTCATTTAAAAACAATAATACTGATTCATGATTCTCTTTGCTTAAAAGGAAACCCAGACGGCAGAGGTAGGACCTGGTGTACTGGACATCCTTCTAAATGTCCTGCTGAATTTCACAAGGCATATTTCAAGCTGACTTTATACCTACAGTAGTATAACTTTTCTGAGTCAGGGCCAAATAAGACATGACTCTCACGATTAGGATCTCATGTTGGGTTGTTGTTGTTGTTGTTGTTAAGTAGCCACAGTGAAGTTGTAGGGGTTTTGGACTGTGGGAGGGTAGGTCAAAATTGCCCCTCCCGGAGCCGCCATTTGCTTCAAAGGGGCAACTTATAGGTATAATGTGGGTATCTTTAAGTTTCTCCATCAGGCCAATAATAACTTGGAGGGAGAGAAAAAGGTGCAGAAGAAAAGGGTTAACCCCACTCCCTTCAATATTGCAGTCCCAATCTGATCTAACTCACCCCATATCTGCCATTAAAAAAGAAAAAAGAAATTTTGTGGGAGATCTCTCACGACACATCTAGTTATGCCCTCAAACCCACAGCTAAAATGAAGGTTTTCCCTCCTCTTAGGGTTTCTTTCCTCTAAAAATGGCTGTAATTCTGCAAACACTGGAGGTTTCCCCATCCTCCCTCTTGTGTACATGTGCTGTCTTAGAACTCACAGCCTGAACACTGGAAATAGGTAATATTAGGGAGATCTTGTGACTATAATAGTTCCATGTGAAAGTCTGATCTTCCATGTCTGGCAATAGCTTATGGACTGGACTGTTAACTGTTCATCTATGAACAGTTGGGATGCATTGCGCTGTTACATAGAACATTAATATCTCTAACTTGATTTTGATAACATGATAAATACTTCAAAAATATTTGTTGGCATTAAATGACTATTTAGCATTGCTACAGTTACACTACGGATGCAACTATATACATACACACACACACGCCTGTGAGTAAATCCCATGGAACTCAGTGGGCTTACTTCTAGTAGACATACACAGGATTGTACTGCATTTGTGTGAAAAGTTCCCATTTCATTAATGCTAAGGCAATACCTCAAAAAGCATTTTGAATTCTACAACCTCTTTTTTTTTGTTATTTCTTACTATGTCAAATAAATGCAATGCAGATAATAACACTTTATTTAAATGATCACCGTGCATTTTCCTCTAGTGCATGTATCACTGCTTTTCATTTTACTTCATAAATAAAAGAAAATAATTGTATAGCTGTACTAACCCAGTTGTTTCCAACCTACACTGCAGTTGCGTGTGGGAGGCATACTAATTTTTGCTGAGTGTAAGGTTCTATTGTATATGTTTTGCTACATTAGAAGGCTTGTCTTTCAGGAGCTTTGCTATTCCCAAAACTGTGATTTGATTCTACAATTTACCCATGCCAATTTCCTCACTGCACGCCATGTTCCTGTTTTAACATTTACGGATGCGATAGCTAAATACTGCGTGTGAGATATCTGTCTGTGATCTGTCTCAATATCAGCAAATCTTCAGTTACAACAAATGTTAGCTACAACAAAGGAGGGGCGTAGATTTAGACAGACAGCTCAATACACGACTCACTCTTAGCTCTATACTGCAAAGCATGCAGCAAGACAGGAGCGGCTATAATTGGCGGAGAACCAGGTGGGACCTGGAGTCAGGATAGTAGGTAAGAGAGGCAACAGCAGAAACAGGTTCTCTCACCTACTCCATGGAGAGCAAGCAAAGAAGAGCAAACGTCTACATGGGGAAAGCCAAAACACTTGCACTCTTTTACTGGAACTCAGGTGTCTCCATTGATCTGACTGTAGCAGCAAGAGGCTGGGGATGTCTGGGCAATGCTTCTGAAGCTAGATACATAGACTAGTCCAGTCACTTCATCAGCAGTCCACAGAAATAACTCCACTGATTTGAATGGGAATTAAGCACCCTTTCTTTGTGTTGTATCCAAGTTGTGCAAGAACAAAAGGTTGAAAAGGAATCCATGCTGACAATCTTTCACAGGAGTGAAAAATTCTTGTAATGAAATGTCAAGCCTTGCGCCATACATAAGCAAGAAGACATGTTCTGAACGACAATAACAATGACGACAACTTGAAATCACCTACCTATCTGACACCCAACGTTCCAGAATTCTTGAGGGTTATAATTGGAAGAGTTGGCCCGGGTTCCTTTTGGGTATATTCTTGTAAGAAATCTGACGGTGTGCTGAACAAATTCATTAGCTACAAGACATTTTTAAATTCATGTTATTGGTACACAACAGCCCAACCGATTGAAAGCAATGGTTTTTTTATTTTAAAAAACTGTTTGAGTACACATGCACATTTAAAATATTCTGATGTGTATTGATGTGACCATTCATTTTGTCATAATCTGTTCCTTTACCTTAATTGTTAATGCCCTGGAAGGATGGGGGAGTACAAAGTTATCAAAAATCCATATATTTATTAGCTATACTTATATTAGCTATAAAAACATTCTTTATATAAATCAAATGGTGTGATCACTAAAAGTGAAGAAATTGGATGGATATTAGTCCCATATTTTATTTATCAGGGTCTTTAGGCACCAGGCAAAAACTTTCCCCTATAACCAGGCCTTTGGCCTTGAACTATCTGTCTGTCTTTTAGAAATGGGTGGAATGTTTTTAATGTATTTCTTTTTCTTCTTGATTTTGATGCATCTATGGGGTGGGTTTTGTTTGTTTGTTTGTTTGTTTGTTTGTCACTCTTGGTTGCCCTGGGCAAGATAGAGCAAAGAACACATTCAATATGTAATAATAATTATGATAATACTGTGGCCCAATTATTTGTTATTCACTTATTTAACAATGTTCTTAAACTAGCAGCCATTTTGAAGAAAAAAGGCAGCCATGAAGCCCCAATCTGGAACATCTTCCCGATGCAGATTAGGGGCTCACACCCATTTCCTGCTGACCCTCCCTCTCTATACCTGCTACTTGCCCCTGAAACGGCTGTTTACTGCAAAAGGAATGCAAAAGGAACTTAGCAGCAAATAGGGAATGAGTGTGAGGCCCTGATCCAGATGAGGAGCAAGCTCTGAATAGTGAGCTCACAGCTGCTGACCCCCCACCCCAAGTAAAATTCAAGCACCCATTGCCCCCAAAATGCATCAATAAAATAACATGCAGTTTGGTCTGTACCTGATATATTTCTGTTTCTGGGGACTTTACGTCCAACACAGTAGAAACAGCTCTTATGAATCAAGAGACAGTCACAGGCTCAAAACCATTATTTCATCCTTACTGCATCCTGCTTAGGCACAAATCACTTCCCACCCCCTTTTTCTGGTGTGGTGTTACATTTGATCATTCCTAGTCCTGACTGAAATGTACCTGGTTCAATCTGGTCATGAACTTACCTTGGAAACCCTGATGAAAACAGTACTCTCTGTATAAATCGAGAAGCGTATTCAGGCTTATTTTAATCAGGGTTAGCAAGGGACAAATTATGCCAAACCAGTTTAGAGAGTGAGTGGGAGTTTTTGTTCATTTGTTTGGGGTTTTTTTGTCCCACCACTTCCCCCAGGAAAACCCGCTGTTTACCACTCAGTCTGAACAAATGTCAATCCACGGAAAACCCAACTGACGTATTTTCTGCAGAGAGAGGCAGAAGGGAAGATACACTCCGCATTCCAGGCCAGGCTCAACTCTGCCTGGACTGGATCCAAGCAACACTGGACAGCGGAACAAAATTGCAGTCACTTATCCGAGATTTTTTTTATTATTCTTTTAAACAAAAACAAAGAAAACCCTGCAAGCTTCCACTTACTGATATTTTTCTCTTTTCGTATATTTTTGGCTTGGATGAAATGTAGCTAACAGCCAATCAACACAAACCTTTAGCCACTCAACTCATGCAGAGCGCTGAATCAACGCTCCAAACATCTCACTGCCTGCCAGCTGGTGACAAGCTGCCTCATAAAGTTTATTGACAGTTCAGAAGGCTTAAGCAAGAGAAAACAGCAACATTACCTGCGAGTTTTGCCAGCTTTCGGGCTTTCAGCTCACCAATTGAATTGTTTTCATAAAAAAACTGCTTTTCTCTGGAGTCTTCGAAGCTTACAAACTTCCGAGATTTGGTATAAATCACAAGTTCTGACAGGGCCAAGGCAATCTTTATTTTCTTCATCTATAAATAATATGGGAGATGACTGAAGGTTTGTTAATATTTTTTTTAAAGATACTATCTCAGTTTCAACTGAGATGTCAATTTCTGTTGAAAGCACACCAGGAAAGGGGTTCTATTCAATGTCAATCACACTCTGAGTTAAACTCATTAAAATTAAATAACGAAACAAAACTAGGTCCATTAATTTCAATAGGTCTACTCTGAGTAGAATTCAGTTGGCTGCAACTCATAGTCAAATCACTATTCATATATGTTTTCTACCTTCATTGCTCAATGCAGCATACATGGATTCCCTTCTCTTTATCTTCACAGCAACCCTAAGAAGTAGTCTAGACTGAAAGATAGTGACTTAGCCTAGCCAACTTCATGAGTAGGGATATAAACATGTTTTCCCAATCCCATTCTGAAGCTGCATGCACACCACAGGTGCCAACTCCCTGGGGCCTTGGGTGCCCGAGCACCCACAAAATTCCTCATGAAGGGGCCGGGCACCCATGAATTTCGGTACCAGGACCATGCACACTGCATGGCACCCACAGCCACAGGCACCCACAGTCACAACCATGTTGGCATTCCTGATACACACTATACATTTTGAAGCACATTTCCCCTCGACAAGAATCCTAGGGACTATCGTCTGCTAAGGGTGCTGAGTACTGCAGTTCTGCTAGAGGTAAACTACTATTCTCAGGATTTTTAGGGGTGGGGGGGATGTTCTTTAAATATATGGTGTCTAACTACTATACCGCACCGAAGATCTGTAAAACAAGATTTGCATCCTTTCTGTGTAACACTTAATGGTTAAACTATACAATATGGAAAATACTGATTAAGGCTGCAGACAGTTGTTTGCAGGAAGTGCAGGTAGTTGGCACCTGTCGTATCTTGACAGGGGATACTGTTTCACAAAACAGGGGCAACCACACTGAAAGCCCTGCTCCGAGTTACTGTAGAGCAGGCATCCTCTAGCTTCAGACTTAAGGAGAAGCTCCCCTGCAGAACACACTGACCTACTGGAAATAGAAGGGAGAAGGCAGTCTCTCAAGCAACCTGGCCGTGTGCTGCAAAGACCTTATACATTTGCACCAGAGCTTTGAACTTGGCTCAGTAGCAAACTGGCAGCCAGAGCAAATCCAACAAGAAGGTGTTTTGTGATGGTGTTACACTAGCTGCAGCCTCGGGACCAAAGGGCAACCCTACACAGAGCACACGGCAGTAAATCTTAGAGCAGTGAAAAAGATGTCAGAAAGAGGAGGGCTGGTGTGTTTGCTTTCTGGTAGGTTTTAAACCCAGGATCTAACTAGACATGACTTCAGGTCATACCTTTTGTTTTTTCCGAGGTGGAGCTGAGCCTTTCCAGCGTGCCCTTCTCTTTTTCAGCAGCGGTTGCTTGGGGTGCGAAGGGTTGTCGTCCAGCTCCTCATCACTTGTTTCTTCCTCTTCAAATTCCCCTGTCTGACCATGGCTATCCGTGCCCTTCCTTGCAAGCGTTTCTTCAAGTGTCCCAATTTTCTTATTTTTAATCATTATTTTGAATTTCAGTGACTGTGATAAGAAAGGAATAAGTATTAAGAATCATAAATAACACATGAAGGAAGAAGAAAAAGTGATAAAAATGGAAGACAGTGATTCAGAATGTGTGGGCCTCCAGGAAATGTTGCTCCAAGTCCCATCAGTCCCAGCCAATGGTCAGGGCAATGGGAGACAACATCCAAGAACCTCTGGAGACTCATGGGTTCCTATTTTGCCATTAGCCCAAAGCTGTGCCTAACACATGACTAGCTGTTCACTGGCACTACTTGCTGTGCTATTGATGTGTTTGCTTTATTTGTTGCTTTTCCTCACATGTTAAACTCAGAGGTTGCCTGAGTTTGAGCCAGGTGATACCAAGCAAGCATTATCATCTTGATCAAATGAATCCTGATGGTATTTTTCACATTTCTAGTGAAAATTTGGCTTGAATGAGGTATGAAATAGGAAGAAAAGACACACAGACAAAAGAGCACATTTCGAGTTTCCATAGCACAGGAGAAAAGAAAGGGCAGGTACTCTGATTTTACAATAACTGGAATTCCAGCCCCCTCCGAAGTCCTCATACCTCCTGAATCAATTTACAGCAAATCTTTTGAGTTCTGCAGTGCATTTAAAGTTATTTATATCCCTTTCCACCTGAAATCAAGAAACGTGAACAGTACTTGCAAGATGGCATTATTTCCCAAGAGTTCTGCTTTATATCTGTAATTCTCTGCTGATCCATTTGTTCCTTTTTTGCAATTAAGAACAGTACTGCTGAGCATCTGTATGATTAAATTCTCCTCATAAAAAGTATTACACTGTACTCCCGTGTAGGTTTTAATGGTGCACCGTAGCTGAAAGAGATGGCTTTAACCCATTTCTTCTCCTTTTTTAAAAAATAAATAAATAATAAAACCCATCCAATTGCCAAAGTTGCATGTTTAAACTCTTGTGCTGATCAGGTTGCTGTAAACATGCAATGGCAGCCTGAGCACCACATTTCCTTGTGGACAACCTTTGGGGGGGGGACATGCTCACCGTGGTGGGTGGGGTCAAAGGCAAAAGTGTGGAGCAACAGGTGTGACTCTCACTTTTCTAGAATAGCCTATGTTCCAGCCATGCAAAATTCAGAGCTGTCAGCCCACACACCTCCCCACACTCATCTGTTCATCTAGGCAAGCAAATAGCATTACAGGTAACTCCCCATTTATGCGGCGGTTGCATTCCAAGGCACCATGTGCGACAGTGAGACGCCCGTCAAGTCTGCCCTCCCACTGTTCCACCCTCTTTTGGTGCAAAAAAAGGCACGTGGTCATGCGCATCCTGGATGGGGAGTTGCCTCTATTACAGTCCAAGGACACATTCCAGCAAAAAGCAGTTGAAGAGGGCACAGAGTGGGGAAGTGAGGGATGTGGCCCAATGAGAACCCTAGGGGCCAAAGAGAGAGGTCTGGAGGACAACAGCATTCAGCACCTGGGCCTGCGGTTGCTCACTCCTGGTTTAAAATTAGAACGTATTTGCTAACAGTGGACAAATCTCCAAATAAAAAACTGGGACTGTGCAAATAAAACTATTCAAATAGGTACCTTTCAAATTCACATGGGCTAGAATCCTTTTCGCACATTATTGCTACAGGAAACTCACCATTTGTGTGACTTCAGCACATGCGCGACCACCAAAGTGACCACCGTTTTCAGTGCCAGAAGGGGGCAGAATGGGGTGGGCTTTCGCGCACACTGCCAACATGTGGTTCATGGGCTGTCACTCGAATAAGGGGGATGTTGAGTGGATGCCACAAATAGTTTAGAGACACAAGGAGCTTCAAATCCACATTAAACTCTGGTGCAGACAAGCCCTTTAAACTACAAAGGCTGGGACAAAAGTGTCGATCTTTATCACTCAATTGTTGTGCTCCATCACAGCTTTTCCAAATGCCATCCCTTGAAGCTGCCATGGGGAAAAGTTGCTAGGATAGTGCATGAAGTCATTCTTTTGTCCTGATTCGTAGCTGTGGCGACACAAAGAACAGCTTGCAGCCAAGTAGCTTTCATGGCAAGCCATGCTTGTTAACCTCAAGTAAGTACAGTTGCCTATCTGGTGTTTTCATTCAAGAACTCCGGAATGGAGATGTAGGATGGAGAAAAAAACATTTGCAAACTCCCAGAATGAATATTTTAAAGTCTGCTTTGAAAAGCAAACGAGGGATATGAAGCTCAGATTGTGAGACTTTTAATGCATTCCACACAAGTACCTTTCTGGCATGTTGCAGGCTTTTGTTTTGGAATCGCATAACTAAAATCGCATAACAAATATAAGGTGTGTTATCATCCTTAGGGTAATAATAAATAATAAATCATGAATACATGCATTGGAAGGTTCAAGGGAATCTACAATGCATTGTATTTCCAATGTTTTGGTCTACACTTGAATTTTTTGACACGCATATTTTCTTCTTAATCTTGGAGGGGGGGAGCATACTGGTTGTTTTCTATTTGTACAATAACTCTATACCAAACAGACTGCATTCCAGGTGTAGTTAATTCTGCATATTTTAATGGGAGGAACATGATAAACTTCTTAGGAAATAACCATGCCAACTGCAGTGATTTCCTCCTTGTTATCTTTTATGAAAGAGCAACTCAGTTTTGTTACCTCAGGGGAAGGGAGCTCAGTTGGCATTATATCATCAATCGCAGATATAACCAACATGTCACCCAGGATATTTGTCAGATAATCTGCCATTACTTCCTGCTGTTTAGGGCTACAGTGATTCTCCAAAGACAGTATCAGAGGATAATCGGAGACCTGGAAGTACAATTCAATGAATACTGTAATTCCCAGTTACACAAATATGAAAATATAAAACAAGAGAAAAGAATACTATGAGAAGCATGCACTGTTATCTGCAATAAAGATACAAAACAATACTGCGACATCTTATACCCCAGCTGATTTGTCTAGGCAGAAGAAACCCCTCTCAAAGAAACGACAGTTCTCTTTTGTGCTACAGACCACACACAGGTGCTGTTCTGGGATTTGGGTATACATTTTACCTTACAAAACCAGGGGTGGTATTATAATGCGTGTGCATCAGTGATAGGTTAAACTTCGAAGAGCTACTTCAGGCATACCCAAGAACTTGGATATCTCCAAAGGGATTTTCTAGCTATTCCCCTTTACGCAAGGCCAATGTCATATTACAAACAGATTTGTGGGGGCTGGGAGGTGAGGTGAGGGGACACACTCCTTTTCTAAAAGCAGTTTGTCGTACGGCATGGGGAGATGCTCTTAAGAGAAGCAGACACCTTGGGAACTAGCAGCATGGTTCTCTGGACCCTGGCTACAGGCATTTTCCCTCACCACAAAAGATTCTGTCAAGCATTCTCAGGACTCTGTTAATGTGGCGATTTCTCATATGAACTAGGATCATCCCGGATACAGCTACTGATTTATGTGATGCTGGCAGCTTCAAGGCAAAGGGAACTGACCAACAGCAGCTATACCCGTGGGAAAGCCCAAGAGACATTCCATGTGTGTGAGCATTACGTGGAAACAAAACTGGCCATGAAACAGCCCTACAGCTACAAACCGCAGCTTGTAAAGGATTTGGATATAAGGTGAGTCATGTTCAGATTACTATCCTGAAGTTTCATTGTTGCTGCAGTGGAGGCTGGTCCATTAGGGTGAATGAGTCACTTCCCCACCAACCTCACTATGCTCTCAGAAAGTCCCCACCTGTCTGATTCTCATTTGCAATTAAACCAGCTTTGCCATAGCAGGATGGGGGCAAAACTTTGGCTCTGGTTCCACCTTCTGTTAGTCTCTTTACCTTCTGCCCTACCAATCGCAATGGGTACCAACCACCACTGTGTTGCTTTAGTTTATGGTGCCATCCAGATATAAACAAAGAGAAAAGAGTATGCTAAAATAAGTGTATACAAGATTTCCCTTAATAAATAAATGCCAGATATGTGCAAGAATTACTTTTTTTTTTTTTTTGGCTGCGTAGTCTCCTTCAAAACCAACTGAACCAGATTGCCTTTTGACTTAAAATGCTAAAGATTTAAGACTGACAGGTGAAAGCCTCTTTCATTTTTGTCCTTGGCACCAGATGGAAATAGTTTATCTGCCACATTTCATCTTATCCTTTGTTGAAGGGAAAATACTCCGGATTATCCCATTTTCTCTTCACGAGAATTCTGTGAAGTAAGCTCGGATGAGAAATAGAACTTGCCTGTGGCCACAAAGTAATCTTCCTGGCAGAGCAAGGCCATCTTCAAAAGATTGTGCAGGTATAAACCATGGAAAGAGTGCAGAACTATTCACTCCCACCAGCTGCACCTCCAAACTTCCCCAGATGACAATCCCATGGTTAGGTTCAGCCACTTCTGAGCTAGGGAGGACTTCCCGCCCACCCCACGTGCGCGGGGGCTGTTCCTAGCCCCCGCGAGATCAGGGGAATCCTCGGCCACGTCACCCTCTCAGCCAGCTAATCGGCTGGCTGGGGAGGGGGGCGTGGCTTGCCCTATTTAGGGTTGGCGCGGCCGAGGCTCCCCCTCTTTCCATCAGCGCCAGCCAGCTGATTCAGTTTCCCACCCTCCCTTCCCTTGGGTAGGTTCCCTGACTTGCTATGGACTTCGGTTGGTCGCCTCGGGGCCTGGTAGGAATTTTTCCCAATTGGTAATTGGCATATACAGCCAATTGGTTTTTCGCCTACCTCGTAGCAACTCGCCTTGGTATTGGCGGTTAGGCATTGGCAAGGGAGGGTTAAGTGTATGTGAGGGGGGAAGCGCCATCGCCTCTCCCCACAGAGAATGGTAGTCCGATAAAGGACTCCGAGAGGCATTGCCCTGTCCGAAGCCTGTGGAGGTGTGGGCCCAAGGCACGCCCCAAGCAGTGACTCCGGGGGAGTTCCTAGTTGACGTGCCTCAGCAGGACTCCCTCTACTGGTGGTTAACCCTTGCCGGTCTTCATGCAATCGGGCTGAAGCCAGCTAGTCGATAGGGCCAATGCCTAAGCCAATACCGCTCATTCCTGTAATCAATAAAGCCTATTTCGCCCATTAACCTTAATGCTTGGTGTCCTGTGTCTTTATTTCTTCGGGGGGGGGGGGGCGCGGGAACTCGCCACGCAACAATCCCATGGTTAGGTTCCCTCCTGGCCATATTATCCAGAGTTCAGACTGCCTTGCTTCTATATTGGTTGAAATTACAGCATATGCCAGATTCAAGGTTGCCCCAAAAAAACATTATTTGAAGCAAATTTCTAATAGGTCTGCGCAAAGCTGGGCCAGCCAATGTGAAAACCATATAATCAATTATAGACTGGTTGTTGATGGTGTGCAAGATTGCAACCCCTATATTTGCAAAGTATTGTAAATGAAGTTAAAGAGTGGGACCTTCTGTTAGCTACTGTAGATCTCATCTCCAAATATGTAATTCTCACCAATTTATTCAGGGAAATCCAATCATGGTCTTCCAGTTTATTTTATTTTTAATTACAGGTTGATGCATTGAGGAAGGTATGCACAGCTTTGAGATTTCAAACTATACCCACAACATATTTGGGTGGGAGCTACACCAGAATACATGCAAATTTAATGTCTGTGTACTGTGGCCAAGGAGAGTTGGTAATATTGTTCGTTATGTACTGTATTGCTCCCTGTTAAATTTTCCTAGGGTTAGGGTTTTTTTAAAGAATTCTCCAGAGTTTCCTTTTTTGAATAATAGGGAGAAAACCTGTCCTTTGTTGATGGATGAGAATAAATTCATGACATAATTAGGTTTCTACGTTTGCATTAGCAGCGCAGCTGATCAAGCAAAATTTCATTGTACAACACAGGGACCCATGTGCTGTTAAAGTGTACTACTTTGCTCTTTGTTTGTTTGTTTGTTTGTTTTGAATGACCAATAGTTTTTCACAAATACATTTGACTGACTGGCACTGTTTGTTGTGGGAGTGAATTTCATAGGTTAACTATGAGCAATGAGAGTTAAGAAGTACCTCATTCTGCCTGTACTGAGTCTTCCAGCATTCAGCTTCATAGGACATCCCTGAGTTTTAGTGTTTATTAGAGTGTGCCCTTTCTCTATCCACTTCTTGTCTCAGCATGTGGAAAATCCCTCTTCAGACCTTACTACGTAAAGTGGGAAAGTCAAGAGCGGGAAAGGTGGTGCAGATGATGGGGGCACATCTGGCCAAAAAACACACAACCCACCCCCCACACCTCCTGCACAGTTTATGTCCACACATGTTCAACAAATGCCAGGAGGCTACTGGCATACTAGCTTTTTGCCCTGTGGTGACCTCTGCACTGCATCCCTGCTTTCTAACTGTTGCAACTTGTTTCATCTTGTGGGGATGGTTAAGGAATGGGCCAAATTACCTTTAGGTGCTTTCCAACACTTAGAATTCTCTAATTCATTTTCATTCAGCTACCCACCCATAGCAAACATGGTCAAAACAGCAAAATCTGAAATGCACTATTTCTTAACATTATTAATTTTAAGACATTTCTACACCACCTTTCATTTGCCCAAAGCTAAATTCAAAAAGCAAATATCATTAGCATATTTACACTGCAACGCTATGGATGCCTATTCTGAAGGAATTCCCACTGAGCTCAGGGAGACTTCAATCATATGCAAAAGTGTGTTGCAGAGATGGGGAACCAGTAGCTCTCCAGATGTTGTTGGACTCTTGTCTCCCATTAGCCCTAGCCAGCGTGGCCCATGGTCAGGGATGATGGGAACTGGAATTCAACAACATCTAGTTCCCCAACTGTGGTAGATGCAATTATCAGCTTAATTTAAAAAGCAAAACAAAAAAACTAACAATAGTAAGAGAACAGAATAAAGATAAAATAAAACTCAGAAAACAATCAGAAGCAGCAATAAATAATTACCATCCATAAGCATAGCTGTCAACTTTTCCCTTTTCTTGCAAGGAATCCTATTTGGAATAAGGGAATTTCCCTTTAAAAAGGGGAAATGTTGACACCTATGTCCATAAGAAAGAGCTTGGACAAATATGAATCTTTTCACCTATAACTCTGCACAGTCAGTGCTGGGCAAACATTCTTGGGGAAAGTTCCATGAGTAGGACACCATCACATACACTATCTATGGCCAAAACTCTGAAAGCACCTTAGTCATTGTGTTCTGTTAACCGACCCCCAATTTGTCACACATGTACCTACCAAAAAGGCATACTTGCTGATCACCTGGATGACGGTCTTAAAGCTAATTTTGCTTGTTAATGTATGTCCATGATAAACAACAGGATCATTGTTTGGTCCATCCCAGCAGTCAATTTCTAAGCAGCGGCATCCTTTCATTAGAGCACTAGAAAGAAAGAAAGAAAGAAAGAAAGAAAGAAAGAGGGTTGCTGTGAGGATAATATGTAGAGTGGGAGATCCAGATACCTCATCCTGGGCTCCTTGGAGGAAAGGTGGAATATATGTAATAAATAAAGGAACAAATCTCTGCAAATGCAAAATAGCACCCCAGGTAGGTGATTTGGCTAGCACCCTTCTCTCTGACAAAGGGTGCTTCCATACAGTTGCTTACTGGGGGATGGGTGCTCCTCATGCATGCAATTTTTTCACAGAATTGATGTTTCACAGCATTGCTGGTATCTGCTTTGTCCTCCTCTGACTTTGGCTCCTCCTAAGAACCTTACACCGTGAATAAAGCTACCCCACAACTCCCACTCTCGCTCGGCATCTAGTGGAGAGTCCCAAAGGAACCATCACCTGAAGGATAGGACATGGATCCATTTGACTCACAGCAGCTTTTCAGAGAAAGCAGAGCTAGAGGGCAACCCTTAGGCTGCCCAACTATGAAAGCTCACAACTGGGGCCAGGCAATGATGGGAACTACATCCCTGGTTTGCTGCTCTGAGCATCTTTGCATCCAGTTAAGAACGAGGGAGAAATTTGATGCGCTTTGCATTTAAAGTCGAATCTACCAAATTCACATTCCAACCCTTGTGGTGCAGTTCTCCAATCAAATGGAAAGCAAAAATGCATATACCGGGGGAAAGTGTGTATCAGTGCGTATATTAGTGAATGCAACATACTAAAATGTGTTGTATAAGGGGAAATTGCCTGCAAAAAATGTTAATTAGGCAAAACTGCATTCAAAAATCTGTGTCTTAGGAGAGATATGCACTAAAATGCCGGTGATTTTTGATGAGGACTTTTTAAACACACACACAAACTGATGTGGAAATGTGTAGAATTGATATTAGGATTGGCAAAATGAGAAATCGAGAAACCAAAATTGACAGATTTACCCACCCCAACATCCATTTTCTGATATTCATTCCATAGAGAGCTGGCTGGGATCCTAATCTCCTACAACTAACCTGCCCTCCTGCCAATACCCACGTAGAGGCCTAGTTGGAAGAACATGTTATATATGTATGTATGTATGATCTGATTTCCATCATGCCTTTCTTCCTGAAAGAGCCCAGGGCATCAAGCACAGCAATGATTTTAAAAAACCCAAAAACTAAAGGCAATTTTAAAACATTCTTTAAAAATAAGTTTAAAAACATTCTCAACCAGCAGGAGCAGTGTCTTTTAGCCATCAAATGACCTGGGTAAACAGGAATGTTTTTATATTTCTCCTGAAAATCAATAATGAGGGAGACAGATGCACCTCACTAAGGGGGGCATTCCACAAATGGGGAACCACGACTGAATCACCATACAGTCTCAAAGAGCAGCCATTAACGTTATAGTCCCCAAAACCATCCCATTCCCACATAGTGAAACTTATCAAACTCAGTTAGATACCCAGTTTCATTGTACATTCACGGGGTGGGGTGGGGAGATGGGGGGGGATTTATTTTCCATTTGTGCTTCTGATTGGGCCATAACTGTCTCTTACATTTCAAAATAGGGTTTTGTAAGTAAGAGGCGGGAAAACATGAGACGCTGCTTCTCTGAACTACTTATTCTACTTGATAAACTACTATTTTAAAATGGGCACAAATACCTTGCATAACCCCACAGGTGACTTGGCCCTATTAGCTGGTCAGATATGAGGTAGGTGTTGTGCGAGGATGAAATAAAGTATTCACACAGTGGACGGGTCATATCCTGGTAAACAGTTTTGTGCTCAGATTTAAATACCATGCATTCCTCAGATGTCATGTATCTTAGAAATCCTTCAAATGTCATCTGTGAATTTTTCTTTGCTGAAAGCCAGAATATTACAGGGAAAATAATTACTGTACATCTCTACTATGATTCCTTACAGAATTAAGCAAAATTTCAAACCATTTCAGATTAAATATGTTAATGCAACATGGAGCATGTGGGTGTCAAATCACATATAGAGGCTTTTGCTCTTATTTCAGGGATGAAGAATCTGTGGCCCTCCAGATGTTGTTGAACTCCCAACTTGCACCATCCTAGACTATTAGACTTGCTGGCTGGGGCTGACAAAAAGTGGTCCAGCATATGAAGGGTCCACCCAAGTTATCTCAAAAGAATATTGGAGAGATATGATTTTCCTCATCGTTATCAGGGATAACCACTGTAATGTGTGATATATAGGGCTGCTTTTGAAGAGCACTTGGTAAATCCAATTGGTACACATTGCAGCAGCCAGTTTTAGGGTTGACTGAGAGAATGTAAAGGTAAAGGGACCCCTGACCAATAGGTCCAGCCGTGGCCGACTCTGGGGTTGCGGCACTCATCTCACTTTACTGGCCAAGGGAGCTGGTCATGTGGCCAGCATGCCTAAGCTACTTCTGGAGAACCAGAGCAGTGCATGGAAAGGCTGTTTACCTTCCTGCCGGAGTGGTACCTATTTATCTACTTGCACTTTGACGTGCTTTCAAACTGCTAGGTTGGCAGGAGCTGGGACTGAGCAACCCCATCGCAGGGATTCAAACCGCTGACCTTTTGATCAGCAAGTCCTAGGTTCTGTGGTTTAAGCCACAGCGCCACCCGCGTATGCCATTATTCCATGCATATACACTGCGTGCATGTGTAACAAATAAACACGGCGCATGATCTTTGCAATCAACCCCAGTTGCCAGTGTGGCTCTGTTAAAAGTGCAAAGGCATATACTGGAATACTGTGGAATACCACTGTGATTTCAAGGCATTTTAGGTGGGGCAAAACATGCCTGGAAACTCTCTGTGGCATCCTGAGGCTTTTAAGCACTTAATCCTATTTCTAGCTTGTTTTTCTATAAAATATAATACTCTAAAAGTTAGTTATACATCGAGATGGTACCATGCGGAAATTTTAATCTCTATACAAGTCTCAGCAGGATCCCACAGCAACATCTGTTGACTCACGTTAAGCTCATGGTCCCCTAGGATCCCAGGATCCTTTTCATATGTACTGCTAGTAAGCAGGCATCCTCTATCTTATATTTGACTCTCAGTGTGATGCAGCAGCAAAAAAACCCCACCAGTATTCCAAGTGTGGCCTGACCGAGGCAGAATAGAGTAGTACTATTACTTCCCTTAGGGACGTGGGTGGTGCTGTGGGTTAAACCACAGAGTCTAGGACTTGCTGATCAGAAGGTCGGCGGTTTGAATCCCCGTGATGGGGTGAGCTCCCATTGCTTGGTCCCTGCTCCTGCCAACCTAGCAGTTTGAAAGCACGTCAAAGTGCAAGTAGATAAATAGGTACCACTCTGGCGGGAAAGTAAACGGCGTTTCCATGTGCTGCTCTGGTTTGCCAGAAGCGTCTTAGTCATGCTGGCCACATGACTCGGAAGCTGTACGTCGGCTCCCTCGGCCAATAAAGCAAGATGAGCGCCGCAACCCTAGAGTCGGCCACGACTGGACCTAATGGTCAGGAGTCCCTTTACCTTTACCTATTACTTCCCTTGATCTAGATACAATACTTCTGTTGATGCAGCCTAGAATAGCATTAGCTTGATTGTAGGGGGGGGAGGCCTCAAAGTGCTTAACAAAAAGATAAAACAATAAAATTGAGAAAAAATGTTTTGTGTTGCAAACTGCCCTGAGATCTTCAGGTGAAGGACACTATACAAATTTAATAAATAATAAAATTCATGACCATACTTTTAAACCATACAAAAAGTTCAATTCTCATGGATCATATAAGGACATTTGAGCTACTTTTGTGGGTTGTAAAAAGTTTTGTCTTTATTGTGTTTGGTATTCAAATTTGCATTTGAGGCTGGGGGTGTTTGTAGTGGGGTGGGGAGAGAGAGTTTGAACCTTTTAAGAGGTGCAAAAGGGAGGAGACAGCTTGGTGTTCACAGAGTTGCGAAGTGCTTAGCCATCTTTATTTCTACATAAAGTACATTTTATCTTTACTTCTGTTCTTCCCTTTGATCCCAATTACTTCCAAGCCTCTCTTTCTTAGACTGCAAGCCCTTTGGGAAGAGAGAAACCATATTTTTCAAGGAGAAAGACTGTTCTGCATCTGAGCCCCTGGGAGAGGCAGGCTGTAGCTAATTAAATAACAACCCAATTCTTTGCTTTACTACAAAGTGGGAGAGGATAGGATTGGGCTGTTAGGCTCTTAGAAGCCATGTAGGAAGGCAAGCCATCCCCTTGCGCCAGTGCTGAAAGCAAAACATGCATCTAAACTGTTCCAAACTTTCAGGAACATGTCCTTCCCAGCACCACTGTGTTGTAGGAACCTGGTATTGTTTTCCAGCACTGCTGGTCATAGGGACCAATAGGACAGATGCAAAATTAATATTCACCAAATATGTAGCTACGTATCTTGTTTTTCCTAGCATAATTATGAGTGCAAGACCAAGTGTTACTGGGGACAGGGGCTATTGCCTAACACAACTTGAAACATGGGGGGGAATCCCAACCAGTGCCAATAGGGGGTTATTTTCCTAAGACTCCTATTTGCCCGGGGACGGGGGCTGTACATCACAATGTGGGGGTGTGAAGAGGTAAGTCTCCCCTCCTTGTGAACAGCCTTCCCAATAAGAATTGTGCTGCATGTCTGTCTCCAGAGACAATGGAAGAGAGTGTCGGGGGGGGTGTAAAATCAAACCATTGGAGAGTTACAGTGCTTGCTGTACACAAAGTGGGAGAGACATGTTTTATTGGAGGTAGGGCAAATGAAGGTGTCCAGTAAAAGTAGCACACACAGCTGCCTGATATGTACAAAGCAAACAACTACTTTATCTGTACATTTTGTAAGGTAAAGGGTAAAGGGACCCCTGACAATTAAGTCCAGTCACGAACGACTCTGAAATTGCAACGCTCATCTCGCTTTAAAGGCCGAGGGAGCCGGCGTTTGTCCGCTTCCGCAGACAGTTTTTTCAGGGTCATGTGGCCAGCATTTTGTACTACTGGATACAATGGTATTTTTGTACAAAGTTATCATCCCATTGCCTTGATTTGCTTACACTGCAGTATACTAGCCGTGTCTACTTAGATGTAAGTCCCACTGAGTTCAGTGAGACTTAGGGCTTATCCCCACTGCCATACTTATCTTTTGCTCCAAGCTTTCAAGGCATAGGTCCGCACTTTTAAACTCCAAATCTGAGTGAGCTTATTTTCGTCTGAGCTTTCCCCACACAGAAACTCTCCTTAAAGCTGGAGCTCAATGAATGTCAATTCAGGTTTTCTGCAGATCGCCGTTTGCTCCAATTCAGCAGTAAAGAGCAGGCTTTCGTGCTGAAAGCTATGGGGCAGGGGAAAGTGCTCAGACACAGAGCTTTAAAGTGTCAATCATGCCTGGAAAGCATGGAGGAAAGTTAAGTTTGGATAAGCCCTTACTCACAGGTAAGTGTAGGTAGGCCTACAGTCTCAAATTGATAAAATAAGACAGTTTCACTGGTTGACACTCTATCCACTATGAAACTATCACTTTACAATAGCCTGCCCTTTCTTCCCACATTGTTGGCGCTGTGTTGCTGTTTTCTTCTGAGTAATTTGCAATTGCGATTCTGACTGCAGTTAAAAGGCAAATGATTGGCTCTGCATCTCATTCTGCAATTTTTAAGGCTTGATAACCAGGAAGAGTCACCAACAGTTCCTGAAGTACAACATAACAGCCTATTGATTTGATACTTATTAATGATTTTGGAAAATGTGCTATAACTGGACTGTTCCCAAAAAGACATAAAATCTGCCCCTTGAGAACTGAATCTCCAGTAAAGATTGTGAGTTAACTTTTAAATCCATTTGAGTTTAAGTAGGGTCCAATGCTTGATGTGTAACCTCAAAAAGAAGTCTGAATGATCACATATTGTACTTTGGCATGTGCACTAGAGTACAAATCATAATACAAGATGCAGCCCAGAGACTGAGAATTCTTAGTGGCTCACATCAACAGACAGCTGAGGGGTGGGGGTCCAATGGCAGAGAATCAGAAAATTATAAAGGTGCAGTTCTGGGATTAAGGTTTTGAGATTGCGCTGTTACAATTTTTGTGTAGACAGCAGCCAACTGAGCTGGCACAATCTCACTCCCTTTAGAAGGTTTTTGCTTTAAGTGTACCACTCCACTTCTCTCATGTTTTACATCAGCTGAAGAAATGAGGCCACAGCCATTATTTCTCTTTCCATCCTGACTAGTGTGAATAATTCATTTCTGTCATTTTTGCAACATTTCCATGTAATATTCAAAAATATGTTGCTAGTCATTTTCCCCCTGCTGTCTTTTCCTTGGGCTAATTTGACCTGTTTCCGTAACATGTTCCTTCTATCTTCTTCTTTTCTTAAAAAAAACCTTTTTTGATCACTTCTGAACTTTATCCAAATTGGAGTTTTTAAAATACACTGTCCACAGCTGAATAGACTGTCACATAATGCATAGTAAACTGGCTCTGAAACTAACAAAAAAAACTACATAAAAAGACCAAAATTCTTTTTTGGTTAATGAAGTCACTGACATTACTGACAAATAATATTTTGAGAGGGTCGGGCCAATTTTCCTGTGCTTCTCACACAAAATGTTTGAATAGAAGCATGTGGGTTCTCTGTAATAGCTTGAACAGCTAGAGGTAGAATGGGAAAGTATGGAAGTTATTGAAATACAGGGTTGATATTTCAATAACTTCGATACTTTCCCATTCTACCTCTAGCTGTTCAAGCTATTACAAAGAACCCACGTTTCAAGATGGATGGGCTCAGACTGCCCTACTTAACAGCCAGTGAACCAGACAATCCTTTCTGAAATCACTTTGTTCCTTACTTCTCAGATTACAATCACAAATTGTCTTCTTGTTCTCACAGTATCTGAAACTAAATATATGCACCCTGTTTCAAAGATATATTTGCCTGGCTCTGCGTTTTTCTGATGCTGCAAGGGTCACATCCCTTTAGCCTTTTCTCATTGGAAAAATGAACATATTTGTTGTTTCCTTCTGTATCTCTTCCTAATGTACTGTGTGTTAGCAGGGGTTGGGGTTGGGATACCTCTTCTAGGGAAGAGGTTCTACCTTCCCAAATGTTTAACTTATAATTGGCATGGTTTTTACCATTTTTTTGGGCTGTTGGGTTTATTTTTTGCTGTTTTATATTTGCTTTTGTATAGTCATTTGAGATAGTGTACTACTTTACTGTTGTTGTTGTTTTATTTTATAAGTTTATTATAATATACCTTGTACATTCCAGGAATAGGAAGACAAAATATTTATCTTTTAAATACTATTTCTCAGGCAACCAATGTTTTGTAGAGTACTCAAACTGTGAACGCACAATTATTTTACATGCATGCATTCTATTTTATGCATTGTTTCCAACAACTCTCTTGATTGCTAATCCTTGTAAGCATAATTGTTGATACTTTTTTAAAGCTTACATTATTTCAGATTTACCAGCGTTGGATTACACCTACTATTTCATTGCCTACCTGCTTGAAGCATTCTCTTAACTCTCTAAAGCTTACAGCTTCAAGCACATCTAGATGATATTTTTCTCCAAGCTACATAGCTTGTGATGTTGATCTAAACCTTTGCACAGAGATTGAGAAGGAGAGTTATACTTCGGTGATTTAAATGGATATGCCTCTGGCCTATTATGCCATTGTCTGTGAATTTCTATTGGTGGGTCTACAGGATCTGGAAGGTTACCAGGTTTCTGACCATACTTATTTATTTTTCATTCAACCTGTCCTACCAGCATTTTGACAGGCTGAGAAACTAGACTTGTCAGTTGATCTTGGTTAGGTTGAATCAAGGCAAGATTGAAATATCAAAGGACTATTAATGTTATATTCAAAAGAGGGCACTAACTCCCCTCATTGAGGGAGTCCAACTTTCCATAGTAATACAGGCCCATCCGGTGTGCCACTTGTTATCTGCATATTTGAGATGGCCACTATCTTTTCATCTGATCCAGTGACCATCATTTGCACCTTCCTAGTCAGGGCTGGACTACATCAGGCCCCCTTTATATTGCAGCCCATCTTACAATAGGTGAGTTGCTAACATCACATTATACAAGTGTTCCAGCATTTTCATTAGCTTTCTGTTGCTCTCCATAGATAATTCAATATGCTGGTTTTGATTTATTAAACTTTTCCAGCCTATGTATGTGAGAGATTTCCTCCTCAAACTGGGCCCAGACTTTTCCTCAGGAAAAATCAAAGGGTGAGGGAGATCAATGCGGGTCACTGCTCAAAGACACCACATGTACCTTTTGGTAACAGAGCCCAGTAGCACACAGTTCTCTTACCCTTGTCTCATCTCACAGGACAAGACTGGAGGGGGGGTGTTGGGCACCACTTTCCAAAGGTACTCTGTGAACCTTTCAGTAATTGTACCCAAGAACAGACACTGTCCAACTTCAAGCTCTAGCATAAAAAATAGCTACAAGTGATTAATGCTAATAAAAATATTGTAAGAACAATTATGAAATTAGATATTTAAAAATCCAGTGTACCTTCTTCGATGGGCTCAAACTTTGCAATGAGTTGAGCAGCAACCACTTCATCAACTTCAGGCTGAAACTGTTCATTTTTAAGAAACTGGACTAGATTTGAAAGTGGGAGCAATTTGTGGTTCGGAGACTGAGTTTTGAAAAGATCATGGATTTCACATCTGTGTGCTATCGTACGATAAATTCCTCTAAAATCTTCTATAGTAATAGTTCCAGACTTCAATGAATCACTTGCCTGCTTAAAGGGGAGGGGGGTGAGTTAAGAATAATGCATAACAAAATGCACAGCATGACATCATTAATGCAAAAAGATAAGGACAGGCACTTCCATGCAACCGTCAGATATAGTACTTCTTAGACAGAAAATTTGTTTTTTTTAAAAACTATCTATATATTTCTTTTATGGTGATAATGTTAAAAATGAACATAAAAAGTACTGCTGTATTAGACAAAAGGCCCACCTACAATAGCATTCTGTTTCCAACAGTGGCCAGCCAGGTATCTCCAAAACGTTTGCAGGAGGACATAAAAGCAACTAAGGATGAGAGATGTCTTCAAAACGTACACAGTCCACTTAAAAAACCTGCATGTTGAGCTCTTCAAATCTTATGAACCAGTGGAATGGGACTTTGGGGACACCAGGATCAGACAGAGAAAAGGGCTATGTAGGGAAAGGGATGCTTTGCATTTCTCTGCATGGAAAGGCTTTTCTCTGATATAATCAAATGCAAGGTAGAGTGTGGTGGTTGTCACAGCTCTGGGTCATAGTAAAGCACACTTGTAAGTAGCATATAAGAACACCAGGAATAACACCTTGACTATGGTTTCTTTTCTGAGCCACATATTACTAACAAAGCTATAACAAGTAGACTAATAAAAATGCTTGTGAGCTAGTAAATTTCATTTGTGAAGTTGCAGTAAAGGCCTCCCTTTTATCCATTAGCTGTTTCATAAATTTTAAAGCTCCGTCAGGTGTTCTGCATTATTAATGTTCCTCTTACAACTTGTGGATACAGCCAATGAACATATCTGCATACTGTTGTGCAAAATTATCATTTGCAGTTAACCACAGGGAATATTACATGCTCTTGCACAGACACACCATTAATTCTACACACTACTACAAAAACTGCAATCTTGCCATGTTTAATTGATAATATAATTTCTCTGAACAACAGTACTCAGATATAGGTCGGTTAACGTGAGTGAAACTGATTTAAGGGACAATCTAAAGCCAAGATCTGCTGGGATGCCCAGCACAGCATAAGCCCCACATCCTCTGGCTCAGCCAGAGATACCCCAGTGTAACATCCTTGTGCCGGCAGAGCTTTGCTCAGCTAACTAAAATGAAACCAATAGATAGTATGCTGGAATAAGCCCTGAAGAAAATTGTCATTCTGGGGGTGGGGCAGTGGTAGGTGGGGACTAACGGTGGGTCCCAACTCTGTTCAGCTCAACCACATGACCTGGCAACCCAGCGGAATATGCGTCAGCAAAAAGGGTGGTGTAAATCAAATTCTATTTTGAATGCTTGCTTTCCTTCTTGCAAGGCTTAGGCCAACTCAGCCAACCATAGCCCCACAGTTGAACAGAGTTTTCAATAAAGGTAGTTTCACCAGATTTCTGTATTTAAAATGGCCTGTCGGGTTGTAATCCTAATTCTCCTTACTTGGGTGCAAGCCCTACTGAATTTCACTTATGTCCCTCTCATATTAAAATGGGGGGGGGGGAGAGTCATTAACTAACTTCCACTGATTTCAATGGGAATTAAGTGAAATGGCCTAAGTCTGGATCTTACTCATAATTCGTAAAGGTTCTGACAAATAAAACTTCAGTCATAGTTTTTAAGCAACATATTTCTGACTACTTCCACTAAAGTCAGAGATATTATATTGGACTTTGAAGTACTGAAGCAGTAGCCTTTCAGACAGTTCTTAGTGAGATCTGCCCTCACTTCCCATGACGTGCTTTGATCACACCAAGAGGCAGTCGCCCCATAAAACCTGTATAAATTAAGAGGCAGTGTTTCCTATTTGACGATAGCATTGGAGGGCAATGACCCATATTTTATTTCGTTTAATTTGCTTCCTACACACATTTTCTCCTAAGCACCTTAAGGCATATCTTAGGCCCATGTGCTCCTATCCTTTCCCTTCTATTTGATTGCCCAAGGCATGAAATGCTGCTGTCTCTTTTCGTTTTTAGATGGTATGCATTAGGTTTAATTTACTCCTAATTGCCATTGTTGTTTCATATTGCTTGTAGCACACTTGCTATCTGATTGCTCCTTCCAAATCTAATTTAGAACAACTTCCAGAGGGGTAGTTACGGACTGCTTGCTTCCTTATAGCCCTGCCCGGTCACTGAGGTCTTCGGGGGAGTAAATGTTAGCAATCCCCAGGGCTTAGATGCACAGCTCATATTAATTCAATATTGTGGGTCCAATTTTCTGGAACTCCCTTCCTGCTGAGATCAGAAAGGCCCCCTCCCCACTGAACTTTCAGTGCCTAATAAATACCTTTTTATTTCAGCAGGCACTTTAATTCATTTCTGATTTTATAGTTAGGCACTTTCAAGTTGTTATTACAGTGAGCTTGTTTTATGGACATGCACATGTGTTTTAAGGGTGCTTAACTTTGACTGGATCGTGCCAATGGGTGAACACTGTAACTGAAGAAGGTATAAACAAAAAGCACCTGGAAGAGAAAAGCAGCAGCAGGGACTATGAAGGTGGTGGTAAAGGCTGCATAAGAGATGGTTGGATATTGGCTGGGGGAATGCAACAGAAAAAAACACACAAATATTTTCAGGGAATAACATACGGAGCAAAAATGTTAAGGGCATGATCCAGTAAAAACTGAGCATTTTAAAAGAAAATTCCATATGTGTCAATGGGGACCGATAAAAACATACTTAAATATTTGCTGTTATCAACCTAATATTGGCTGGATTGTGCCTCAAATTTGTAAAACATGTTTCTCTCCTATGTAATTAATGGCTTTTTTGACATCTGCATGAGAACTTAAAAAGCTTGTTTTGCAAAGTAAAATAGGTTTGCATTGCCACTGCATTAAGCAGCAGCAGAATCTTCATTCTGTACAAAAGCTACACATTCATAAAATTAAAATCAGGTAACTAAATTCTTCAATAAATGTATTCAGCTGAAAAGCATCTTAACTTTCCAACTCTCAAGAGGCAATAAATACAAGCTTATTTTGATTTTTCACACAGGAAATGTTACTTCATTTCATACAACAAATGAAGAGTCCTCACCATTGGAGAGGAAATGTTTAATATATATTTTTTTAAAAAAATGTTTTGGTTTAAGAAGAAGAGGAAATACATTTGAGAACATTAAGGTTAATAGTTTTTCCTTTTATATGCAGTTTATTTTAACTGTTTCATTTAAGTGACAAAATAGGCAGATGATATATAAACATATTTATATTTTAAAAGCAGTATTTAAATAACTGATTATGGCCATAAAATTGTTACATATATGTATATATTTAGCTAAACCACCAGTTACTTTTGTAACAGTCTGTTGGATACTGAAGCAGGATAAATATGGAATTGTGTAACATTAGATAAGTCTGTCAAAAGTAACTTAAAATTTAAAAGGTAAAGGAGAAAAAGGGCGCCTCTGACAGAGACTTTATAAAATAATAATAATAATAATAATAATAATACTTTATTACTTATACCCCACCCATCTGGCTGGGCCTCCCCAGCCAATCTGGGTGGCTTCCAATAGGATATTAAAAACACAATAAAACATAAACTTCCCTGAACAGGGCTGCCTTCAGACGTCTTCTAAAAAATCAAATATTTGTTTATTTCCTTGACATCTTACATAAAATGAGGACGAAAATATATCGTTCCTTGTTGAGAAAATGATCTTTGTCAGGCCAGCAGGAAGTCCTAGAGAAGCATTGTGTGGAAAATGGTGCATATGAGGGCCAAACTTTAAGTTCCATTGAAACTCCATACAGTATTACAAACTTCAGGATTGGGGACACAGCAGGGGGTGGGGAGGGAAGCTATGGCATTTTTGGTTGACATGCTCAGCATATAACATGCCATATGAATGAAAGAGGCGAGACTTTTGAGATGTTGAATGTATAAGGCCAATGCAAAACATGACCACAATGTGCCAGAAGGTGATGACCAAATATTGCTAGCTTGAGGAAAAGTCGATTTTGCAACAAGTTTTTTCCTACTCCGCTCTGCTGCTGCTAGTACTGTTTAATATGTAATGACGTTACTCCAACAATGTGCTAGAAAGCACTGTACAGAACATAGTAATGACACAGTCCCCGACAGAGATTTTACAATACTGAACAAAGAGTAATGTCTCCAAATATCATTTAACTCAGTGACAAACTAATATGCTTGGTATTTCCACATATAGTAAATTCATCTTTAAAACCTTATTTTAAAGTAATAGTTTGCAGATTAATAGTACTTCCAATCCTATTCAGTTATACAGGTTTTCTCACCTTAAAAATGTATTTCACATGAACATAATCGAAGGGGATGTCAAATTTAGTAAGCAATTCCAAAGTACTTTCAAAATTAATCTTTCCTTTTCTAAACTTGTCATGGATGACGTTTAAAAACCACGTAAATGGAAAGCTAGTTAAGGAAATCAGCAATCTTTATTAAGCATTTATCATTTTTCTCCCTTAGCCAGATTGTGCTGGATCCCCAATGCCATCCTTCCCATTACACACAGTTTTATCCAATGCTAGTCCTACTCATAGCAGACCCATTGAGGTTAATAGACATGACTAACACACATTGATTAACTTCAGTAAAAAAAGGTAAAACTTCAGTAGTCTACTCTAAATACACCTTAGATACAACCCACGGGTTCCTGCACCAAGTCACTTAGATTATAAAAGTGAACAGTGGGAGCATTGAAGAATATTGTTTTGTTATTTAAACCACTGTTTTAGATGCGTTTTCCTGCTATTTTTGTTATCTATGAATAATCCAAGGCACTGTAAAAATTGCTGCAACTGTAGAGCAAAGCTATACAATTTAAATAAATGGAGAGCTAATAGTAACACACAAGATAGGGTGCAATAATAGTAAAAGCAAAGATTAAAAGGTTCCTGTGATATATGTATTTTTTTCCCACTGGGACTGTATTAAGGGTCCAATATACTTCCAAACCTCAACACACAAAGATTTGTATAGGCTGCAATCCTACAGAAACATTTCTGAAAGTTCAACCCATTGCATTCAAGAGGGTTTTCTGCCATATAGTACTGCAGTGATAAACTGCCTCCAAAGTGCCCAGATATTCGTTTTGGGGGTTGTATTGGTGGTGCATTTCCTTTTGGAGAACTTTAGCACTATAGCGTATAAGGACTCCCCGATTGATCTATCTGCTTCCAGACTTTATATTGCAAACTTCTTGGTGCAGGGAAATCCTGAATGGGGCTTGCAAATTCTACATATCAACAGAACATAATTTCCTAACAATTTCACCACACAGGTATCCCATGCTTCCTTGCAAAGCAGCTCCAGGCTGCATATGTGGATACCCACTTAAAACAGTATTTTTGTGAATGAAGCATCGCTCCAACAGGGAGCACGAGTGGTCTCATGGGGGGGGGGGACACAAAGCAGTTCATTGAGTTTTCCGGTACGTTGAGCAGGGTGCAATGCTCCTTACCTGGGAATAGCTCTATCCCATTTCCCCAGGAATGGTTTGCCTTGAGTTTGAACTTAGCTTGATCTTTTATTCCCCTTCCTTTCCCCCCTCCCCTTTTTATGAAGATTACCCGCTCTGGGATCCCACAGCTAATTCTCCCCTGGTCTCCTCGCTGGCCCAAATAGGACTAATTTAGCCAGCTAGCCCTGGTGATCATCTAATGTTTATTGGATGGATTTCTCCCCTAAACTAATTTTTGAATTCTGAATTTATTGTTATTCACGTTTTATACTGTATTTTATGCTGGTTTTTGTTGCATCAAGTAAGTGTTTTAAATTTGTTAGCCGCGCCCTGGGCCCGGTTTTCTGAACCAGGAAGGGCGTGGCATAAATAAAAAAATATTATTATTATTATTAAAGGTAGAGGGACCCCTGACCATTAGGTCCAGTCGTGGCTGACTCTGGGGTTGCGGCGCTCATCTCGCTTTATTGGCCGAGGGAGCCGGAGTACAGCTTCCAGGTCATGTGGCCAGCATGACTAAGCCGCTTCTGGCGAACCAGAGCAGCGCACGGAAAAGCCATTTACCTTACCTATTTATCTACTTGCACTTTGACATGCTTTTGAACTGCTAGGTTGGCAGGAGCAGGGACTGAGCAACGGGAGCTCACCCCGTCGCGGGGATTCAAATCGCCGACCTTCTGATTGGCAAGCTCTAGGCTCTGCGGTTTAACCCACAGCACCCTATTATTATTATATTATTATTATTGAGTTACTGATGCACTTCCAAGCAGCGGGTGAGACTGCCCCCTGCCATGTGCAATTCTGCAATTGGGTGTGTGGGTGTGTGTATATATATATATATATATATATATATATATGTGTGTGTGTGTGTGTATGTGTGTGTGTGTGTGTGTGTGTATAGTATGTGCATGGATATATGTATGTGCAAACACCACAAGGACTGTGTATGTATGCATATACAACGTCGTTAACTCTCCCCCGGTGGTGCTGGGGAATGAAAACAGCCGAGGAAGGATATCTGGCTTCCATGGTGGTCGCTCCTCATGGCCTGTTGCCCTCGCTCCTCGCTTGCTCGGGTGGTTCCAGCAGCTCCTGGCGCGGCATAGTTTTCGCCCCCCCCCCCGCCCCTGGGCCAGCCAGGGGTCCGAGGGGCGCCAGGCAAACGCCCCCACCCCACCCCGCGCCCCCCCCCAAAGTGACGCTCCCCTTCCCTCCGTCGGCGCAGACGAAGGGGAGCGGGGCGCGGGGGTAGGTGGGGAGAAAGTGAATGTTAAAAAAGGAATTGGGGGAAGGGAGGGGAAACAAGGGGCGGAAGCAAACGAGGAGGAGGCCAGCGGGCGGGGCGCGCGCCACGCGCGAGGGGGACCCGAGAGAGGAGGAGGAGGATGCGCGCGCCTGTGCGGCGCCGGGCGAACGCCTAGGAGGCACGCGGGGCTCTTGTGGCGTCACGAGGGCGCGTTCGACGCCAACGGTTCTCCCGCCAGCGCCGGTCACGTGGTTGGCGAATCTTTTCCCTCCACCGCCCCCCCATTAAAATTCTCTTAGCGCGTCATCCTCGTTTGCCCAACCGCGCGCGCTCTCTCTCAGAAAACGCCGTTATTTTAAGCGCGGGAAAAGGATTCTCTCTCTCTCTTCTGGCGAGAACAATATGCTATGGAAATTTAGTAAATAAAATTATCCGTCCAGTGCAAGGGGTCTGCGAGCGACTCGTTTTAAGAGCAAAGAACCATCCAGGGAAACATAAGGGAGAAAATGAGAAACAAAATACCTCACAATAAAAGCCGTGCGGTAACCCCGCCAAACAGACACCCCCCCTCCAATAAAAGAAAACACCAACATAGCAAAAATATCGCCACCCATCAAATGGGGGAAAGAAATACTTCCCCTCTACCTCACCTGGTGCCGAAAGGATATTAAATGATGGCGCTGGGTGGGCCTGGCAGGTGAGAAGAATCTTTGTCACTGGGGAACCTCGCCTGAAAATTGTCATTGTTGTTCGGAGCAGTCAGTCCTTGTTAGAGAAAGGAGGAGATTCCCTTCAGCCTGGTCCTCATTCTGCCTCAGCAGCCCCATAAGTCACTTCAGGCCTAAGGAAAGCGCCTGAGAAAAAAACGCACACAAAAACACTCTCGAGCTTGGAACTCCATTTCGTATCCTCATAGAATTGTAGAGTTGGAATCATATTCTAGTCCAACCCCCTTCAGTGCAGAAATGCGCATTTGTCCCACATGGGCATCAAACTTTGGCATTATCAGCATACCATGCTCTAACCAACTGAGGTACCCAATTTGAGTGGGTGGAGTTGATGGGCAGATCATCCATTGTTTGGTGTATTCTGTATTATACATGATTGTTGGGTTGAAATCACGACAGACGAATGGTGGGTGTCAAAGGAGAGGCGTCTGCCCGGGACAAGTCCCGGGAACTCTCTTTTATTGAATATTACAAACATTGCCACAGGTGTGCTTGTGGCTGATTGGTTGATACAAACACAAAGCATCTTGTTGCTGATTGGTTAACATAGGTACAAGGCGGGCATTACATATTACATTAATCAGTGATAGTTCAAAAGACTGGGAGCGGGGCTGGAACTAGACAGGCATGAATCCTCCTAATTAAATTGTAACTAAGATTGATATTGAGAGAACATAACATGAAGGAATACAACAATCACGTTCCGTAAATGTGGTCAGCAAAGCATTAAGAACAGGTCAGGATACACTGTTTTATGAACTCAATGGGAACTGTTCAGAACATTCTCAGACTTATGTGCAGAGGCAAAAACTTCCCAGAATGTAAGAGAGAAAAGAAGCAATAGTGCTCATAGTAAGCATAGAAAGATTTCATAGTAAGACTTCCCACAATGCAACAGTTATGTGCAGTAAGAGAACTGCAGAAAGAGAACTTCACAGTGAGAGAACTGCAGAAAGAAAACTTCCCTTCACATGATACCCCAACTTCCTCCCAAGGTCGTTGAAATCATGGCATATGTGGCTCTCCCCTCCTTCCCAAAGGAACCTCCAACCTTGGTTCCAACAATATTCTTTGTGGCTAACTTGAGGGGAGGGGGAAATGCGCACTCCGACAGTACTAATGTAAACATTGGGATTTAGAGCCACAGATTTGCACACCATTGCAGGTCGTCTTGTGAAAAGAAAGAGGGAAAAAACTCCTGCTTTGCATGTGTTCTTGCATGAATTTGCAATTCCTGCATGAACACTGTTCAGCTTTTGTTTTTTGTCTTGTCAGCCACTCGGCTTTCCGTCAGTAATAGCACATTTCCTTAAGGGAGTATTGCTAAGAGGGAAGCATAGACATGAAAGCAGAAGGCGACTTTGCAAGACCTTCCTTTAAATATCTGCTCTGAAGGATTGCACATAATGAAATTTTCATATGCTCTGAGGTTCCGCTGTCTATTGTGCAATGTGCCCAGAAGAGCACATAGCCCCACAGCTGCTGACTAAATGGAAGAAATAAAACTGATGGAAGCAGATATGTATATTTAAATAAATAAATATGGAAACTGAGCTGCCTTTTACAGCATCACATTTAGTCTAACCCCAAAACTGGATTCAAAGTAACAAACAATATTTTTGGAAAATAGGAAAGCAGTTACATTTTTGCTAGCTTAAATGTTTGTTCTTCCCTTTACAGCATCACATTTAGTCTAACCCCAAAACTGGATTTAAAGTAACAAAAAAGCTTTTTGGAAAATAGGAAAGCAGTTACATTTCTGTTAGCTTAAATGTTTGTTTGTTTGTTTTTTTAACAGTTCCTCCAGCCAGCATGAAAATCTCTGAAACTGCAGTCCCAGGTAAATGCAAACCTCGCTGGACACAGCATGCTTCCTTTTGAGTAAACACCGCAACTGTGAGCGTAAATGTATGAAATATTTGAGTAATCTGTTTTCTTCTTTGGCTATGTATCTTTTTTTTCCTTTTTTGGGAAAACACTTCAAGGACATGATTAAAACATCTATTAATAAAGACTAATCATGACTGATCCCTCTTCTAGGGGCCCTCACTGCACAGGGTTGCAGTCTAAAGTGCTAGATGAGAAAGAGGTTCATAGAGGTCAGAAACTCAGTGGAGTCCAGGTCTGTGTTCTGATGATTATTTTTATCAAGCAACAAGCCAGAGCCCAGGCATAATTCCCCACTACCAAAAGGCCTTGTCTGTTTTAAAGCAGTTGGACGGCTGGTTGGTGGCCTATTGCTTATTTAAATCCCGTTGCTTTAAGCTCCCCCTGCTTCATTTCTGACGGCTTGATTTGTATTTATAGCCAGGTACTGTACGATATATTTGCATGTATATTCACAATACATACATACCCTATAACCGCCCTATCCTTTGTATCCTGTATTTGTTTTAAACTGGTTTTAATATTGTGAACTGCCCTAGGATGTTGTGGTGAAGGGTGATGAAGAAATTGAAAAAAATTAATACCATAATAATTATTAAAATTACACACAGGTGAAAAATGCCCTTTGGGATCTACTATTGGGATTGACTATGTCATGTTATCAGGAGGGGCAGTATCTCTGGTTGGGGACACAATATGGGGGGAGGAGCACAGAAAGAAGAAACGCCATGGTGCATCTGCAGCAGCACAACCAGGTGCCTTCATCTGCCCCAGCTGTAACAAAACATGTCTCTCCCATATTGGTCTCTACAGCCACAGCAGGTGCTGTAACTCTCCAACAGTTTTTCACCCCCAAAGGCACACTCCTCCATTGTCTCCTGAGTTAAGCAGATGTCAACCAACCAACAATGCCATGGGGGGGGCCTTTGGCCCTCCAGATGTTTTTGGCCACGCTTGCTGGGGCTGATTGAAATTGTAGTTCAGCAACAAAGCTCAAAGATTCCTCACACCTGCATCTGTGCACTGGAGATGAAGAGACCTGACTCCCTTTGTGGTATTTCAGCATTCTTAGACTACAGGCAAATTTCAGAAAATGCTATATTAATTAAGTTGGTGCAAAGATTACCGTATGTTACAATCTGGAAAGTATTTTGAGGGTATTTTTAAAGGAACATTTCCTTTACTAGATAATCTATCTTTTCAGAAGGACTCTCCTCCCTTGGAGGTTTTTAAAGAGAGGTTGGATGGCCACCTGTCATGGATGCTTTAGCTGAGGTTCCTGCATTGCAGGGGGTTGGACTAGATGGCCCTTGGGGTTCCTTCCAAATCTAAGATTCTATGATTCTAAGGAAATAATATGGAGATAAGTTACAGCAGCATTTCCAACACTAATACAGTGGTACCTTGGTTTGTGAACAGCTTACGGGAGTTTACGACCATTTTGGATTATGACTAATTCAAACCTGGAAGTGCGTGTCCCAGTTTGCGACCTTTTTTTGGTTTACAACCCCTTTTTTATTATGAACAATTTTTTTGGTTTACGAACAATTTTGGGGGGATTACGACCGCTTTTTTTTCCCCTTGGAGGCCCCATTGGCGAAAGCGCGCCTTGGGTTACGACCTGTTTTGGTTTACGAACGGACCTCCGGAACAGATTATAGTCGTAAACCAAGGTACCACTGTATAACTGTGGCAGCACAGTGCAAGTTTTCACAAAGATTATGTAGTGATCATGTGGAGGTATGCTGCATGAGGCATGTGCTATTGCACACGTGTGTGCATGCAAGGCCAGTTTAATATTTGAGCATAATATAATACTTGGTGTGTCATATAATAATCGTGTACTTTTTCACAAAAGCACCAAAATCACACCAAATATGGTGATCATTTGCAGATATTGCAGGGGTGTGTGTGCATGTGCAGTTGACAAAGCATAGCATAACACAAAGTGACTCATACACAATGGTCTTCAGACAATGCATTATACTTTGCTTCATCACATGCACAAAGATGTGCAGTACCACATGCCCTGATATCTGAAAATGGTCACTACATATTAGTCTACATTTAATGTAAATTTGGGGCTCTGCTAAAAAAGCATAAGATTGTTACAGTATATGAGTCACTGTGCGTATTATACCATGCTCAGTTGCCTGTGCATGCTCACATGCCCTAATATCTTAACACGATCACCATGTATAACCCCACACATTGTTTAATTTGGCGCCTTCTCAAACAGTGCATGATTGTTATATAAGTCACTATGCTCACTTGGCTATTTTTGTTTAATATACCACACAGCCTGAAAGAGACACCTAAAATGATTGTTGACTGTTTTGTAACATGTTGCTTAATCCCAATAAATGTTTGCTTTTATTTTTTTATTATTATAATGGACCAACGTGACTGCAAACATTATATAAATAGACCAATTAACAGTAAGGCTTAGCTTTTCTGGCTTTTTCCCTTGCTAAATCATGAAAAAGAAAAGTCCTTGTCTACTTTTGAAAAACTGGGCAATTGAATGGTATCCTTTAGCTTATTTTAGTTTACTTTGTTCAGCCTCATTACATTTCTGGTTGCCTGATTTTTATTTATAGCCAGGCATGACAGTATGGTGTGTGCACTAGACATTTATTCGCATGTTTGAGTGCTGGAAATCCTACCCACAGCACTTGCTCACTGGATCGAGTGTTACTACCGTATAGTGCTTTCCCTTCAAAGAATTCTAGGCACTGTACTTTTACCTCTCGCAGGTTTACAATGCCCTGAAGGAGCACACTCCACCTGAAGGAGCGCGCAGCTTGGGAGTACTTCTGAAGGGCTGTCCTCTGTAAAGCGGTTGCTGAACAGCTTGGTAGGTTTCTGGATGAAACATCGGCTCTAGATCCATTCCAGTCTGGCTTCCGCGCTGGTCATGGGACCGAGACGGCTCTGGTCGCCCTAACAGATGATCTCCGTAGGCAGCTGGATCGAGGCGGGTCGGGGCTGCTGATTCTTCTAGATCTGTCAGCAGCCTTCGACATGGTTGATCACGAACTCCTGGACCACCGCCTTGCCGACGTGGGGATCCAGGGCACAGTCCTTCAATGGCTGCGCTCGGTTCTCTCCGGTCGGGGACAGAGGGTGGCGCTTCGGGGGGAATTGTCAACCCGCCACTCCTAGGTGTGTGGAGTGCCTCAGGGTGCGATACTCTCCCGATGCTTTTAACATCTTTATGCGCCTCGCCCAGCTTGTCCGGAGTTTTGGGCTGGGCTGCCATCAGTATGCCGATGACACCCAACTCTATCTGTTGATGGATGGCCATCCTGACTCGGCCCCAGACACACTGACCAGATGTTTGGAAGCTGTGGCTGGATGGTTACGCGGAAGCCGGTTGAAGTTAAATCCTTCGAAGACAGAGGTCCTCTGGCTGGGACGGGACGATATGGGATTGGGGGGCAACTCCCATCTCTTGCGGGGGTGCAATTAGTGCCAGCACCGTCCGTTAAGAGTTTGGGTGTAATCTTCGATACCTCCCTCTCTATGGAGGCGCAGATTACAGCTATAACAAAGGCGGCATTTTTTCATCTCCGCCAAGCTAAGCAGTTGGCCCCTTATCTCTCTCGCCCTGACCTAGCCACTGTGATCCACGCGACGGTCACCTCCAGACTGGATTATTGTAACTCGCTCTACGTGGGGCTGCCCTTGAGACTGACCCAGAAACTCCAGCGGGTGCAGAATGCCGCGGCGAGACTCCTTATGGGGTCTTCGCTGCGAGATCACATTCATCCGGTACTATACCAGCTGCACTGGCTCCCGGTGGAGTACAGGATCAGGTTTAAGGTGCTGGTTTTAACCTTTAAAGCCCTATACGGCCTAGGACCCTCGTACCTACGGGACCGCCTCTCCTGGTATGCCCCACAGAGGAACCTACGGTCTGCAAATAAAAACATCCTGAAGGTCCCAGGCCTCAGAGAGGTTAGGCTGGCCTCAACTAGAGCCAGGGCTTTCTCGGCTGCGGCTCCAATCTGGTGGAACGCTCTGTCACAAGAGACTAGGGCCCTGCGGGACCTGACATCTTTCCGCAAGGCCTGCAAGACAGAGTTGTTCCACCAGGCCTTTGGTCAGGGCCCAGCCTGACTCCCACCTCCGGCAACCTACACAGAACTTTGCTCAACGGTTGCCATTAATTTGATTTTAATTAATTTTTATAATGAAATGTTTTAGAATGTTGGACTATTTAATTGTTTGATTATTTATTTGTTGTTAGCCGCCCTGAGCCTGGCTTTGGCTGGGGAGGGCGGGATATAAATAAAATTTATTATTATTATTATTATTATTATTAAAGTAGGGCACATGGCATCATGGTCCCTCACTAAATAGAGGGGATCTTGAAAATCTGCCCCATCTTCTGGAATATCATCAAGGATACATAAACATCTCAATATTGAGATGAATACTGTTGCTTTTTAAAAGGCATTCTAATCTATATCCTATGAGCGAACTAAATCATCGATGCATTCAGAAACACAAATTAGAAATTCAAGAAAATAGCCATGCATAAAATATGAGTGAAAGAGCTGGAAGGACTTCAGTAATTCTGCTAAAGATGTAACTAACTGTTCTTGTTAGGAGGTCAGAGATAGCCTCTGGAGCTTTAGCTTTCATTCATGCATCCACTACAAATGGTTCAAGAAAGGTAAACAAGAGACTTTCCACATGATTGGTCTGAGCATGTAATTTGAAAGCTAGTATACTCCTCTGTACCAGGACAAGCTGATCCAATCAAATCTATCATCTTACAGTTTTAGCATATTCTTAGTGTATCTATTTCAGAGGAAGATCATGTAGCTTCAATTTTCCCTACCTGCCTCAGGCTCTCACTATCTCAAGGCAGAAAAAAGTTTTTTTGCTGATTGAAAACTGCCTTTCAACTCAGCTAAGGCAACAATTTTCTAAACTTTTAGGGAGCATTTTTTACACAACCCTTTACATTTTCATCTTTCCGAAAGTACTAGGATGAGATGAACATATTTTTTTCTGCTTTTCATATATATATGCATATTCAGTCATATTTGTAATAGCCTTTTATCAAGTGCTTGCATTGATCTCTGGCATATGCATACCCTGCGGGATTGCTTCAGCAGGAACTGCCACTGATGGATATCTCAATTGCTCTGCACAGCTAAGATCACAAGGCACATTTCAGATGTCAAAATGATCACATTGACTATCGATGATGAAGGAACTGGAATACCATTTCAAATTTGGGTGGGTGGGTAGAAGAGTTTTCTCTGAAATGGGGAAAGATTCTCAGCGAAGTGTAAAGGCCCACACTTTGATACAATCAAGATTAAATTACAAGAAAACAGTATTTTAAGACCACATTTATACCTCATAGTAATTGCTTATTTTGTGTGTGTCCAATCTCTCCTATTCAGAAGCAACCAGGGCAGCTTACAAAATAAAAATCATGCTTGAACAATAAAAACATGATTACAACAAATAAGAACAGTAAGAAAGTTACAAGTGTTTTATCTCTTTTTAGCTAGCATCAATTTGTTGGTTTTCATCATCTTTTGAATGCTTTTAGATCCCTGTTTTTATCAAGAATTTTAATATATTGTAAACTGCTTAAAGGTTTGTTAGCATAATCAAGTAGTATACATTTTTGTTAAATAAATAAACAAACGGCAACATAAAAGCACCAACATAATCATAGCATAAAAACAAACAAAACAGCAGATCCAAAAGGATGAGGACTCATGCCAAAGACAACTCTGATACCCCACTGCTCCTTACACCCTTCCATTGGAGAGAGTGAGGTGGCTACCTGAGGCAGCTAGTTTTGGATGAAAAGACAACAATTGTTAGTTATTTAATTTATTATTACTGGATTACTAGGGAGCAGGAGAAATAGTTGTGGGATTTTCTGCCTCAGGCACCAAAATAATTTGACCATGTTGTGCTTCTCAACGTGGGATGGGGAATACCATTAGCTGCTCTGCCCAGGAAACAAAATGTATTATGCTCATTCTGGTTTTAAATTAGAATCAAAAAGCATATGTAGTGTTGTGGCTTGGTGGGCCTGCCTACCGCATATCCTTACATCAACTTTCAAAGGAATCCAAATCAGAGGCTTGGAAGTTGAACAAAATGCTTAGAGAAGAAAATATAAGGAGAGGTGGTCCTTTAAGTACCTATGTCTCAAACCAGCTGGGGATATTAAAACAAGAACCGATGCCATAACCTGAAAATAAATAGGTTAGTAGTGCAGATCAAATAGCAACTGGGTTCAAGATACCCTTTTCCAGAAAGCAGCAGCATCATTTTCTGCAAAAAAAAAAGAGACACGGGTGGCGCTGTGGTCTAAACCACTGAGCCTAGGGCTTGACGATCAGAAGGTTGGTGGTCTGAATCCCTGCGACGGGGTGAGCTCCTGTTGTTTGGATCCTGCTCCTGCCAACCTAGGAGTTCGAAAGCACATCAAAGTGCAAGTAGATAAATAGGTACCGCTCCGGCGGGAAGGTAAACGGCATTTCCATGCGCTGCTCTGGTTCACCAGAAGCGGCTTAGTCATGCTGGCCACATGACCTGGAAGCTGTACACCAGCTCCCTCAGCCAATAAAGTGAGATGAGCACCGCTACTCCAGAGTCATCCGCGACTGGACCTGATGGTCAGGGGTTCCTTTACCCTTTACCTTTACTACATAATAGCAATGATAACTATGCAAGTAAAACAACCCCCTTTTTGAAGCGTTGTAAACATTTTAAGCAATTTGCATGCCTTGTGTACATCCCGTGCTGGGTAGGAGGAAGGTCTACCAGTTCATGACTGGGAAATTTCCATAGGATCACTTGCTGCCTGCAAGTTGCTGAGGTGGTTAAAACATTGTTGGACTGGGGGCAAGGGAACAAAAATCCACAGAAAGCCAAAGTCTCTATTAATACCAAGCAAAACCACAAAATTGTGAGCAAGTTTTTCAGGTCTATTCACTGCATTCCCTTGTTTAAGAGAGAATATGCAATCCAGAATTCTTTATCAAGTTGTACACTAAACAAAGCTGGAGGGTAGGACGCTAGCTTGATGTTGAAGGCATAGAGTTTGAATTTAGTTCCAATCTCAAAATGGAGTTTGAGAGGAGATAGCAAAATTAAATAGATGAGGCTCAACTACAGGGTAGGCAAACCTTTTGCAACCCCGGGCTCCTTTGGGGGAAGGCGCAGGACAAAAATATTTTTAAAAAAATAAAAATAAAAATTTGGCCAGTGGACCGTATTGACTGTCGGCCACCCTTGAATGGGTCACATGTCAGAACTGGGCATAGGTAATGTATGCGTACATACATATGTATGCACGCTACAGATATATAGTGCACAGACGTACATATAGACCACACAGACATACACTCACCAGCACCAAGTCCACAATAACAGAGAATCATAGAGTTGGAAGGGACCACAAGGATCATCTAGACCAGCTCCCTGCAATGCAAGAGCCTTTCACCCAATATGGGGCTCAAACCTATGACCCTGAGATCAAGAGTTTCATGCTTTACCTTCTGAGCTATTTTGTGATGGTCTGATGATTAGATGCAAATCTGAATGTTGTCTTTGGAAGTCGTCTTGGGTAGGCATGATTTGGCTTTAATTTGAGTTAATGACTTCAAGGATTGAAACTTGTAGATTTCATTAAGAGCTCCTGGCCTTTCCCTCTATAATATGACTATTGCCCCTTCTTTTCCAAGTTTACTGTGTCCCTCCACTGCTATTCTGTGTCAAGTTTTGATCCAAACCCCTAGAACTGCATGTTATCTTAAACACACCCCATAATTTGGATAAAGAGTGTGTTGCACTGCATACGTATATTTCCTGTCTTGTTAAAGAAAGGCAGAGAGTATCCATTTTCATTCAAAAATTATTTTCATGTTGTGATTTTGATTTATGTTCCTGAAATGCTGCCTAAGAATCACAGGAAATTAGAACATATGGTAAGATGCGGAATTGTGCCTCAAAGACAACTTCATCTCTCTTGAAAACTGTCTTCAGCAAATGTTGCTGGCCAAGTAAAATATATAATCATCCTCTCCATTCCATAGTACTCACTCTCTTAAGGTATATTATCACATAACCCTGGGATATCAAATTCCACAGGATGTATCAATCTAGTGACTAGTGCTACAGTTCTATACACATGGAAATAAACACAGTTCCAAGAAAACACACAGGATTGTGTCATAATTTCCATTTACCGGTACCTTATTGGCCTTATAAGGGATGTGGGTGGTGCTGTGGTCTAAACCACTGAGCCTCTTTGGCTTGCCGATCAGAAGGTTGGTGGTTCAAATCTGCACAATGGGGTGAGCTCCTGTTGCTCTGTCCCAGCTCCTGCCTACCTAGTAGTTCGAAAGCACACCAGTGCACATAGATAAATAGGTACCACTGTGGCAGGAAGGTAAACGACGTTTCCGTGTGCTCTGGGTTCGTCAAGGTGTTCCGTTGTGCCAGAAGCAGTTTAGTCATGCTGGCCACATGACCTGGAAAGCTGTCTGTGGACAAACACCAGCTCCCTCAGAATGAAAGTGAGATGAGTGCCTCAACCCCATAGTCACCTTTGACTGGACTTAACCGTTCGATGGTCCTTATTGGCCCTATGGATGGGTGGCCATCAGTGCCATGGAAGGGGAGAAGCATTTTTCCTTGAAGGCTAGGACACATTTCATTTAAAAGTACCACACAGTACAGGGGCTTGCAAAAATGGAAGTTCATTGTGGCTTATGTCAGTAACATTGTAGAGGAGGAATGAAATCAAATTAAGTTCATCTCTTGATGGAGTGAAGGAGAAACAACACAATCCAATCAGTATTTCATACAAATTAATGAGATGAAACATGCAGTAATAATGAAAAATGCCTCTGAGAATGTCCAGTGTATTTTCCTTGCCACTTAATTTCTACAATTATCCCCTACCCATCTGGGGTTAGGGGCACAGTCTCCTAGGACAAAGGAAATGTCCCAGGGGGTAGGGAGTCACAGCTCAGTAGCACAACACATGTTTTGCAAGCAGATGCTACAAAGTTTAATACCCGTTGTCTCTAGTAAATAAACATTAATCAGGTGGAAAAGTTGGGAAAGACCATAACCTGCTTAAGACTTGGAGCGACATTGCTTATCAAAATACACAGTATCAACAAAGATAAACCAAAGGTCTGATTCACCCGAAGGCGAATGTCCATTCAGGCAAGTGGTGCTACCAGTTGCTTTAGATTAGACTGTGCAGGCTAGAAAGGTGGTGCTTCTTTTATAAATCTGCTGTTAAAAAAAAAAGTGTAACTATTCCTAATACCTTTCTGGTTAAAAGGCTCTATTTTTAAAATCTCCATACATTTATTAAAAGGAAAAGTAGTATTCAGGTGTCAGTCTTTTAAAACATGCAAATTATAAAGGAGAAGGTTCTTATCAAGTTTGATCTTCATTTTTCATTCAACCACTTCCACAATTCACAAACTGTTTAGCAATCCCCTTTTCTTCAGTGCAGCTATCTGATTTGGTTCTGGTCAGCTCTGAACAGTCAGTATTTTGTGGAACATACTAGAAATTTAGGCATGAAATTTTGGCTCTGGTACAACAAATCCACTTTTTAAAAATGTACTTTTTGCAGTTAAGAAAGTGATGGGATAATGCACCAAAGTGTATGATAAATGCATTTGTCCATCACTTTCCTTACCGCAAAAATACATCATTTTAAACAGTGGGTTTCTTGCACCAGAACAGCTTAGTTGAATGCTCATCATCGAGCCTTTCTGCAAACAAATCAGAACAAATGCTCAGTAAAGAGCAGACACTGTATAATTGCCATGTAAGCTTTGTTCAAATAATCAGGATGAATGCTGAATAAACTGAGGAGCCCTCAGACTTAAGGATGCATTTGCTCTGTTTCGCCGTTTTATGAAAGATATTTCAATTCAAGATCTAAGTTCTGCACTGAGGCCTATGCTTTCAGTCCTTCTGAACAATATAAATATTAACAGCACAATCATACACATGTTTACTCTGAAGTAAGTTTCATTAAGTTCACTGGGGATTACTGCCTAGCCAGTGGGTTTAGGAGAGAAGCCTCAAAGTCTGTATTGAACACCTAAAAACATTATAATTGTCATACTGAATCAATGCAAGATCACACCCATCCTGCATCCTGTTTCCAAATGGTAGTCAGGCAGATAGATGCTTCAGGGAGCTCAGCTGCTTAATTGTCACCTGATACTAAGTGGTATAATGCTTGTGGACTTGGGGATTACCCATTTAACTGTCATGGTTAGTAGCTGATACCAAATTTATGTCTTATAGGACTATGTCAAATCCTTGTTTAAAGCCATCTAATCTAGCAGCCATCATCACATTTTGATGTGTGGTATTACACATCAAATACTCCCTTTTCTATTGCTGATCTCTTTCATCAGATGAATGAGTTCTAGATGTTATGAGAAGTGGGGGGAGAGAGACCCTTTGTGCAATCTCCCATATCAAATTTGCCCTGAGGCTTTTATTGCTGCTTGTAACTCTGCACCTGAGGTTTGTTTTAATTTCCTAGACTGGTTAACTGCTTCCAACTTGCATTAATATTTGTTGAACATCGGCATTTAATATTTATTCTCAGATTGATTTTATAATGTTCATGTAATGAAATTCTCTTAAGCAGAAGCCAATAATGGAAACGGCTTTCCTATTTTTTAATATTGCATTTCTGTTGTGCTGTTATCAAATTCTTGGACAAAACATCCATAACCTTTGGAGCTTTCAGAATGCCAGTTGTATTTTAGAAATGTCTTTCAAATTGAGCTTTCTAATTTATTTGCTTTAAAATTATATCTTTCCCTCCACGCCCCCAAAAAGAAAAGCTCACACAACAGTTTCATAATGATTTTTAAAGTCAAAATCCTATTATCTGATTGGCAAGTTCTTGTAGGCAACAGTCAATTAATATTTTTAAGACATGATGTTGGTGAAAAGTATGCCTGCTCATTACAAGCTTTCTTTTAGTGCTGCTACTAGTGTGGGTTTTTTCAATTTGCTGTTTAATACTTACAGTCCAGATCCAATTAAAATTACTAGAGGCCTCAGGACAATGATATTTAGTGGATCCCTGAATGTTTGACAGGAGTCTTCACTATTTATTGTGAAATTGCCTGTCTTTGGATGTTTCACCCTTGGTAGGACCCAGAGCTTAAAGACAACAAGAGATGCCAGTAAACAGGTAGGGAAGATGTGCTCAGTGCATCATGTCCATTTCATATGACACTAGACAACAAGAGATAGAAAAGGTAGCTTCAAACATTATAGTGGCCACATGGAGGCCACTGAGGAATGCCTCTATGTATGTGGTCAAAGTTTAAACTGGGTATCTGCTGTATATAAAAGCAAGGAATCAAGTGTGCAAAGAGGAAGTAGATGTATACAAAAAGTAGCATGTAGCTTTAATTTGTGCACAGGTTTACTCAGCAGTTGATACTATTAAGTACAGCTGGATTTATTCTGAAGTAACAAAGCAAAGGCCCTATCTGGTTTGGGATACAGTTTTGAGAAAGATCACTTGATGTATCTTCAGAATTCCTGCTGCAGGTCTTCCCATCTTCAGAGGTGGATGGTGACTAGTGATAGGGCCTTCTCTTTGATGGTTCCTCAGCTGGGAAATACCATCTGCAGGGACATTCCCATCCTATTAACTTTGAGGCATCAGGGTAAGGAAATTCTATCCTACCAAGTTTTCAATGGATGGTATACTTTTTCCTTGCTTTTTACTGCTATCCTATGGGACTGCCATATCATTGCTTTAATGCTGCTTTACTACCAATCCTTTCTTACGGATCCTTGTTCAGAATTTAATTAATTAATTACCATTGTTGGCATTGCTGTCTCGGGAGACAGTGGAAGAGTGCGCCTTTGGGGTGAAGTCAAACTAATTACCAAACTAATTACCATAATTTGTTGTTAGTTACCTTGAAACTGTATACAGAAATGCAGGATATGAAACATTTCAAACAAATGAAGAATGAAATGGCTACAATTCTTCCTTATAGTGTGAGCCATGGGAGCAGAAAGAGCAAAGGGTTATCACGTGCCCTGTAACAATCTATCTTGCGATCTGTGGTACCTTAGTGAAACCACTATATCTAAAGAAACTTTATTTTGGCACCTCTTGCTTAACATTTGCACTATAATGCATGCAAAATAGTTATCACAGCGCCCCTTCATCGGGTATTTTTATCTCCTCTAGTCATTAACAAATCACAGCTCCTTATTTACATACCAAGTGCATTAGAGTTGAATGAAAAGCACTAAAGTGCACTGTGTGGAACAATTGCTTTTTTAAACTTTTCGACTGAGGATGCTCTGGTTAATGGAACAGTGTAGTAAGAAATGGTGACCTGAGATGTCACACTAATGGTAAGCAGAATAAATAATGTAGACTCAAGCATTCATATCACATATCTACTCAGAGGTAAAATTCATTGAATTCAATGGGCCTAACTCCCAGATATGTGTGTATAGGATTGCCACTTTAGCATTCCGTATCATC